AAGTGGCGGCGACATGCGGCGGGCTTGCATGACTTTGCAAGCCGGGGCCGCCGGGGCCGCCCGGACGTCCTCAAACGCGATAATGAGGGCTTCGGTCTTGGAAGACGACGTGCCGTGCCGTGCCGTGCCGTGCCGTGCCACGCCATATCGTCGTGTCCACAAGCACGACGGCGAAGGGGTGGGAGGGGCCCGGCGGCTCGCCGGCTCGGTCGATACTCCACCCGCCACACCGCGACGCCCCCTCCCCCTCCCCCTCCCCCTTCCCCGGCGGCGCGCCCGCTTGGCCGCGCGGCCGCCAGAGGGCGCCAGCAGACAGCGACGCCGGCCGGCTCGCGAGGAAAACACACGCACACCCCTCTTTGATATTTCTGAAAGTTTCACGTAAACTTGGGGCCGCGTTTAGCCCTCGATAGGCCGCGCGGTGCCGCCGCGTGGGGGAAAGGGGCGGGGGCGGGGAGCGCGCTAAAGACCGGCCCGCTGCGAAGCCCAATCGAGTTTAACACGCACAGCAAAGCATAGGCTGGCTACATAAAACAAAGTGGAAATATTCCCATTCTAGATTCAGCGTGGTGGACTTGGTGGGCACGCCCACCGCCCTGTGAGAACCTGTCCGGGAGGCGAGGCCGGCCAGCTCTGGCCAGCGTCGGAGACGACCGACTCCTGAGACCGCCCCGCCCCATACCCCGCAAGGATCCATCATCGCAAGTCCATCCCACCGGCCGTGCCAGAAGCAAGAGCAAGAGCCCCGCATGCTCTGCCGCCACACTGTGCGAAAGCGGGAAGCCAAAATGCATCCCAGCAGCACAGCGCAAACGGCGAGGCTGCGGAGCGAAGTGCATCGCCACGACAGCCAGTACTACACCGAGTCGGTGCACTGACAAACGCCGAGCAAAGCCGCCAAGCCGTTTATCGGCCCAAACCGGCAACGACAGTTTTCCGCGGCCGACGGCCGAAAGGCCGAACCCGACCGGGTCGGCCGGGCTGCCGAACACTGTAAACGGGGCCTTATCTGTCAGGGCCCCGCGAGGGGCCATCTCCGTGCCCGCGGTGGGGCCGCGGTGGGGCCACGGCGCGGCCAAGCCTAGCCCAGCCCAGCCTGCGGGCCGGGGGTGGCTCGCCCGGTCAGCCAGGCGGACTCCGAGAGTCGTTTACGCCGCTCTGTCTTTCTCGCGCCTACACGGGACGCCCCATGAGTGCGCGAGAGACAGCGCGACGAAAACGACTCCCAGAATCGCTCTGCGGAGTGAGATAACGCGGTGGTCGTTTGGGATGGAGGCAATCCAGTCCAGTCCAGTCCGTCGCGGGGCCTTGGGGCTCGGCCGGCGGGCCCAGCCCGGCGACAGGGCTCTGGGCTGCGGTAGCGCGGTCGCGGTGCGGGTTATGGCAAAGGGCGCCATGGCCAAGCCGTGCCATGCCGTGCCATGCCGTGCGATTGATGCGGTTCGACCAGGGCCCCTCCCCTTTCGCATCGGTCCGAACTCCAGCGGTTCGCGGTGTGTGATGCACGGCCCTGGCGCAGAGCGGGGCACATAAATCGTGCCAAAGTTGAGGTAGGCGGGATGAGAATTTAGGGGCGCGCGGTTGCAGGTCGGGACGCGGGTCCGACGGAACGGGAACGCTGGAAACCGCGGTGGTTCGCGACGCGCTCTCACATTAGCCGCGACAAAGCACGTTTTGCCGTGCGTCCCCGTTGTCGCTCTGTCTCTCTCGCGCTCCCAGGGCGTCCCTTGGCAGTCCTTGGCGATGAAAGGATGGGCGGAATCAGCGCGCTACGGCTCGCCCTGTCCAATTTCCAGCCGAGCATTCAATTCACTGTCCGGCCCGTCGGCATACCGTCGGCCAGAGCCGGGGAAGGCCGGGGAAGGCGTCCCGCTTTGCCCCGCCTCGACGGTCGCAGCCTTGGCGGCCTTGGCGACCGCCACCCGCCACTGCCAATGGAGATAGCCGACGCCCGTCCGGCCGAACGGCCGTCTAGTCCCGACGCACTGCATCACCGCGGTGGGGCTGGTGGGGCTCGGGCCGAAGTGCCAATGAGGAGCGGAGCGCGGAGTCCCCGGTAGATACAGAGAGCGAGAGACACACACAAATCGGCTACGCGATCCCCCCATATCCCCCCCATGGCTCAATGGTCAGCAGCTCTGTCCACCGGGGTCCAGCGGGGGCGGGGGGCGGCGGCAGGGGGCGTTTGGCGCCACACACACACAGACGGGAGAGAACAGACTATCGGTCTGGAAGCCCTCCGGCATCCTAAGACTTCAGGATCTTGGACTTTCAAGGGAACAGCCAAGGACACCTCTTTTTTTTTCCATTCCTCATCTTCTTTTTATGTTTGCTGGAGTTTATGCCAAAAACTGTAGGCAGTCAGTTACGCTGCACAAAATTTCTCAGCTGGTTGAATTTCCGCAGCTGTAATAAATTTAAGAGTTGTCCCAAAAAAGTAGAGTTGTGCCACTTACCAAGAAATTGGGGCCACAAGTATCGAAAGGCTACAAAATCATTGCAGGCTCTGAAAATAAAAGACAAGAGTAATATCAGCAAAATGCAACATGCCACATATGAGTTTCTAAATAATGCCTTTGCTTACATATCCTCCCCTACTACTTATAAATCCAACGGGTCGACTGCTAATTAATCTAGGTGACCCAAATCATGGTTCCACACAAAATTTAGAGACCAAAAAATTTTCTATTATATTAAAAATTTATTTTTGAATTTAACCCCTACTTTTGGGATAGATGTATACTTAAGATTTGACCTGGGCCATTGTGAGTCCATGAACCCTGACATTCATTGCGGTGCAAGGTTACGATTGGCACATATAAAGCAAGCCAATCATCTGCCTTAATTTTGGATTGAAAACAATAAAGAAGAAAATAAAAATGAAAATTGAAGTGTGAAAACTAAAACTCGAGAATTGAAACTCAAATGCTACAAAGGTAAATTTAAAAATAAACCAGTGGTTTAGCCTCACTTTTTTAAAGTTTTTAAAAGGTCAATGTAGCAAGACCGTTCATCCACAGCTGTATATTTTTGATTAAAAATCAGATTACAGTGTTTCGATATGGGCAACCTTTTGTTCTAAGTTTCAGGCAATAGGCAAATTTAGATCACTATACTAGCAACGGTTTGACCCGGTCCGTCAACATAACCTTAGTAAGGGTTTTGATGCTAAACGGGGGCTCCATAGTAGTGAGTAGAACGGTGTTTTGAAAACATAGATGTCATCCAAGCATTTTTCAGTTATTCACAAACAATGATATCGTACGAGGAGAAGTTATCAACAAGCTGGGATGTTTACAGTAAAGTACACGTACGGGTGATTTTTAGACTCATCACCTTCAGCCTCCAGCAAAGAACCGCAAAAATATAGCCGGTATGTTTTAGCACAATAATGTTTAACAACACGAATAATGTCGAACCTGGTGGGCTTGAGCACAAAAGATGACAATTACCAGAAGAGTCGCATACGTTTACGATGATGTACGTGCACTACTACAACCGCAACCGCGGTGAACGCACTCTACCGGCAGGCAGGAGAAATTCGATGGGCTGGCAACAGTCATTCGCGATCTACACCTCTCCACCCACCCACAATTCTTGGTTCCTCGGCTCCTTGAAATTGCCTACATTCAGGGGACAACATACAGCGCTGCGCCACGGACCCGCGGGAACTACTGATATGGCGGGAGGTTTTGAACTTGGAACATATCAAAAAAGGTTTGGGAAGTAAATTTTGATCCGTATGATCTTAATTCTAATGAAGATGCTTCCCATGATAAAATATTGTGGCCTAAAGTGGATCCCAGGCACATGATTGACTACTTTTTGGTGTTCCCAAGAGCTCGGGTTGGGGTGGTCCGACTAAAGCTTTCTCGACATCTTTTATTTTAGACCTAATTTTTTTTCTTTAATTATTGATTGACTATTTCTTTGTTTTGTGATCACTGATCATGTTAACCTAATGTTTCATTAGAACTTCAATGTAACTTCTTCTTGAACAATTGAGTGAAAAACTTACTTATGCAGCTTTTTTCTTTGACTTTTTGTGCGCAAATGAAGTGAAAAACTAATATTCCCCACCTTAATTTAGAAATTGTTTTTATTAAATCTTAATATATACTAACAAATTGTTCACATGCTCGCCCTTACTATCACAGTTAAGAGAGAATTATGGCTGTAGTGTCGATTTCTTTATAAACTGTGATAAGGGCGAGCAAGTGAGCAATTTGTTAGTGTATATTAAGATTTAATTAATACAAACTTTGAACGAAGGTGAGAAACATCAATTTTTCTCTTCATTTGCGTACAAAAAGAGAAAGAAAAAAGCTGCATAAATAAGTTTTTCACTCAATTGTTCAAGAAGAAGTAACATTGCAGTTCTAATGAAACAGTAGGTTAACATGATCAGTGATCACAAAACATACAAAAGAAGTCAATCAATAATTCAAGAAAAAGCAGTAGGTCTAAAAAAAAAAAAGATGTCGAGAAAGCTTTAGTCGGACCACCCCAACCCGAGCTCTTGGGAACACCAAAAAGTAGTCAATTATGTGCCTGGGATCCACTTTAGGCCACAATATTTTATCATGGGAAGCATCTTCATTAGAATTAAGGTCATACAGATCAAAATTCACTTCCCAAACCTTTTTTGATATGTTCCAAGTTCAAAATCTCCCGCCATATCAGTAGTTCCCGCGGGTCCGTGAGGTAGCGCCACGGGTCGCCGATGTTAGCAGCAGGCCAGAGGAAGGTAGAATAGAACTGCTAGGTGAAAACTGCTTAAGGTTTCAATTTTCAACAGTTTTAAAACCGACACAAAAAAGTTATCTTCTACTCTAAATGTAAGGCTTTCTCTATTTTGTTGTTCTGCTGCGCAGTACGCCTTGAAATTTTGATATCCTAAATTTTTGCTTTGGTATGCTGCTAATTACTCGTGGGTTTAGGTGTGGATTTTGGTGATTAAATGTAGATAGTAAGGGTTGAGGGTAAAAAAGAGAGAAAAATATGACACCAAAAAAGGTTTACTTTGGTCTCTACAAACATGATCCATTTAACAATTTGATTCATCAATATTATCAATAAACACCATGATATTGGAATTAACACAGCAGAAAATTTAAGACAATACATACAAGAAAGCAAAAAATTGCTTTATGATAATAAAAGACAATTCAATCATTTCTAAACACAGTCTCATTATCTTGTTTCTTTAAAAAAGATGTTAGACTAAAAGTGACAGAATTGTGCACAAACACAAATGGTTGCAAATAGTTGAGCCAGCTGTACACAGTGTACTGCTGGTGTACTGTACTCCACAGAGAGTGTAGTGATCAAGGTAATAATCAGTAAACAGACCAATAAAACAAAAACACAATAACCAACAGGAAAACAGTGCAAATTTGAACAGAGAACACAGAATGATTTTGGACAAGGACAATGTAAGATAGAAGTACATTAAAAATAATAATAAAAATGAAACTAACTAAGGACAGTTTCATTAAGGAATTCATCAGATAAGCATGATTTTCCACTAAGTTCCCTCGTCTATAACTAGTCTATCCAAGTCAGGCACAGGTGTCCACCAGTCAAAAATCATTTCGTTATTCCAGTCTTCCAAAAAGGACAAATTCCATTACAAGTTACAAATTGAGACTTTCCAAACTAAGATTCAGGATAAAAGGGAGCCATTGGATATTTTATCTGCTGTCTTAACTTAAGAGAAATATCACCGAAGTCTGAAGCAAATATGATGGATTCCTTACGAGATGGTAACATAAAATTAAAAGAAAGGAAAATAGAATAATAGGAAATAAACTAACCACATTCCACCAACAAGCGCTGTCAGTTAATTCAAAGATAAGTTCTACAGAAGTGTATGCAAAACCAGAAATAAGCAGAAATGGCTATGATATAGCATTATAATAAAGCTCCCAGAGGAAATTGTCACTACTACTCAAACCAGAAAAGACTACAGTCACTCAGCTAAAACTTCCTGACCATTAGATCTTCATTAAATAGTTATCATACATAAGTTTCTTTTCTTTAACAAATGTAATGCATGTTCTCTACACTTTAAGAACTAGTTAGACTAAAGGAAAGAAAAGAAGCATTTATAAAGATTCTGTCATAGAATGACCTACAATGACCTATTTTTGGGCTTTTGAAATTTTCTTCAAATTTTTGTGCATTTTAATAACACTACAAAAACCTTAAAAAGTTCCTCTGGGAGTGCTGATAATGCCCCCACCACACTTAAATGGCATCAATATCAAAGTCATCCTCTTCATCAGCAGCAGGCTTAGGCTTGCTCACTGACTTGGGCTGCTCCTTCAGAGGTGAGGTCTTCGCACGATCATCATATTCAATCTGTTAGGAGGTAATACCAGCAATTAATTTAAATCTCAGCAAAATAAGACAAAATATCATTGACTCAAAATAAAGCTGCTTTCAAAAATAAGTGTCAACTTGCCTCAAGGTCGTCATCTTCTTCCTCTTCTGATTCAGATTCTTCTTCTTCAGCCTCCTTCAGCCAGTTGATGAAAGGTTGAGCCCTTGCATGAATCTCTTCACTCAGGTCACGAGAAACATACTTCTTGCTGACCTTGCTATCCCAATCCAGAAGGGCCTTCTCCTCTAGTATGTCGGCATCATACAAAATCTAGAAGAAAGATGCAAAATTTATTCCAAGTTGATACGTAACTTTCCTTAAAAATATGTATGAGGAAAACAAAACTTACCTTCAGGATGGCAGGCACCTTCGGGAGAAGCAGATCCTTGTGTAGGGCAATAATTTGCTCAATGCCTCCGATGAAGTACTTCTGGGCCTTCAGATCTTCATGGGTGAAACGCAGGAACAGAACACGGTATTTCTTGATCTGAAAAAGTGACCAAAGGTTGGAGGTAAGAAACCAATACTAATGATTAATTTGACAGCAAGGTTGAGAGAAAAAGTAGACATACCTCAAGATGGATTTTTTCTGACAGCAAAAGTTCAGCCAAAACAAGTGGAGCCTTGGTTTTGATCTCCATGTGCTCGGCCTGAGTGAGAATTTCACGCGGAGCATTAGGCTGCAACAATGTCCCAGCATCACGGCGCTGCTTCACGAAGTTATAGAAGATGTCCATGCGTTCTTTCTCAGTTTTCTCCAAGTCATCAGAGATGGTCATCCCTTTAGCTCCGTCAGTCAGATCCTGAAGACGAGCACGAACTGCTTCTTCAGAGCAATCCACTTTCCACTCTGGTTCATCATCATCCTACAAGGCAAAAGATAAATTAAAAATCATAAACATCTCTCCGATACAAGAAAAATGAGGCTTGTTCCACTCACAGCTACTTCTGGTGCCTCAACGTTGGGGTCTCCTTCATTGTCATTGTCAGAAGAGCGGTTTTCTCCATTTTCACCATTTTCACCGTTAACCTTCTTGGTGCGCCTTGAGCGTTTGCCTTCGGTCAGGGAAGAACCTTGCGTGGCAGGGTTGGTAGCTGGACAGAACAGAAAACATTGTAAGAAACAATACATCTATTAATTAAAAGCAAAAAAAAAATTGAAAAAGATGCACTTACTTGGGGGATTTTTCAAAATGTACGTGTTCAGTTTGTGATTAAAATCAAGGGTTCCATGATAGCCACAAGCTTTGCAGCCCTGACTGATGATGCCTTTCTTGGCTTGCACACTAAGAACAGTTTCAGGATTATCGCATTGTGGACACAACACAAATTTCCGAATGAAGCCATCAAGAAGATCTTGCAATTTTACAGCGTCATGAGATCCATTCACAATGTAACGATCATTCTTGAAGTCAAAGTTGGTTTGCGCACCCAATTCACAACCAAAATATTTGGTTGGGTCTACATGTGAAAAAATAAAACAAAAGATAGCAATAAGTATTGAGATTAATAAAAACAACTTCATTGGAAACCATTTGTTAAAGTGCTTACACGTGGCAGGACGTCCAAGTGCCTTTGCAACTTCAGCCATGTTCACAATGACAGTTTTGATGCCATTGCCCTTGCCTTCAACTTTGGCAAGGATCCGGGGCATCTTGTACCTGTAGAAGGCATCGCTCACCGCACGGTTCACGTTCAGACTCATGGTGGCGAGATCTGTTACTCTTCTTCTTAACTAGGTCTAAAAATTAATTAAAATATTAACTACCCAGAAAATCACAATTAAATATAAAATGCAAGATGAGATGAATTACCTCCTATATCAGGGCTTGCGTGCCTTATGAAAAAAATTGTGGAGGCCTGCCTCTCAGCAGGTGAAGTTGTAGTCTTTATAGTCGGCGTGATGAGGGGGATAATAGCAGTGCTATGATGACAGCGTTGCTGGCGGTTGTGAGTTAGTGTAGGAACAATGGGGGCGTAATGGTGGTGGTTGGGTGACCTAGTCACGTTTCTCTAAATGGTTGCGATTTCCTATGTCGGTTACTGGAAAATTTTGTTGTCCTGGGAGAAATAAAATATTCAATATCAGGGAATATAGACATAAATATATTCAATACTTTCTTTTTAATAAAATGTGTACAAACCTATGACTGATAGGCCCGTGCGGCTGATATGAAATCATACACCTCCCTCCTGGGCCACGACCGGGCTCTTGTGCTATAGGAGAACTCCCAGATCTACCTCTGGATACTGTCCAAGTTTCTGCAACAAAATAAAAGAGGTTATTTTTAAGAGATATTTTAAACATTTACACACACTTGAACACAGTCAATTGAAAATAATTTAAATTTGTTCTGAAACTCCACCCTAATTAAGTAACAGTTCACCACAATCCAACATTTTAAAACCTATCGGCACCAGCGCGCTAACACCAGCTGGAATCAGTTCAATGGAGCCTGCACCAGCACGGACCGTCCAGGAAAACAAAAATAGCCCAACGGCGCGCGGAGGCGGCCGCTCAGACTACAAGACTAGGGTAGGACAATAACTAGGGCTCCTAGTTTAAAGCAGCATTCAAGGACTAAATAAAGGAAAAGGGCACCCAGCCAGGACTACGGCCCCTGCACGGCCCTTGCACGGCCACGGGGTGCACGGGGGCAGGAGCCCAGCGCAACCAAGATGGAACCCGGATCCTCACCAGCTCTGGATAGCACCATATGTTTGAGCAAGCGTGTGGAGAAGTCCCCTCCGCTCGCGAAGTGCCGGACAACCAGAAGGAAGGAAGTCAGTGTTTCTTCGGAGGCGGTGATGAACACCGACTCGAAAAGATGAAAGGCGAGAAAACGGGAAAGAAACTCCCAACGACACACGAGCAGCCGCGACCGGGTCAGTCAAGGAACGAGAGCCTTCGCAAGCAGGGCTGGCAGGGCTGGCAGGGCGACCACCACACCAACCCCCAGCGAGGCCCCGGCAGCCCGACACCCACCCCCATGCCTCGCCTGCCTTCCCCAGGCCGCGCGGCTCGGCGAGGCTCGGTGCTGCTTCGATCGGACGGCGCGGGGCATGGCGGGCATGACGGGCATGGCCACCCCCCGGGGCCAGCCGGGCCGCCACCCACCATGCGTCGCCGTCCCCAGTCCCTGGCTGCTGGCTGCCCCTCGCCGCCCGTCCAGTCCCTGCCCCACCCCCAGGTGCGCCCCTTCCCCGCCCCCGCCGCCCCCGCTCGGTCCGGCCGCGGCGAGCGTCGCCACGCCACGCAGCACGCAAGCAAGTCCAGCGGCCGGCTGCCGCGTCCAGGGAAAGCCCAGGAAAGCCTCGGCGCCAAGGAAAGCCTCGGCGTCCTGGGAAAGAGCAGGAGAGCCTCGGCGTCCAGGGAAAGCCCAGCAGGCTGATTCCGAGAGTCGTTTTCGTCGCTCTGTCTCTCTCGCACTCGTGGGGCGTCCCGTATATGTGCGAGAGAGACAGAGCGACGAAAACGACTCTCGGAATCAGCCTGCAGGAAAGCCTGCAGGTCCGCCAAGCCTCTGATCTGCCAGTACCTGGCCCTGGCCGCCCACCGCGGACGCGTGACGGCGCCACGCGGCCTGCCGCCCGCGGCGCTATCGTTACCGACCGGACGGACGGATGACGACACCTTCGTCACCGCGGTGGCGATACGGGCGCGAGCGGGAATGGCCCGGGCCGGCCCAGGCCACCGCACGCGAGACGACGTGCGAGCAGCAGCGAGCAGCACGTCAGGCTTGCCGTCAGCTTGCCGTCAGGCCAACGCGGCCAGCAAGCAGCACCTGTGGCTCCGGACAGACCGCCACGTCGCGGTCGCGGGACGCAAACGGCCCGCCTCAACGACCGTGTGCATCGTGCACCGAGAGGCCCGTCGGGGTGGCCAGGCCCACCGCCTCACCAGGCCACACCCCTGCAGCACGACGCTCAGGCCAACGAGTTTAGCCAAATAGAAAAGAATTGATTGGTGGGTGCGCGCATTGCCGCTTGCCGCCCGGGAACGGCAGCGGGGAGGGGAGGGGCGGCAGACCGAGTGTTTGCGAACTGCGAGGTGTGCGAAGGTGAACGGGCCCGCGGCAGGGCGCGGCACGCCGTGTCAGGGGCACGCCACGCCCCAGCGGGCCGAGCCCCTCCAATCTGAACCCCGGCACTTCACGTTCGCGAGGCTGAGCCCCACTGCGCTGCAAGGAGCCGAGCCCCAACCGACAACGGCCGGGCGGCTGGAAGGCTGGAACTGGAGAATCGGCGGGGCTTTCGCGCGGTCGGCCCGCGACCCACTTGGGACCTTCGAGGAGGTCCACTAGCGCACGATCCTCCTAGCATTCCGTGCCAGCAGCCCGCCACGCCGGCGTACGCCAGGGCGTCCACACGGCCAAGCATTCCCCTCGCACTTTTACTTTTCGATGATGACGTGCTGTGTCGGGGTTTCCCCCCGGCAGTCCTCCGTCCGCGTGATCTCGAGGATGCACGTTGACGCGGCGGACGCGGCGGCCGAGGGCCGTACCGCGTCCCGCGTCAAGGCCAAAGCCGTGATAAGATAGGGTGCAGCGATGGAACTCCAGACAGGCACGGCCGGCGGCCCGGGGCCCCTCGGCCCCTCCCCCTTCCACCGCGTGCCGCGTGCCGCGGGGCGTCCACGTCCACGTCGAGGAACTCGCGAGGCTCGGCCGCTGGCTCCGCTGGCCAGCCGCCAAGCAGACGGACCGGGCTGACCAGGGGCCAAAGCAAACAACTGGACTGCCTGGCTCGGCTCCGCCCGCTCCGCCCCGACGGCCACGTCATAGTCCGCGGCGCGGCGGCGCTTTCCGGCCTGCACGGGTCTGAACCCACACCGACGCCCAGCCCAGCGCCCAGCCCGCCCAAGCACCCCGTGACCCTCACCTGGGCGCCCGCAAGCCGGCCTCGGCAAGACCGTGGCGTCGCGGCAGCCCCGGCCCGGCCTCTCTGGCCAGGACGTCAGCCACCCATGGACTGCTTCAGGGAATGAGCGGCAAGGCGCGCAAGGCGATACCGAGTCGCGCCGAGTACGAAGTGGCCGTGCGTGGGCCCCGGCGCCGCCGCCATGCCGCCACCGGGCCGCGGCCGCTACACTGTGGCCGCTACCGCCGCGGCGCGCTACCCAGCGCTACCGCCGCCTCACGCTCCTCACGCCACACTCGAGGGCATGGCACGGGTAGGAATCGGGCGGCCGACTGCCCTGCTTGCCCTGCTTGCCCGGCCCGACCCGCAGAAAGGCTGACTGAGTTCGGGAAACGCGCACACTACTGTACCCATCCAACCACAAAAAGAAAAAAAAACAACAAAAGATTAAAAAAAATTGTTGATACGCGGCGCCGCATGCCACCGAGTACACCGCGCGCAGCGGCAGTCCATGCCTCAGAAAAATGACATTTCGACATTTTCTTATCATTTTCTTGCCCAAATAAAGTGACTGGAGAATGTTGATAGGGGAAAAAATCCATGTTTCAATTCAAGCATCACATTCGCAGGCTTTGTAAAGAGAGGAGAATCAATTCAGCTCAAAATTAGCTGCTTGGGAAAAACAGAAGTGCCATTTTTAGCAGCAGGGAACTAAATGGATGTTTTATCTACAGCTAAATATAGAGGATATCCAGCAGTTTCCAATTGTGTCCGATAGAGAAATTCTTAATACATCTGTCTGCTGTTTCTAATTTATATTTAGCTGGATATAATAGTTTAAAAATAACAAAAAATAATTATACACCGTGCTGCTCACATTTATTTGATGCTGACCAACAATATATTCAGCAATCAAAGGTGAGATTGCTAAAACAATTACACAGCCCTCCAAATCGGAAATCCTCAACTTTAAGCTTGTGAACAGGCAGTTCGCGAAAGATCCCGTGTCGAAACTAGATGGAACGCAATACTGACATTATGAATGCCCGTCTCGCAACGAACATATCACAGAAAATAAAAGCAGCCATTGTAGATTCCTATCATTGGTTTAGAACTGGAACCAGAGTGACCTAGGGCAATGCAGCAAGAAGACCTAACCTAAAACATGTTAATATTGGATTGCTGATGCCAATAAATAAAATATTTACAATAAGACTTCAAAATTTATACCTAAATAGGAATGTTTGGCCTTTTATTCCTCTTCATATCTAATTAAACTGGCAAGAAAGTTATAAATAAATTACTCTAACACAGACTTATCACAAGGCAAGATGATTTTCACACCTGAAATATTCCAGAATCCTGAGTGCAGTTAGACATAGGTGAAGTTCAGGAGCAAAGAACAGGCCGCTACTGTCAGGTATTTCAAAACCGATGGCAAGATACCACTGCTAATCCTTTGGGCGACCCTCTGTTGCTGGGCAGACTGAGACTATCTCGCAAGGCGAACTCCAAACGGGCTGGCCACATTTCTTATTGTTGGAAAGAAAAGACTCACCTTTGCAGCTACGGAAAGTCATAAAAACCGGGTAACGCCCTATTGGACGGTAGCAGTACTGCGACGAATAATCAAAATATCGGCAGCACACAAGAGTTGCAGCGGGGCTCACTGCCTGGTCCCCCTATGCGCCGTCTGGAACAAGGAAAACACCACCATTCTTGCAAAATCAACAAAGACGGGGAAACAATCGGTGCCTAGCTACCGTGCGAGAACGGAACCCGGAGCTTCGGCCAACAATGTGAATCCTTACAAAAATTGGGAGAAGTCTCCTGAGGGGAAGAATGAGACAAGACGTGCTTCAACACGCTTGATGCACGCACGCAAAGCACACTGAGCTGAGCGAACAGACTCAACTGAGCGACTGTGGACTGAACTGACGATGATGATGACGAGAATCACGTAACACCGCGCAAGGTTCATGAACGACACACGCAATACTTATCATCGAAGTACACGCCTGCCGTCACCGCCTAAATTAAATACCGATTTAAATCAAAGGTATTGCACACTCACCTGCGATAGAACACGCGAAATATCTGCGAGAATAGACGAAATAAATAAATATTTATACGGGAAGTGACGTCACAGTGTAGGCAGCAGCACTGTCGCGGAACAAAAGCACCAACCCAAAGCAATAAAATGTACAACTTTGAAAAATCTTGCTCACTCCAGAATAGTAAATTTGTGTGTTTAGACATTTAAATTGAGACTTTTTAAATGTTTGAAACCATTTTTGCAAGAGCAATGTCTCTTTTTCCATCACATGAGCAGGTTTCACTTATTGCATTGTTGCTCAGGCTGACGCGCATGACGTCATGATCACTTGACAACAGACAGAAGACAGACGGACAACTACTGTGCAGTGCTCCGCACAAGGTGTGTAGGTTATCTTTGGTACTTAAGCCAAAGTTTCGTCTGGTTGCCGTCCGCGTATTGTGTTTGTTGTGGCACCCGTTCTCAGTTGCTCGTCTTTTGGTACAGGTGTTCATCATGACATCAACGTTCACGTGCATTACGTGCCGAGTGGCCTTCCACGATGCCGAGGGGCAGCGCACCCACTACAAGACAGACTGGCATCGCTACAACCTCAAGAGAAAAGTGGCAGATTTGCCTCCAGTGACGGTCGAAGAATTCAATCGCCGTGTCGTAACCCAGAGAGAAACCGACGAGGCTAACGCTCGGGAGGTGTCCATTCGTTGCAACGTCTGTCGCAAATCTTTCACCAATCAAAAGGCAATGGACAACCACATCAATTCAAACAAACACAAGCTGAAATTGAAGGAAATCAACGAGGAAGGTGGTATTCTCGATGGACAAAGTATTCAGTCCACTAGAGTCAAAACAGCACCTTCAGTTCAGTCATCAGTCAAAGATGAGTCATCCAAAGACGACGATGCAATGGACACAGACTCCGAGATCGAGGAAGTTGATTCAGACGAATGGGATGACGACTGGAAAGATGAAGACAATCCTATTTTCCACAACGATTGTTTGTTTTGTTCCCATCATAGCAGCAATTTTCTGAAGAATTTGAAACATATGTCAGTTGCTCACTCATTTTTCCTCCCAGATGCCGATTTCCTTGTCAATCCTCAGGGCCTACTAATGTATCTAGGAGAGAAAGTCTGTCAAGGGTTTATGTGCCTGTGGTGCAATGATGCAGGTCGTGCTTTCCATTCAGCCAATGCTGCCAAGCAGCACATGCTTGATAAAGGTAAATGAGGTTTTAATTATTAATTGACAATCCATTATTATATGATGATTACTGACCGTTATTTCTCTTTTGACAGGGCACTGTAGAATGTTGTTTGAAGGTGCAGCTCTTGCTGAGTATTCAGATTTCTATGATTATAGCAAGAGTTACCCAGATGGAGCCAATGCCGACCCTGATGAAGCGGTTGAGGTTCCAGTGTTAGATACTGGTGATTACCACTTAACATTACCCTCTGGAGCCACTATTGGTCATAGATCACTGTTTGTCTTCTACAGGTAAACATATTTATTTTTACAATCTTCAATGAAAACAATACTTTTAAGTACATATATTTAATTCCTACTTTTAATTTCTAGACAAAGTCTCAACCCAGATCGTACTGTTGCATTACCACAAAAGAAGCTAAATTCATTCTTGTCTACCTATCGAGCATTGGGGTGGTCTGGAACAGACAAGCTTGCTGCAGCAAAGTAAGATTTCAAAGTGGATTTCTAATTTTGTTACCAACTACATTTAAGATTCTTACTAATTTCATTTCCCCTTTGTGTATTTATTTTTTAGGAAAGCACGTGATATTAACTACATCAAGAGAGTTCAAGCTAAGCACCATATGAAGGTGGGAATCAAAGCTAACAAACTTCAACATCATTTCCGTCAACAAGTTCTCTTCTAGGTGGAATATTTGTTATACCAGCCTTTTAAGGCACCTGAATAAATTAAATAATTGTACTGTAATCACAATTTAACCTGATGCTTGGATTCATTTCTCCTCCTTCGCCCTAACAAAATTGTAGAAAGCATTCAAACCAAAAGCACACATCTGACTTTCTAGTGGAGGACTTCCCTCCGAACGTCAGAGAAGCATGGGGGGTGCGTGGCGCGGGACAGGCAGGTCGGGAGTCGCGCAAAGGACGGGGGGTGGAGGGAGGCGCTAGAGCTAGGAAGGCTAAGACTTAGCGCAAGTCTGAAGTCTGCCAGGACAGGGTACGTCCGGACCCCGCCTGGAGGAAAGAGGATTATTTTTCTTTTCTTTCTTCGCTTTTGTGAGGCCCTGAGCTCCGAGCTCCAGCATGGCTCCAGAAAGGAAATGAGACCGCAGCCAGGAGACGTATGAGGCCCTGCCAGGCGCTGCCCCGAACCGAACTGACAACAGCGAGGTCCCGAGCAAATACGCGAGCAAGGACTCGTCTTCCCGTCGTCCGAGTCGCAGCATTTTAGTGAGCGAGAGAGACAGCCCGACTGCCGTGTCCGTCCAGGATGAGGGAACTATGCGAAGCCTCGACCTCTTCCCTGGAATGACCAAGATAGAAATGAAGCAAGCGCGCCGTCGTCGCACCAAAGCCTTTGCGCGTGTTCCGTGTCCCTGTCGCTCTCCTCCGAGTTGGAGGTCGCGGAAGCAGGCGCGCCAAGCGAGTAAGCAAACGAGGAAAGGGGGAGATGGCGGTACTCCCGATCGGCAGCAGGGAGACGGCCCACGTCGTATAACACAATTATCCGTCTCCAACTGGGGGCAGGGGCACGAGAACGAGGCGGAGAGACGGAGGCTGGCCCCGGAGCGGCTCCGGACTCGGCGAACAATCAGGGCAAGGAAGAAGAGAGGAACCGGAAGGGGGGGGGTAGCCCAGGCTCGGGCTGTAGCGGCTCGTGCCTAGGGCCAGCAGAGTACCGGCGAGCAAGAGCCGTCCGCGAGCAACGGCGCCATTTCAGAATTTCAGACCCATTCCCCGGTCTAACCTACCCTGGCTGGTACGACGCCCTAAAAAAGGCACGTAGTCACGGCCGGTCCTGCAGAGGCCTGGGAGATGGCATCTTGGCGGGCGGGGGGTAGGCTGCCGGGCCAGGCCTGTCATCCAAGCTGAAAGCCACAATCATTTGGCTCCCCAATCTCCGGGCCCGATTCTTCGTCACCTTAACAGCCCCCTCCAACCCCGCAGCGCCCGCATCGCAAGGGTTGTGGCGACGGGGCGGGGCGGGGGGTTGGCAGTGGCGGTAGCAGGGGGCCGAAGCAGTGCCAGGGGGCGCGTGCTGGGCGGGGTAGGGGGTAGGGGGTGGGCACGGAGGGAGGGTGGGGGCGCCACGCTACGCCTGCCTTCGCCCCTCCAGCCCAGCCTCCAGCCCAGCCTCCAGCCCAGCCTCCAGCCTGCTGCTGGAGTCCCAGCGTACGGGGCGCACGCAGCCAGCACGCCAGCACCCACCCCGCCAGCCCGCCAGGCCCGCCAGGCCCGCCAGGCCCCGGCGGCACCCGCAGCAACAGATAGACGGCGGACGCCCTGCCCGCAGGACGCCCCGTGCCGCAGGACGTGGACGACGAGGACGACGTGCCCGGCCAGCCAGCACCGCCAGCACCGCCCCGGGCTGCGTGCTGCGTGGACTCCCCGCGCCGCGCCACTCCAGGCCACGCCAAGCCACGCCAAGCCACGCCACGCCGCGAGAGGCTCGAGTGACTGGAGACGTTCCACGGCGCTGCCTGCAGGTGAGTGGAGCTATGCACCGTGCGGTTCTCCGGGCTGGGGGAGGGGTGGGGGCGGGGGCATGCGATCTTAAGGGAATTGTCTGGGCTGCCTGTGGCGGGCCGCTGGGAGCATGCGCACGTCGCTACAGTGCTCGTGACAGCCTGGCGCTCAGTCAACCTTCTCTTCTCTGATGTCATGGAATATAGTTTTACTTAAGGTGTCGGGGATCGAAAATAAATCATATCGAAAATTCTATTCCATGTTTCACCCGAAGTGAGTAAGTTAGCGAGGGGTGGACGCGTCACACTCAACAGCAGCATTAGTGGAGAGAAATCACGATCTCACGTTTTAGAAAATGTGTAGGCCCACTGTTATTTTCACTGTTACACTGCGGGTCCACCAGCCCAGCCGCTATCCTTGCCACGAACGCTTTCAGCGCTTTCGACGCTTTCAACGCTTTCAACCCCTGCCAAGGGCTTTCAGGCTCCGCTGCCCCGCATGACAAGGAGAAAATCCGGTGAGTCGGTGGCAGAGCGGCCCAAGGCCCACCCCCATCCGGCTTGGCGACGCGGCCACGCCACGCCACGCCACGCCACGCCACGCCATGGTAGTCCCGATCTACACGGACATGGAAGCAATGGAGGCTCGTCACAAGGCAGGGGCAGAGCGGGGCGAGGAGCGAACGAGACGGACTAGGTCAAGGTCGCCCCTCCCCCCTTTCCCGGGTAATTTGGTGCCCAGCTGAACAAGAGCGACTCGGAATCAGCTTTGCTGCGGCCTGCGCCGCCAGCCACGCTCCGCCGTCTAAAGCCCTGCCAGCTCCTGGAGCTACCCTTGCATCTCCCGCCTCCCAGCGCTTCCAGCGGTTCACGCTCGCTCCCAGAGGGCTCTACAGTGACGCTGGAATCTGCTCTTCTCCGAGCGCTGCCCTAGGCCGCTGCCCCCCAGCGGCTTCGACTTGGCGGCCCGCAAGCAGCGACCCCCTTTTCCACCCCTCCCCCTCCGCGCAACAAATTAGCCGCGATTCTCTGCCTTTTACTGACGCTGCTGCCGCGCGCGTTGCGGACTAAGCGCGCGAAAGCGAACAGATGAGCACTTTGCAAAAAAGAGGGGGAGGGGGGGCGTGGTCGTTGGGGGTGTTGCGAGGGATGACAATGCGGGGAGGGACGCGGATTAGCGTGTGAGTGACGGGCACGTCCGATGGAACGCCATACCACCCCGCCCCGCCGCCGCCCCGCGCCGCCCCGCCCCGCAGAGGCTGCACGCCTGCTGCCCTCCACGCACGCAGCCACCATCTCGGCCCCTCGCGTGCCGGACGCCCCGCCCCGGAAAGTGAAATGAATAAGCGCGCGGAGAGCAAAAGGGCTTTTGGCGCCAAAAGGGCTTCTGCTTCGACTCGACGGCGCCGCGCCGCCACGAAGCTCGATCGGGCTCGATGGAACGGTGCCGCTCGCTCAAGAGCTCCTCTGTCGCTTTAATTTTGGGCCGGGATCTACTTCCGATTCGTCCGCCCGCTCTAGTCCGGGTCCTGGAGCAGGGACTCAAAGGAAGGCTCTGGCCCCGGGGCGCCGACGGGCCGACGGCCCACCCTGTGGTCTGCGGCCGCTGCGCGCGTGGCGCCTAGAGTGTACAGTGTACAGTGTGCCCGGCCAATAAGGCCATGTTTCATCCACCGTCCAGCTTCCAGCGCATCCACACCCCACCCCTCTCGCTTTTTGCCCCACGACCAAGCTGACTGACCCCCAGGGGAGCATCTCACCCCTTCCGACTTTCGGGAGCCGAATGTCATCGCAGTTTCCTCCACAGCCCCTCGAATACAATTTGGACGAGATTCGTCCTATTTCGTGTCCTGTTTACTGTGTCTGTTTGTCCTGAAGACGTTCTCCCCGCTCCTGGTCGCACAATTACCGAACCAGGTTCTGTGGTTTCTGAGGTCGCGGCACAGTTTCGCGGTTCCGCAGTCCTCTATCAGGCCGAGGTTGGCGACCGCGGAGGGGAGTGGGGGGGGGCGTCCCTAAATCCTCTAAACGCTTCTAAACGCTCCAGCAGTGCTATTCCAGAGTGCGATGGGGCGTCCCCCTTCCCTTCCCCTTTTACAGTGGACCGCGTTTCCACCCCCCACCCCCAACGTGCCTCTCCCCCTCCTTTCCAACCCGCGGCCCCGCTCCCCCGGAGTGAATCCCCGGACAACGTTTTACGACGCCGAGTGCTGCTGCCTGGCTGCTTGGCTGCCCGCCTGCCTGCTGCCCGAGCCCCTGCAGACGGATGGATAGGCCACCGTCAGCGGTGGCGGACAGCTGTGTCGAGCGGGCGGCCTATCCCGTCGTGCACAGGCGCTCCGATGGAGCAGCGGGTGAAGCGCCCAGTTCATTGGGCACTGCGACGTGGCGGGGCGGGGCGGGGGGGCGGGGGGGCGGGGCGGGGCGGGGCGGGGCGGGGCGGGGCGGGGCGGGGCGTTGTCGCGCCCGGAAGGCCGATTGCCGTGCCGTGCCCCTGATGCCCTGCACCCTGCAGGGCAGCCCAGGGCAGCGCAGGGCCCCAGGGGTGTACTGGACCGTGGCGGAACTTCGGCCGGCCGCACAAATCAATATTCCAGTGGTGGTCCGCGCGGCCCGGGTCCTTTTCACCCTGGGCATCAAAAAGCGAAAAAGAACAGAGCGGTCACGCTGCCGTAGCAGGGTGGGGGTGGTGGGGCTCTCGCTCTCTCATTCTTCCAGGACACCTGCGGAGGATCTCGCTGCTTTCAGGGGGCTTGGGTCTCTGGGGTTGGCGGTCGAATTGAAGGAGGGGGGGGGGGGCGCTCCACAACAGCAGCCCGGCAGACTCATTCCTCAGCGAAACGCCGAAAGGTGGCAGAAAGTCTTTTTTTGTTTGCCCGGCCTCGTCGGCGCGCCACCACTGTGCCTCCACTGTGCCTCCACCACGATCGGCCAAGCTGTCACGTCGCGTCACGGTGGGAGGGAGAGAGGCTCGGAGAGAGGGGAGGGGGCTCTGAACCGCAGCAGGTGACTTGCCCGTGACAATGGGGTGCTTGTGGAGCACAAGGGGTGAGGGGGTGAGAGGGGGGGGGGGGCTGCTCCAGCCTCCAGCCCGAAAGATGATGGGAACGGCCGGGGTGGCAGGGAAGGCCTGCTTGGTGGCGGGCGCTGCGTGACGGCCATGGCCTCGCCGTTCCAGGTTCCAGGATGGCGTCCGGCGACGAGTCCGGCGACGTCCGCATGGAGGGCCCCATCCCGGAGGAGCGCTTCGACGACGTGATCGCGCACCTCCGCTGCAGCTTCTTCGCGGACGAGCCGCTGAACCGGTCCGTGCGCCTGTGCGAGCGCGGCCAGCCGCACCGCGAGCTGGAGGAGCACGCCCGGCAGACGCTGCGCGACAACCTGTCCGAGATGGCGCTGGACGCCGCCACCAACCAGGTACGCCCTTTATCTCTCTCGCACTCGTCCCGCACGGGTGCGAGAGAGACAGACGGGAGCGTTACTGACGACGCGGTGCATGCATCGGCAGGTCGTGGGGGTGGCGCTCAACGGCGTGCTCTGGCCCGGCGACCTGGACCAGGCGCAGGCCAAGCTGTCTGACATGGACGACGCCAAGTTCCGGCGGATCTTCGGGCTGCTGTACAGCGTCAACAGGCGGCTGGACCTGTTCGCCGCCTTCAACGTGGACCGCATCTTCGAGTGCCGCATCCTGTCCGTGGACCACCGCTACCGGGGCCGCGGCCTGGCGAGGACGCTGCTGGCGCGCTCCCTGCAGGCGGCCAAAGACGCGGGCTTCCAGGTCACAGGGTCCCCACAAGGTTGCTTCGCTTCGCGACTAACTTTCTTCTTACTCACCATCTAAATTTTTAATTTTTTCGCAGCTTGTCAAGGAAGACGCGACGGGCTTGTTCTCCCAGCGCGCCGCGGAAAGCATGGGCTTCCAGACTCTCCACGAGATGCCGTACGAGGAGTACAAGAACGAGGACGGTGGCATCGCCTTCCCCACAGAGGACCCACACAAGACTCTCAAAATCATGGTCAAGCAGCTGCACTGAGTGCACTGAGCTGCGCCACTGCATATCACGACCCTCGGCCTTCTTCATCGATGGGGGAATATCTTTCTGAATGAGGTTTCGATTCAACCTCCCATTTTCTACACAATAAAACTAAAACCGAAAGTGAGCGGCTTTGTTAGTTTAACAGTGACATCTAACTAGACTCTTCCTTTCCTTTTCGCGTTCGGAGTTAAAGAGGTTTCTTTTGAAATGTAAGACACTGTAAACCTTTGACATATTATTTTTAAAGTTTCTAGACGATTGTTTTTGTAGGCCCCGAATGTAATATTAGGAGCAATTTATTCTTGATAGATCTAGTGACTGTGAATAAGGAAATGAATAAATAAAATTGCCTTCCATTCAGTTCTGGGATTGGGACCATTCAATATGGGGGATAGTACTATATGGTTTGAAAATTGTCTACTCAGAAGTCAACGTTTCGCCCGTACCTTTCTGGCACTGAAATTGCTTATTTGCTGTTGGCTGGCAGTGTGGGCTATGTTAATACATACTGGAATTCTGAAAAACAAAAAGGAAAAAATATCTAAAAGTTATTATTTGACTGTGCTTTTCTCCTTGATGTCAACAAAATCAATCCTTGATTACATGCATATTGAAGTCTATTGCCTGTAGAGTGAATAATTTGAGAAGTTTATCACATCATTGTAAAGGAAAGTACTGAGTACACTCAATTTTTGAACATGTATTTCAGTTGTTTGCCTAAACAATAAAATAATCACATTAAAAACAATAACGATTATAGACATGGAGTAATTTTATTGCATTGAATATAGTTGGGGTGACCTCTTTTTCCTTGCCAGATAGAGTATTGTCATTTCCTCACACAAAGTTTAGGAAAGATACAATTATTGTGCAACAAGCTTTCCTGAAATAAGAGATGAGCAATGCAGCATTCAATTGTAGTTTTCCCTTTGAAAGCTGTGTTTGTTCTCATTAAGGTCACTAATAACATCATAAACTAAAATATCAACAAACATCAGTATCTACAATAAAAGCTTTATAAAGTCAAAGAAGACACATTCCACAAACTGACACAAAAGTTTCCATTCCAAATTTAGACTCAGCCAGGCCCCAAAACAAAATATACAGAAGATTTTTTTTTATTTTATTTTTTAAATTCAGTAGTAACAAGAGTGGCTGATAAGATATGTTGAAAAAAAAATTTGGTTTCTAGTGATGAGTGGAGCCTATTCTTACAAAGAAGATTATGGTTTAAGACATGAGTGCAGTCTTGCTGTTTACAATAAGGCCTGTCCCAATGAATGAACACTCAAATTCCTACATAAAATAGAATGGTATACAAAATGGAATGTCAGGATCTTTCTGGTTGGAGCTAAAGGACAAAGTCTCAGACCACACACTAGCCTGATTAGCTCCAAATAAACATTAGAAGCCACTACTTAACTGGGTGTAAAGCAGGGAAGCTTATTTACATGGATGCGGCTTCAAATTTCAGACATGGTTTATCTAAAATTTAAAACCCGTATAATCTTTTAAAATGATCTGATTTCAGTATTTACAAACAATGTGATAGTGTATCCACAATTTCAAATAATAAGATGTTAAAGTACAAATTAAGTTCTGCCATTAAGTATCCTCATTTCAACCAATGTATTTACAGGTAAAATTTATTTTACATTAGGCACAACCTACATTATGGTAATAATCATTTGTGAGAAACCCAGGAACAATCCTAAAAATTCTCCTAACAAATAAAGGAGAAAGAAATTTGTCCGTGGACATTCTCAAGCACATTCAATTTCATCACATATAACAAATTCATTTTGAATCTCTTTATAAATTTCTTATGCAGAACAAAACACCTACAGAACATTCACTGCAACATGATGAACAGGGTAGTGGCAAGTACCCAATTTGTGAAAACCAATACTGATTAGATGCAAAAATATATTTAATCAGAAGAGCAAATCTTCATCCCCTTCATCTAACATGTTGGAACCATGGATGTCAACTCCTTTAGCCTTCATTTCTGCAAGTTTTGCTTCAACCTTTTTACGAGCAATACGTTTCTTGTCCTGAATTTTCTTCAACCTGCCCAAAAGATAGTAATAACACTTAAGATTTGTTGTTTCATAGAAAATAATGGTTCATATCATGATTCATTACTTGCCTGTAAAATTCTTCACGTTCAAGCTCATCCAATTCAGAAATAATATACTGCAAAGTGCGCTCAATGCGGGGAATAATCACTGAAAGACAAATTGAATAAGATTAATAAAACACTATTTAACTTAGTTTACTTCAGTGACACAGTACATGAGAAAATTCTTACCATGCTCAATAGCATTAACACGGCGATTAGTAATTTTGATGACCTCATCAAGAGTAACAAAGGATGTCTGAAGTGAAGCCAACTCAACCAACAATTTTACAGCAGCTTGATAATTCTTCTTGAGTTTAGCAAGCTGTTGTCCACCACGGGCAAGACCAGCCAACTCGTAACAATCTGTGCCATCCTGATAGCATTCAAACACTGGCAAGGTGACACCTGAACAAGGAAAAAGAAAGTGAATCTTACACCAATACTTAAGCAGAACTGGAACCATTTAATCTTTGCCCATTGACAGTCTCTAACCTACCGGCAACATTATCTTTCTTAGAGCGAATCTTGATCTGTGCTTTCTGAACATTTTGAAGAACCACTTGGTTGAAATCGCCAGTGGTGAACTTTGCCTCCGCAAGGGAGAAGGCAGCCTCTTTCATCACTTCACCCATCAGAGTCTTGGTCTACAAAGAAGCAATTATGAAATGAATTGCTTATCAGATGAATACATAATCAAATAAAATGAAGAAAAGCTTTCATCAACTTACTTCAACAATCTTATTCAAAATCATACGGAATCTCATCTGAAGAGCATCAGCTTTCTTCTTTAATAAACTGTGTCCTTCTGAGCACCTGTCAGACGGGCTTTCATCATAGTCTGGGCCCTGCAAGATACAAAACAGAAAAACAATGCCGTCAATAAACAAAAGGTTGGCATTGTTTCAAAAGTTACATGCAGCATGAGTGTGGGTAGATAATGTTACAGGTGAAGTAATAAGGTAGTGTTTGGCAACATCCCAGGGAAATCGCAGAGAGTATTTACCATTGAAGTGTTCAAAACACTGACAACAGAGCACGACTAGGTTATGGTCACGTGTGTACTAGCGACTAATTCAAAACCCCCAGGGATAGAAACATCTTTTGAACGCAACATGGTCATGTCCCGAGAAAAATGTTTCGATTTTCGTAAGGAAAGAAAGCACAAAACACGTCAAAAGAGATCCAGCCTGAGAGCACCATCCTTGTGCCAAAAGTCCCATTTCGACTGATTTTCCGTGGCAAAAGAACGGTACCACTTACAAAATGTTTCAGATAGAAGTGAATAAATTGCCAATAAAATACTTACCCCCGAGAGGGGAAAATAGCCAATCTATCCTTTCCAGACATTTTGATGTGAAATGTCCAAGAACAGTCCCAGCAGAAAAGTCAGCTGACGTTAAGCAGGCTGATCAGTCACGCGCTAGCGCTGTAAAACTTGACAGAGCACACGAGTAAATAATTGAAAGGAAAATTGTCAAGTCACTGATTTTATCAAAATCAACTTTAATTGTCTCATTTACCTCTTCTTGCTGTACGCTTGATGAAATAGAGCCATGTAAATGCGTCCGAATTCGGCTTTTTCGACCATGCAAAGTGTGGTAGAACTGGCTATTTCTTTCGAAATCCCAAAAGGCGGTGAGAAACAACAACAAGAACAACAAGAAACACACCGCAGACTTGGTTTGGTTTGAAAAGTGGACTTTGCTTGAAGTCAATTTGTATCAATCATGACTGAAGAAAACAGCGTGGGAGCGGATCGTAACATCGATGAAGATGATCTCTACACTTTCCTGAACCTGCCAAGAGATGTAAGATTCCTGACAAAGAAGGGCTCTCGATTTAGTTGCCGTGAAGGTTGTACCCGGTTACCTATATATAGCACAAGTTCTGCTTCCCTTTACTTAAATATTCTCTGATATATTTTTACCACAACTTGTTATTGTTAAATATCTACCAGGCCGTTTTTGTGGCTCATAGGGACTTCACTGTCTGAACCCTGGGGGCTAACTTTTAGTCTGCTGATATCTTAACCTCAAATGTGATGCAATTTCACTCTTCTTCATTTCATCCTTTGCCTTTAGTTTGCCTTAGTTTCTCACTCAAATTTTCACTACGTTCAACGTTTAACGGTCCATGAAACCTCACCCCAATTGTTTACATGTCTTGGGCTTTCATTTGGTTTTAGGCCACACGAGAGCAAATACAACAGGCATATCGTCAATTTAGCAGAATTTACCATCCAGACAAACATACTGACCCTGCCAGGAAAAAAGAAGCAGAGACCCTTTTCCAGAAAACTAAATATGCCTATGAAGGTATGTTGTCATGAGCACAATAACATTGGATTTTAAGATCTTTGTATCACAACAAATGTTCTTACATGTTTAATTTGTTCCTTTATATCTTTACTCACAGTCCTTTATGATGAAGTACAGAGGGCTATATATGACAATTATGGATTGAAGAACCTTGAGGAGATGAAGCATGGGGAGCAGTGGGCTGTAGTTCAAAGGACAATGACTCCTCAAGAAATACGTGAAGAATATGAGAGGTTGGCAAGGTAATATTTGCCATGTCTTCTTTTCTTCCCTTTATTCATATTTTTATTTTAAATGCATTGATTGCATTTTACTTTTATCAATTCTGGTTCCAGAGAACAAGAACAGAGGCAATTGTACCTCCAAACAAGACCCAAAGGGCTAGTTAAAGTTCGAGTCAATGCGACTGATCTTTTTGATAGCTATCCTTATGACATGGAGAATGAGTGAGTGACTAATTTCATATCCTTGAAATACTTCTTAAAATGTTTGAAAGAAGAATAATAATTTTGGTGTTTTTGTTTTCCAGAGGGAAAATGTTTGGTGATAAAGCCATTGATAAATGGAGAAGTGTAGAGGTATCAGGAATGTCATTTTATCAATATATTGAAGCACCGCTTACAACACGAAATATTCTGTCTTTGTCAGGAGAACTATCTACACAGAATGGGACAGGTACAGAAATGTGTATATTTTTGTTCTTCATTGAACCATGTTTGGAAGAATCCTATTCATTATTCTTAGGCTCTTTGACTAAAATTTAAAAAAAAAAAAACCCTGATTTGGTGGCTTTACAGGTTCGGGTGTTTTGTCATTAAGTATTCGGAGGCTTTTATCAAATCGAGGAAGAATAGCATTCACTGTTGACGTTGGCAATGGCCCATCATATTCTTTCAGTGGGTACAGTACATTTGCAAAACATTACTTTTGTGACTATGGAGTGGGATTCCACTTTGACCCAGAAGGAATAGGTCTCAACTTGCATTCAGGTATATGAAGTTTTAAACGGCTTTGTTCAGCAATTGTACTGAAGCTAGAGTGTAGCACATTCTGTATCTCTTGTGTTTATTCTCTCCTCAGCTGTTGGTGTTAAATTAGATGACCATCTAACTGGGATGTTGGTTTTTAAAGGAGAGCGTGGCTTTTCTTCCTTGAGTACAATTTTACAGTATCAAGCAGAGAAACTGTCATTATCATTTGGAATTCAATTAGGTATTCCTGACACTAATTTAAACTTCAGCTATTCCAGAAGTGTTATAGATGATTCTTTACGGTTGAAATTTGGTGCCAGGTTTGTATTAAGTGCAGTAGTTGTAACATGAGGATTTTTAATATCGTTTAAAAATTCCATTGAAATTTATTTTATTTTATCTTAAAGGTTTGGAACTCTAGGAGCACGGATATCATATGGTGCACAGAAGCAGGTGACTGATCACAGCTCTGTTGGTGCCACTGTGACAGTTGGTGTTCCTCATGGTGTCTCTTTGACATTGAAATTGACCCGGGCCGATCAGACTTACCTTTTACCTGTGGAAATGTGTGAAGATATACTGCCTGCTCCTGTATTTTATTCTTCAATTTTACCTCTAGTGGGCTGGATAGTCGTTAAAAAATTCATAGTTGATCCCATGGTTCGCAGCCAAGCCGAGAAAGACAAAGAAAAGCAATGTAAAATGAGAAAAAAACAGTATGTGCTTTTAAAAATATGGCAGCAATTGAAGTGAAAATATCTAATAATCTACTCTATTTATCTGGGAATGGTTTCCTTTTTTTCAGGATGGAACAGAAACAAAAGGAGGCTGAAGCTGCTGTCAATTTAATGAGAGCTCAATTTGAGAGAGTTCGCACTGAGGAGGAGTCACGGGGAGGTCTCGTAATTGTGGAAGCTAAGTATGGACGTATCATCTCCAGTGGAGATGTGCGTACTGCTGATAGTTTAGATCAGTCAGAGGTCATTGATGTCACCTTACCTGTACAGTGCTTAGTGAAAGATTCAAAACTTATCCTGTATGAACCATCTAAGGTATGTTGATACTTCCAATTCTAACTGTTATCAGATCAGCTCAACAAATTTTCATAATTTTCCTCCTTGCTTTGTCTAGTGTCATCTCCCTGGCTTTTATGACCCATGTGTTGGTGAAGATAAACAATTGTGGGTGCAATATCTTTTCCATAACAATGTTCATGAAGTAACTGTTAAAGATAGTGAAAATTTGCGGATACCAAAAACATGTAAGTAATGTTTATGAGATTATATAGTATAAATGCCTCACTATATAATTTTGACTTTTTAAAATTTTGTTTCAGCTCATCGAGTCAATACTTCATCATGATGTTTGGCAGTGACCAAAATATAGACTGTAGCAATACCTTGCAGTAATTTAGCTGTATATTTTTCCCTGAAAGGCTGGATGATTGGATAGGTGAAAATATCTTGTATAGTCCTCCTCCCTCATCAATGAACTCATAAGCTTTTCAAATTAATAGGTTAAAAATTTTAATGTCTAAGTTTTAAATATCTCATACCAATCAAGTCCTAAATCCATTGCCTATTCCTTGTAGACACTTCAGGTAGATATTAAAAATGAGCAGTTATCCAGCTCAGATCATTTTTTATGGTCTTTGTCATGCTGTGAACTGCATTTTCAAGAAAAGTAAAATGTACTTTGTCTCTTGTCATGTTGTGAATTGTCTGTTATTGTTATGTTTGATAAATACATTGCTTTCAGAACTAATTTTGAAAAACACATTTATTTAAGGACAGGAGGCGTAAGAGTAACCAATTCTTGTTTTCTCTTGTCGCAGAACATGGGTCTGCAATATACAGCAGATGTTTGTAACTGTTTTGCCATTTGCTGAATTTTTTTTGGCAAATACACGAAGAGGTTAAATGGATGTAACTAGACAAGAGGTGTTATCTGGATGATGAAAGAAATTGCATTGCAAATCTACATCACTTGAATGAAGTAAGTACATCCAAGCAACTACCTTTTTTTTCTTTATTTGATAAAAATGGAGAATTCAATACTGAATTGGCAAGCTAAATGCATTGTGAACATATACTTGCATTTTAAAATGCAAATGGTAACTTAACAGTCCAAGGCCCAAGTCAGGATTGTGTTGTACAGAAACTGCCTTACACAGGCAAGGCAAACAAATGCTTTCAAATCAGTCTAGAGAGCATTTCCACATATGATGTACAGAATATGGTTTCCACACAAAATGAAAATTTAGACAAGTGTATTGAATTATGCAAAGACAATAGGTTATTTTGACTAATCACAGAAATCACAGAAAGAATGGCAAAACGAAATGCAAACTAGATGTTTTTCTTTTTTTGATATTTTTACAATGAGAACATCTAACATGAACTCATGACGCACTATTTATCTTTACCTCCACAAACAACTTGAGATAATGCATTGCATTAGACTTCATTTTGGATGATGTACCAGCGTTGGAATAAGTGAAGTCACCATAATGGAAACATTGTAGTGCCAACGCTGCAAGTCCAGCTATCACAATTTAGCAATTTGACAAAGAACATGAATTAATAACCTAAACTTGTTTTACTACTTGGCTTGGCTGTGCCTGATTGCTACTAGCTGCTGGTTGTGGTACAGGTGGTTGCTGAGCTTGTTGAGGTTGAGAGTCAACTTGTCCAGAATGATGATGTTGTGGGGCTGCCTGCTGGGAGGCAATATGATTCTCAGCTTGGTTGTGTTGATTGGAAGTTGGTGGCTGGAACTGCTGTGGTTGGCCTTGATATTGTGGTTGTCCCTGGAAATTCTGAGATGGAGCCTGGAATTGTTGAGGATGGGCCTGGAACTGCTGTGGCTGACCTTGTTGAGGATTAGCCTGGAACTGCTGTGGCTGACCTTGTTGAGGATTGGCCTGGAACTGCTGTGGTTGACCTTGTTGAGGATTGGCCTGGAACTGCTGTGGTTGACCTTGCTGAGGATGGGCTTGATACTGCTGAGGAGGAGCCTGGAATTGCTGTGGTTGACCTGGATGGGCTTGTTGATACTGCTGAGGTTGACCTTGAGGATGAGCCTGGAATTGCTGTGGTTGACCTGGATGGGCTTGATACTGCGGAGGCTGACCAGGATGGGCTTGATACTGCTGGGGCTGACCTGGATGGGCTTGATACTGCTGTGGTTGACCAGGATGAGCTTGATACTGCTGTGGTTGACCAGGATGAGCTTGGAACTGTTGCGGGTGCGCATTAAACTGCTGTGGATGACCTTGGAACTGCTGTTGAGGGTTTACTCCATACTGGGGATGCAACTGAAAAAAGAATAAGGATCATAAGTTTTAACTCAACAGAGGAGGGCGAAAATGGGGGGCGAGTGTGGATGAAACTTCTCACCCTTCCATCAGCGATCATTGCTTCAATTTCATGTTGCCTTTGCAATTCAAACTTGTGATACTCTTCAGGGGTGTACACTTGCTGCTGGTCTAATGATTCCCAGCCGGGATCACTGTTAAAGTCCTTCTTTTGAGTTTGTGCATGGAATTCCTCATAACTGATGAGGCCATCTCTGTTTGTGTCAGCTTCCTGGAATACATGTTCCCGCATACGCTCCATTTCCTCCATCCTCTCTCGCATGTCGTCTTCGGGTGCTCCAGCCTGGTACATTTTATCTAACTCTTTCAGGAAAAGAGCTTTAACTTCATCAAAGTCCCACACGCCGTTACCATCAAGATCTAAATTAAAACAAACACATTGTAAAATAAATTTAACTTAGAGAAGCTTTGTACCATAGGAAGACTGAACTCACCATGCAGATGGAAAAAAGTTTTAGGGTCAAAGTCTTGGTTGTCCATATGGTCCTGTTTCTCCCATACTTCCTCTAATTGTGGTTTGCTGATAGGATGATGCAACTGAAAAATGAGAATGGGTGAAGTCATTTGAAAAGCTGTGTTTAAAGTGGTAAAATACAATTTAGTTAGGAGTGAAAATTCATACCGGGGCGTGCTTCTTATGCTTTTCTTCCATGTTGTGCAGCTCTGTCTCAAATTTCTTTTTCTCTTCCTCAGTCATATTTTTTGTCTTTTCATGGTTTTCAAACTCTTTCTGCATCTCATACTCTTTAAATTCTTCCCTCCGCTTCTTATCAGCTTCTGCTAAATCTTTCGTTGTCTATGGAACAAAATAGGATTTTAAAGAAGGCTCTAATAAGACAAGACTGTGAAAATTAGTTCATGTACCAACCTTGGCAATAAGTCTTTTTAAGTCCTCTACTTCAAAAGTATCAGGATTTGCATGATCAACATGTTCTGTGTCAGGGGCACTGTGAATTCCAAGGTGTTCTGTGTCCAAGCCCTGCTCCAGCTCAAATGCCTTTCGAGCATATTTCCGGAGACGCTCCATTTCTGTCCTCTTAACTTCATCAAGACGTGTTCGAACAGCATGGCTTACAAACTCCAATTCATGGGCAATTTTACCAGTCTGAAAAGATTTCTTAAATTAGCATACAATTTCCATTAGCATAAATGACTCATTATTACAACATTAGTTACTCGTATGTCCGTGTCTTCTGCTTTTTGAAGTTTATCCCGGAATTGGGGATCACTTTCCAGAGCTTGAACCACTTCTTTTAAATAGCGATTATACTCAACACTGAAATCATCCTGAATAAACAATGCAAACAGAGATTAAGATATTATAACAATGAAATTTTGAACTACCACAGCACAGAAAGATTGAAAATCACAAACTAAATCATATCTTACATTTTCTTTCTGGTCAATATCGTTAGGACTTTTAGTGGTTTGAGTGACAGGTGGAGCTACAACACCACTTACAATCAATGACACGTATAAACAAAAATAAATTTTTAAATTCATGGCCTGCAACAGTAAAAAGAAAGAGAAAAGCTTAAGAGACGTGTAAAAAAAATAAAACCAAAAAAGCAAATGTATCTTCTACCACTGGACATCATCTGAAACTTGTACAAAACTGGTTGAGTGTGGTAAAAGGGACATAATATCTAAGTGGTCGCTCTTGACGAAAATCATATGGTTACTCGAAAAGATAAACAGGAAATCCACACACCTAACCTTGAGCTATGGTTTCCCAAAATATGAAACCACAGAAAGGTATCAGGCTACCGCAACTGACAACAACAAACAGAATGTGCACTCACTAGGACACGTGTGACAGTGGTATTGAACCACGTAATCTCTCCTGGTTATTCAATATGTTTACAAGTGCATCCTTGTCACTTTCGACGAGATGTGTTGTGTCGTCAGTCGTCGCGTTTCCCTTCCACTTCCCCTCCCTCCCCCTTCCCCCGGTATATTGTAGAAGGCGCTTTTCTATGAGAATTTGTCGGGTGCTGCCAGCGGGTTTTTTGAACCAGAACTTCGGCCTTCCCCAACTCCTCTGTCTGTCAGCTCGGCCCCGTCGTGCAGTAAAGCGAGTATTGAGATGTCCCAATAGGACCATTCGAAATAATCGTCTTTATTCAATTTTTTTTCCAGTATGTGATGCATGAAGAAGACAAAATAATACAAATTACAATAAAATACAACATGATACAACATAAATTAATAATAATTGTAGGACAACGACACTACATTTGAAATGTGAGAAAGTGAAATACCCTACATATAAGTTGCAATAAAAAACCACACATACTTTAACATATTTCAGTCTCATAATAATGTACTGTTTACCGCAGTGAAACAGTAGTAAAAGATGTGAGAAATTAAGTAGAAACATGCAATCTATTTTTTTAGAAACATAATGAATGATATCTACAAATACAAATAAAAAAGAAATTCAAAACAGCAAAAATCCAAACATGTATTGAATTTCAAGAGGAAAAAAAGCATTATTTACAACTAACTTAACCATCAATTTGGCATTAAAAAAGAGATTTTAAGTTTCTACAAAGGTACAAATTTGTTTGTGCTTAACAACTTCTCTTTGTCATCACAGACACATTTTAGAAAGTGATTTGTATAATCAAAGGCACGACCACCGCAAGTTTCACTTTATCGATTTCTATAAAAGTTAAATGGCCGCCTAGGCCAATCCATTCTCTGAAGTAATTTTTCTCTAGCCATCCATTGATTTACAAGTCGTTTTTCATATGGACGAATATAAGCCTCGATCCACTCTTCTATTGTGTACTGGTCATAGACTTCTAAAGCAGCATTTCTAAATTCTGTTTTCAAATTCATGAGTTCCATCTTGAAGCGGTCTATTTCAGAAGTAGCTGCCTCTACCTGAAAAGGAAGCTTCCATAACTTCTGCTGGTTCAATTTTTAAAAAATGAATATAGAATAAGGGACACTTTATTTTACCTGATGAGGATTAGAAACATTCCACTTGATGTTTTGGTCACTCATCCATGCACGAGCAACAGGGTTGTTAATCCCAGTTATGGGATTCTCAAGTTCCCTTTGTATGAGGAAAAAACGTTGAACTAAAATGAAGACCGGAGCTCCGGGGAATACACACGTTGTTCCACCAATGTGTGGAGGAAATGAGACGTCACACCGAAGCAGGTCGAGTAGTTTTGATGGAGCATCAACTGGATAGGCTTGACACAAAGGAGCAACCCATGAGTACAGTATTTAAATCTTGCAAAAAAAGAGGTGATGAGTAAAATAATCTCAAACATACTATGCTTGTAGTTTTGAATGTAGTAGAGATTGAGTATGAGAGAAGGAATACCAACAGGGAATAATTCACACAACACTGAAAAATGGTCATATCGTTGCCACCCTGTCATCATGATGCCTCTGAAATTAACTTGATGCTTGAATTGTTCCACAATGGCCATCCATGACATGTGGTTTTCCAAGTGGTATGCTGGAAATAAATACAGAGAACAACAAAGTGTTATGACCAGAGTTACTTCAGTGTGGTGGTTTCTCTGTAGGTACTGTACGTACTAAAATTAGTGAGAAGTTGGTCAGGTCCAGTGGCTCCCTTGAAAGCAGAGGCAATCCAGATGTTTTTGAAATTGTGAGAATACATACTCCAAATATCTGAATTAATATGCATTAGTATGTTTGGATGATAGTTCCATACAACAGGTTCCACCCATTGAGATATACCGGACTCAAACAGCTCAGTATACGAAAGAGAACGAAACATGTCTTCCCAAACAAGGGGCATTACATGTGAGTGTTTTGTGCGAATATATCTAAAAGTGGAGCAAAATTGAATGGGGTTACTTATAAGATTTTTATAAGAACATGACCTAAAGGGATTAAACTTACTTGGCAACACTTTTCACATGATTTATAAATAGTTGACCTCTGTTCCAAGTTTCTTGTTTCATTTTATCCATACAACGAACACATTTCCCCAGCTCATATACTTCATCAGACCCGATGTGAAGATATTTTAAATTAGGATGCCAATGCACAATTTGATCAATCATTGCATGTAATACCTTCATAGTCCTGTTATGTGTTGGGCATAGTGACTGAAAACAATTAATGATTGTTAAGACATTGATAAATCTGGTGAATTCCATTTAAAAATTAAAACTTACCCCAACATTAGAAAAAACCTCTCTCATATCAATATTTTGCTTTAGTTTCAGAAAGAATTCTAGATGTCCGAATGTTTGAATGAGAGGGATAACTTCTATCTGGTTTTCTTTAGCCAAACTTAATATCCGTTTGATATCCGGAATTGAATAGGCATTGTAAGCAGAAACATTCTCAAAATAAGGACCAGAATACGGAAACATGTCTTCATATTCCATCAGAATTCCATTAGCTCCATGCAATTTCAAGAAGGGAAATAAGTCTTCAAAATAAGACACTCGGGGGGGTGCACCCTTAAGATCCAGATGAACCACCCGATATTCTGGAAGAAAAAGAAACACCATTGTAATTTAAACTCCAAACATGAGTAATGTAATCGTTTTGTGAGAAAAATCATACGCAATGTGTGTTCTGAATCGCGCCAAGTTTGCACGGCAGGAGTATCTTTCTTCATATTAATCCCAGCCAGAAGTTGTTCCTCCTTCTGGCGCTGTTTTAGGAGGTGTGCTTGACTCTGAGTCATGTACTCATTTTCTTCTGAGGCTACAGCATTCATATTTGCTTTCGCATTTTTAAGAGCCTTGGATTTAACAGAGTTGAATTTTGAATGGGTATTGTTTCCATCCGACATACCATAAATGAGAAGCATAATGATAACAAGAGTAACAGAGGCAAAAATGTACTTGGAGCTAAGTCTATTCAAACTTATAATTTTCATGTTGACTCAACAACAAAGCTCAAGTTACTGAATTAAAACAAAACTCTGCAGATCTAATAGAGAAAGTGGTGACTTCTTAATCTACAGATTTGTCACAGTTTATCTTCTTTCACTGCCAAAGTAGATGCAATGCAGACAAGCCGAGCTAAGCCCAGCAGACGACCGTTCATCGAATGAATGGGTTAGAATTTGCCTCAGCCGCTATTTGCGCCTCCATGACCACACCGTGAAGCCCCCATCCGGACAGCAGGCAAATTCTCCGTCCGACGCTTCACAACGTGAGGATCAAACTCCTCCCGGAACTATCACCACTGTTTTCAGTTCAAAATCCAAGCAGAAGACGGATCGAAGATTGACTCATCCGAATCAAAACACAATCGCCAGGCACGTTTCCAAAACATCTAGCAGACTACGGCCACACGCGCGGTGCAAACATGACGGACGTAACATTTCCTCCTCAGTAGCTGCTCTCTCGTCGGTAGTGGAGCGGCTCTGGGCAGAATCTGGCGGCTGCAGCGATTTGGCGACCTGGCTGCATCGAAGCTGCACTGCCATCCGCCCTTTGGCGCGCGAATCCACGCCGTCCAGCCTGCTTCCAGCCTCGGTCCGGCGGGGAAGTACAACCGCGGCGCGCGCGGCTGGTGGCAGCACTGCCACGCCACTCCGGGCCACTCCGCCTGACAGCCACAGGACGAGCCGACGGCACCCGACGGGCTGAGGGGCCGACATGCACAAGTGTCAAAACAACAGCTGTTTGATAGTGGCGATAATTCAGTCCTCGGCCCAAGGCGAAGGCAGAGCCAGTCTCCGTCGCGAGCCGGGACAGTGAGGTGCGCGAGGAAGAGCGGGAAGCGCGCGGCAGGGACACAGCGTGACCATGGCAGAGATGATTTTCGGCGGCATAGAAGGGTGAGTACGGCACTGGCACGCCTCTAGCCGCGCCGCCGCGCCGCGCCAAGTGAAAGCAGACGCCCGGTCCGCGCCACGCTGCGCCACGCAGCGCGCGCCGCGACCGTCTCCGACCGGTGTCCGGTGTCCACGCACATTTTCGAAGCCCCCGCGCCGCGCCGTTCAAATTGCGACGCGTTTCGCGCCTGCGAGGTTATGCAGATTGGGCGGCAGGTGTTTCGCGGAGGAAGACCCGGAGAAAGACTTGTCAGTTGATTAAAGGGGTTCAAACAAAAGCTCCCTTTTGCGGGTGCTGTTCGGTAGGTCAGGATCGCGGGACGATTCAGTTTCATTCAGCAACTTCAGGAACCTTGTGTGTGTATGACATGTGGGCGAAGTCATTGAATGTATGCACACTTTCTAAATAGCGAGTTTCCAGAAAGCCCAAAGTCTGGAAAGCATTTTGTTTCGCAAGCTTCTGCGCCGGACTTGTGCCTCGTGCGCTTGGCCGCCTCCTCCAGCGCCGCGTCCGGTGGAAGTTTGATCGGCGAGGCCCGGCCATTCCAGCCATTCCACGCGGCCTCACATTCCGCCCGTATTGTTTCCGCCGCAGACCGATTTCTAAATGCCAGTTGGGCTGGGCCGCGTCCCTCGCAGTCCCTCGCAATCCCTCGCCCCTCACGTCGCTACCCGTTTTATGGGCGGCCAGCGCGTGCGGGTCGTCTGGCCGTCCACTCGCAATAACGTTCGTGCTAAATGCCCACGCATGCATACCAATACCGATGAAATCTCGCGAGGCGCGGATCAGGGTTCTCTGGAGAGGGGCTAGCGTAGCGTGTGTTGCCTGCATGCTGTTTGCCTACCTTCCAGGCGGCCTTCCCAGTTCCCAAGGGGGGAGTGGTTACCCCCCACCCCCTGGATCCGCACCTGGACCTGGACTCCATTGGCTGCACAGTTCCAGGCCGTCTGGCACAGTTCTAAAGAAAAAGATAACGTGTTCGCTTAACGATGAGCCACAGCGTCCGACGCTTCAGACTGTCTGCAGACTTTCCTTTTTGAGGGCGCGTTCCGCGGCCCTATCGCACGAGGACTGCGCTTGTACAACTGTCTCGTCGCGAAGTCGTAAAAATGACTGTACAGGTTGCGACGACTAACTCTTTAAACCGGTGGGTCTGTACACGCACGCAGCGTGGGAAAGGAACTTCCCTGTGAACTGTGTGTCTTCTCCACCATGCAAATCACCCTGCCCCGGTGAGATGACAGTTTTCTTACTTTCTTTTCTGTGGGTTTTGTTTTCAGATTTTATTCTTTTTACAAAAGCGAAAAATGAGTTGGGCGGGTGGGCTGCACGACGGGCCGCGTGTTCCTGGCGAAAGGCGATTTGAACCCTGTTTTCGCGACCGCCAAAGTTGGAGCCATCAATCTCGCGCGACTTTGGCGCGTCGCGTTTTGCCCCCACCGCCCCCACTTATCGAATGAGGAGCGAACTTGTCTTGGCGCCGAATCGCTCTGCGCCGCTCTGCGCGATGAGGGGGCAGAGTGACACTGTCTCCGCCAAGTGCTCTCCGTCTGCACCCGTCTCGCGTTCAACCCATTGACGGCACGGAGTGCCATGGCATGACATGGCCGTCGACGAGACACGCGCGTCACATCTTGAGAGGCCCGCTGCCGCCCGCTGCACCGCGCGGTCCATGGACGCGTCCCACCCCATGGCGGCACATGCCCAGTGCCACTTCATGGCGGCCGCGCGGGGTTGCCTCGGCAGGCACGAATCCAGGGGGCGTCGCCACCCCTTTCCCGAAGGCGCCTGGAAGGCAGGCAACAAGTCGCACTGTGGCCCCGTGGGTATGCAACTTTTGCGACACCGCCCTCCCCTGAAGCCTGAAGCCGTTTCTAGATCCGCCCTCCTGCCTGCCTGGGTGGCGCGGGGCCCCATCCATGGTTGCCCATGCTGACAAATTTCCTACCCAGCCGGTACGAACACTTGGCGCGTTTCCGGCCCCAGGCCGCCTTGACGAAGGTGTCGATCTGCATGTCATTACCGGGACGGGGGCCCTGCGCCGCTCGCCCGCCACTTTCGTCGCGTTTCTTTACGACCTTGTATTCCCTGACCGTAAGTAGAGAGAGAAAAAAAATTAGCCGCCATTTGGTTGGCAGGACCGTTGCCAACACGCTTCCACTTGAAAGGCACGTGGAGTCGCGGCTCTGCGTGCTGCCCCGGTGCTGCGCCGCCAGTGAGTGAGAGTGAGCGAGAGCGACAGAGAGGGCCGCCAGATACGCGACTCGAGCTGTCTCAAGTGGGCGCCAAACCTTATCGAGCCCTCACCTTGGCATTGCGTCCGTGCTATGCCGTGCTACCGGTCTAGGATGCGGAGCGATGCGCAGCGATGCGGCCGAGAAGGACAAGGGGGACCATCGCCCTCGGCCGCCCTCGGCCGCCCTCGGCAACACGCGCGCGCCGTGCCGCCGTGTCGCCGAGGCGCCGCGCTCTCCTGCAGACTGATTCCGAGCACTTGCTCTCGTCGCTCTGTCTCTCTCGCACTCGTGGAGCGTCCCGTAAGGCCCGTGAGGACGCTCCATGAGTGCGAGAGAGACAGCGATGATGAAAGCAACCTACCAGCACTCGTCTTCGTCGTCCTCACCTTTCGCCGTTCGACTTTCGTCCTCGTCTCGCCACCCCCTTCGCCCTATTGCCCGTTCTCGTCTATTCGTCCTCGGCTGCGGCTTAAATCGGCGCTTCGCTGTGCTTCGCCCACCCTGCTCCGCTGCCTTGTTGTTATTTTGGCGCGGATGGCAAATGTATGCGCGCGGCCAGCAAGGCCGGCAAGGCCGCAGGCATCGACACATCGACAGCCGTTGACCCTGCCGGCCCTGCAGGCCCTGCTGCATATCTTATCACTCGCCACTGTCACGGGCACGGTGTGCCGCCCGCCCAAGCGCCGCCCGAGCCCCGCCAGGAACCAATCTGCATCGCGGACCGCCCGATCCGCCAAATGCCAAATTCGGCCGCCCGGGTCCGGCTGCACCCACTGGAATGGCACAGGCCGATGCACTGTGGAAAGGTGGGAGAGGAGAGGAAGTGGCGCGGAAGTGTCCCTGCCCCTGGTTGAGCCCGTTTCTATTTTCGGCCCCCGCGCCTCCAATCCAGTAGAACTGATTCCGACAGTCGTTTTCGTCGCTGTCGCTCTACACGGAATGGCGCATGGGTGCGAGAGAGACAGCGAAGGAAACTACTTTCGGAATCAGTCTGCAGCCGGGCTGGGACTAGGACTAGGGTCCTGGACCGGTTGGCCTGGGTCCCGGCGGGTCCCGGGTTGCGTCGCCCATCCAGAGAGTGTAAAGTTGTTCCTGTCTCTGTTGCAGCGGCGCCACCCACTCCACGGTGGCCCTGTTCGACTCGAAGGGCACCCGGCTGGTGGAGCTGAGCGGGCCCAACACGAACCACTGGGTGAGTCCCGGAAGTTGCTCCCAAGTCTTTGTAGTGTGAGGCTTGGGACTTGTGCTGACTGCGTGGTGTGACCGTTGCAGGCCATCGGGATGGAGGAGTGCCAGCGGCGCATCGCGGCCATGGTGAACGACGCCAAGGCCCAGGTGGGGGTGCCGGCGAGCCAGCCCCTGGCCGCGCTGGGGCTCAGCCTGAGCGGCTGCGAGCAGGAGGAGTCGAACCGCCTGCTGCAGGAGGGGCTGGAGCAGCGCTACCCGACGCTCAGCAGCAGCTACGTGGTGTGCAGCGACACGCTGGGCGCCATCGCGTCGGCCAGCGAGGGAGGTGAGGGGAAGCTGAGCACCCTTCCTTGCAGTGGACCGTCCCCGCCCTGCCGCCCCTTCGAGCCAGACGACGCCGTCTAGACTGATTCTGGGAGTCGCTTTCGACGCCTTCTCTCTCTCGCACCCATGCGGGGCGCGCCTTCAGTGCGAAAGACACGGAGCGACGCAAACGACTCTCGGAATGGGTCTGCTTCTGGGATTGCTTGGATTGCTCAACCCGGGAGCCTGAAGCCAGACGAGGCCCGGCCGGAGTGAGCGGCCCCCCGCGGCCTGCGGCGTAGGCAACGCGCGCGCATGGCGGTCGTGCGGGACTGCCTCGCCCCGCCGTGCCACGCCGTGCCACGCCACTCTGCTGCGGGCGGGTCGGTGACCCGCAAGTCGCACTGACCCCATCAATACCCTCCACACTGAAAGGAGTGCTTTTCTTTTCGTTTTCAGGCGGCATTGTCATCATTTCGGGCACCGGGTCCAACGCGCTGCTGCTGAACCCCGACGGCACGGAGGCGCGCTGCGGCGGCTGGGGCCACATGGTCGGCGACGAGGGCAGCGGTAAGGGGGAGGGGGAAGGGGATGGGACTTTGGCATGTGGACCGTGGTTGGCGGGAATCTTATTCGACGCGTTTTGCAGCCTTCTGGATTTCACACAAGGCTGTGTGCGGCATCTACCACGAGCAGGACAACTTCACCAAGTTCCCCTATCCCTCAGACACGCTGTTCTCTCTAGTCAAGGCGCACTTCGGCGTGGAAGACAGGTAAGACCTTCTGCCTCGCTCGCGCCTCCAAGGCGCTCTGAGTTGTCGACGACGGCTCACTCCGTGCTTCTGGCGGCAGGTTCGCGCTGCTCGGCCACGTGTACGACAAGTTCTCCAAGTCGCACTTCGCGGGGCTGTGCAAGCGGATAGCGGACGCCGCGCGGGCGGGCGACAAGCTGTGCCAGTGGCTGTTCAGCGAGGCGGGCAAGGTGCTGGCGGAGTACATCCAGGCCCTGGTACCCTCCATCCACGCGGTAAGCGCAGTCTGCAATCTCAGGGCTCCATCAAGTCTGGAAAACCTGGAAGGTCGAAAAAAATAATCTTAGGCTTGGAAAATTTAAAAAAAGTCTCAAACATTTTTATTTTGACAACTTTTAGAAATTTAAACAAATTTTAAAGTTTTCCTTGAGAACATGATCAGGAAAGTTGAAATTTTTGACGACTCAAACTCATTCCCTTCTGGGCGTTGCCGGCGTTGCAGAGTCTGCTGCGCGCGCCCGGCGGCGTGCCCGTGGTGTGCGTGGGCTCCGTGTGGAAGAGCTGGGACCTACTGCACGACGCCTTCGTGGCCCAGCTGCGGCACGGCCAGGGCCGCGGCAACCAGAAGGGCCTCGCCGTGCCCGACCTCTCGCTGCTGTCCCTCACCAACAGCGGGGCCATCGGCGCCACCATGCTGGGCGCCAAGAACCTCAAGTTCCCCCTGCCCTGCGACTACAGCGCCAACTACAACGTGTTCTACCAGTACAAGCGCGGCTCCACCACCAACGGCACCACGTGAAGGCTCAAAACGTGCCCCAAGGAGGACTGTTCAACGCTATTACTCGCAATCAAACAATACAGACAGACACACAAGACGTGGTAGACTTGTGTTGCTCAATAATATTCCACTGGCAGCGGCCCCAGGGTTGCCCGGCCTCTCGTGTCGCGCTAATAAGTTTTAGGGAGTGATGCCATGGTGTCTGGCCAACAGACTTTAAATAAACAAGTAGACTGATAAGAGTATAACACAAAGGGTTAGCCCAACATGTTACTCGTATTTGTTTCGCGATCAAATCGTATTCTATTTTCTGTCAATTCATCCATTGTATTTTGTGCACAGACAACAACACTAATGATAAGATTCGGTATGTGATAAGTAAATAAAATCATGCTTCCATTTTGAATCGACTTGTCTTTATCCAAAGACCTATCAACGAGCCGACCAAAAGTGGTCCCGTTTAGCCGCCAGACGGTGGCGTATGGTTTCGGCGGTCTGTCTCTCTCGCGCTCCTACGGGACGCACCATGAGTGCAAGCGAGACAGAGCGACTAAACCATCCTTTGGAATCAGGCAGCTGTGCACGGCGGTTGACAGTCGGAGGCCTGTCTGTAGCGCCTGTCACGTAGGCCACCAACTCGAACCGCAGCACACGCGTGTGGAGACGGTGGCCTACCTTGCCCCTGCGAAGGCACGGCGCAAGATAGGCCACCGTCTCCACACGCGTGTGCTGCGGGACGAGGGAGATGCCTACCTGACAGGCGCCGCATTCAACACGATGTGCAGATTTACAGACCACTCCCAGAAAATTTGAAAAGCCCGCCAGGAGAGAGAGGGAGTGGGGAGTTGCCGTCCTGACCAATCAGAAGCCCCCGCCCGCCGGGTATCTCAACTTCTTCTTTATTGTCTTCTTCTTGCGCAGTCGTCTATACTCCACGACCTCTCACCAGCAGACGACGTGAGACTCGTAGGACGCGGCACACCCGTATTTGCATTAATGTGACAAGCGTCAATGTGAATCAGTAATTAAAATATTTTTTTGCTTTTTTAAAATTGAGGAAGGTTACTTACAGCTGTCATCTGTTCTCTGCTCATTGGCAGTGACTTCTCGGCCGTAAACTCCCGTTATCGCTCCCTGTCGTCTTGTTTGTTTTGGTTTAGTGGTGTTGGATTCAGGTTATGTAATAGCTTCAATATCATTTAACTAACAATGGCAGTCTTTAGTAGCCTAAGAATTGGAAGCTATGCATCTGGAAGGTTTTTGAAAAAGCATCATCTTTCAGTTTCTCCATTTACAACAAATGGAAAATGGAACAGGTGAGTACCTGCTTAACTCTGAAATGGAATTACTATACCCTTTCATAATACAGTTCTTCTGAATAAATTTTTAACAGGGGGCTAACGACTGATGCGTCAGGAGGTTCCTTTGATCTTGTTGTGGTTGGAGGAGGAATAGTGGGAGTAGCCTCTGCGAGAGAACTCCTTTGCAGGCATCCAACTCTCAAGGTGGCTGTTGTTGAGAAGGAGAACCGCTTAGCAGCTCATCAAACAGGACACAACAGCGGAGTCATTCATGCTGGTACGTTTTGATATTTTTTCCAAAAATGATAAGCATATAACGAGTTTGGAATGTATAATAACAATGTTCTATAATAATAACACATCCCGAAGGCATATACTACAAGCCTGGAACACTGAAGGCAAAACTGTGTGTAGAAGGACTCCGCTTGACCTATGAGTTTTGTGATAAACATAATGTACCGTACAAAAAAGTTGGAAAGCTTATTGTTGCTAAAGACAAATCAGAGGAAGCCCGCTTAATGGATCTATGGGATCGTGGACAACGTAACAATGTCCCAGATCTCCGTATGATAGATTCAGCAGCCATAAAAGAATATGAACCATTTTGCCAAGTAGGTTTCAATAACTCTGTACCATTAAAATAGCTCTGGGTTCCAAAATTGTGTCACTAAAATTCACGTAATTGCTCAAACTCTCTTTTTTTAGGGATGGAAAGCTCTTCATTCTCCTCACACTGGAATTGTAGATTGGGCATTAGTGACAGAGTACTATGCAAAAGATTTTCAAAATAGAGGAGGAAAAATATTCCTAAATTTCAATGTAACAGGATTCAGTGAAGCAACAGATACCCAAGGTGGGGAATTCCCAATCAGAGTGACTGAGCCACAAAGGGTAATTATTTTTCTTTCACTGCTTTTGATAGTACCTCTACATATGTCATGTCCATGCATATCACCTGTTTCTGTGATTTCAGCATCTTAATGCTCGCTACATTTTAACCTGTGGCGGACTTCATTCAGACAGGCTAGCAAAGCTATCTGGATGCAACCCTGTGCCACAGATTATTCCTTTCAGGGGAGAATATTTGTTGTTAAGTAAAGAAAAACAACATATGGTGAAAGGAAACATTTATCCAGTAGGCAAATTTTAAAGAAATAATCCTTAGATTTTGACAGAAACGAACAATATGAACTAAACCTTGATATTTTTAGGTTCCAGATCCACGGTTTCCATTCCTTGGAGTACATTTTACACCTCGGATGGACGGGAGCATTTGGTTAGGACCAAATGCTGTTTTGGCTTTCCAAAGAGAGGGATACAGGTTTAGTACAAACTTTTCCTAGTTTTTGTTAAATTATTAAAACAAATTCAGTTAAAATAAAATTTTGATTCGTTGGATTTCAGGTGGGGAGATGTGAACATCAAGGAATTGGTGGAGGTTCTGAAATTTCCTGGCTTCAGAAATGCAGCAGCCAAACACATATCATTTGGCTGTTCGGAAATGCTTCGTTCTGTCTTCATAAATTTGCAGTTGAAAGAACTCCAGCGTTTTATTCCTAGCATTGAAGCAGCGGATATTTCTAGGTAATCTTTTTCCTTTTACAGGTTTGCCTTATCACTAGCATTTTATTTAGAGAGCTGTTATGAAATGTCTTTCATTTATTCTCGATTTTAGGGGCCCGTCTGGTGTCCGAGCTCAGGCCATGGATCTGTCTGGGGAGCTGGTCGACGACTTCGTCTTCGATTCAGCGCCAGCAAGCAAAGACAGCAAACTGGGGCCGAGAATCCTACACTGCAGGAACGCGCCGTCACCTGGGGCCACATCCTCCCTGGCCATCGCCAAAATGATTGTCGATAAACTTGACACTGATTTCAAGCTGTGATAACTTTGCAATAAAGTAAATATGAAAATAATGAGACGCTGCTCGCGGTTTCTCGGCCCACGCCCCTCGGCGAGTCCCTGGCCTGTCACTGTCACTGACCGACGGGTGGAGGCCGGGCCCGAGGGTTGGCGGCAGGTGGGGGTTGTGGGGGTGGGGTGCGGTGCGGTCCGCGCGTCCACGCGCCTTGCGGCGTCGCGGCCAGTCGAGTCGCGTGGCCCGCCGTAACGCGCAGCGCGCCGCGGTGGCCGCCTCGCCTGGAGTCCGCGACGACCACGACCGCGCCGGCCACGACCGCGCCGGCCACGTCCGCCAGCTGCCAAGTGAGAGGGTCGCCCCATCTGAGTGGCCGACGGCCGGACCGGGACGTCGCGAAGGCGAGGAGTCAACGGGGAGAGCGGCGCCGTTCCTTCACGAACCTCGCGAACATTATGAGACGGGGGATGTCCCGCCACCAGGATCGACGAAGTGGTCGCTGTCTTGGACATCGTCGGAGCCTGCCGGGCCGGTGTTCGGCTAGGGAGATTCAGCCTGAAATAGGTTTGGACGTGAGGGAAATCTAAACCAAGTAGTGGCAGTACGTAGGGTGATAGTAACGCGTGCATCCCATGTTCACACGGTTTTAGTGCAAGCGGGAGTCGCAGTCGCGCCTGGTCCCAAAGTTACATGCCTCAATCCGCACCGGAACATGGCGAACATAAATCTACCCTTTTGAACGGAAAGTGCGGCCTGTCCCAAGCGTTTCTGAAGGTCCTCCGCGAGGCGAGGGCCGGACAGCGGCAGCGGCCCCACCGGTCGATGTCCGCCGTCCGTTCTGCTCTGTGTTCGATGCCCGATGGCTTCTGGCTTCCCCTTGCCTGCGTGCACGGCGTGCCGGCGTGCCCGCCTACAGCGTGCCGGCGTGCCCCTTCGCCTGGGCGGGGACACCGCACGGCCCCGGCCCACGCGCTAACCTTTGCGAACGTGTGGCGAAGAGTCTCGCGAGGTGGAGACGTCGAAGCGGTCAAGACTGCCACTCCAGTTGACGTGCGGTCTATCCCCCCCCCCCCCGATCTATCCCTTTTTCCGCCTTCCCCAATTTATCGAATGGAACGAAGTTTTGCACTTCCGACCTCCAAAAAGGCAGCTCTTGGAGGCTTGGGCGTCTGGGAGGTGTAAGACTTCAGGCAGCATTTGGAGGACAAGAAATCCTGGAGCAGAACAATGCGTAAACAATTTCAACGTCGAATCGGTTTATTTTTGGCGATGAAATCGGCGTCATTTCATTTGACCTTTTCTAGTGCGGCGGACGCAGCGCGACAAATCAGAGTATCGGCTCTCGGTCGGTCCGAACGACGCAGCAATGACATGGAGGGTCACCCAAGCACTGCGGGCCGGGAGTGGGAGAGGGAGTGGTTGGAAATAATAACTGTCATGAGTCCGGAAGTCGAGTCGGCGTCGCCAATAGATCCCCGATGACCTTGCCGATGGCAGTCGTCGGAGACTGCATACTGCATATCGAACCGCTATGTTTGTCCAACGCGAGCGTGAAAAAAGGCGGAATCCGGTTCCACCTGGCGAGCGCCTTCGAGTGTACCGGCGCTCACGCCTTTCTTGAAGCAAACGGGAGCATGACCACCTCACAGTGGGCCAGAAGACCGGTGGAGGCAGCCAAAATCCCGGACGCGTTTTGAGCTCCAGAGTCGCTAAATGGGATTCGAACCGAACGCAAGACCCACCAATGGATTGCTCTCCGAACGAGGAATCCATTGGTGGGGTCACACGTTCGGCTCAAGTCCTGTATAGCGACTCTGGAGCTCAAAACGCGTCTAGGGTTTTGGCCGCCTTCACCGGTGTTCTGGCCCACTGTGCACCTTGCTCGTCCCATCTAAATGCATGGGGGAGTTTCCTTTGTAGACTTGAAGAAAGGCACCCTCCTTGGAGCGCAATGCTGCGCCTTAGTTTTAGCAGTGTAGTAAAGTGATGCACATGGCCGGGGAATTGGCCGGTCTGGCTCGGCCCGGGCCGGGCCCGCGAGCGACGGGGCGACGCCAGTGTATCGGGCCGGACACGGCGGGGCCAAGCCAAGCGGCCACGCGGTGCGACGCGGCCCCAATGGGGGCTCGCGTGGGGTTGCACGCCGAAAGCCGAAATCGCAACGACCAATCAGCACCGAACCCGGCCAGAACGCGGCGCTCCACCAACATGCCCTTGATGGACAAACAGATCAGTCGGAAAGGGAGAAAAGGGACTCCGCAGCTCACCAGGGCATTGCGGTGTGTGTCACATCACAGGGAAGCCCCACCCGCCCGGTACTGCCCGGTACCAAGTGGGTGCATGGCAAAGGCCTCGGGGTAGGTCTCGTACCCACCTGCCGTGGCAGAGGGTCGTCGATTGGACGCCAATTTTGCCATCGCAATCGTTCGATTTGTCGCCTAGGCTTGGAGTAATACTGTTAGGGAGTCCTAACTAGAGCTGCACCTTTCTGTTTGCCAACGCCCTGAAGGCTTGATTTTCAACTTAGAGACTTTCCCAATAGCTCATCTTGTCACAAAAAGAGTGAGGATTTACGGGATGCAAACAGATTGGAGCTAACCCATACCGTTCCGGAGTTCAGGGCGTTTCTGTGCGTGGCACTAGGTGTCCGGCGAATCGCAGAGAGAGAAAGAGATAGTTTCTGAACTTTGCCACCATATAGCTCCTGACTGGGGCAACTTAGAAAGTTCTGGTTTTGAGAAATGGATTTAGAAGGCGAAGGAGATGGACGGGATGTAATCAGCATCGATGAATTCGGTCGGTTTCATGGAGTGCCTTTCCGACCGGGTGGTTTTCTCTCTCTAGCATTCGTCAGGACAGCTCGGCCCACCGCCGCGCCAGTTAGGACTCCCCACAGTATTACTCCAAGGCCTAGGCCGCAGTGCATGCGCCGTCGCGAAAGTCGTTAGCGACCGGTCGCGCGTCTACATTATGCCATTGTGCGTCCGGTGGGTCTGATTGCACCCTTGCCGCCGGGCTGGGGCTGTCGCCGGGCTAAGCTCCGGGCGGCCCAGCGCGCCGCGCCGCGCCTCGCGGTGCTGATCGAAATCGCCCACAGGCATTGAGCAGTGAACGAACGGACCGGGCCGGTGCCGGCGCGGTGCGCGTTCGATACTTGAATAAAGTGGGACACAAAGCGAACCGCGCGAGCGAAGAACGAAGAACGGACTCACAGGGACACGCGGTGGCGGTCTGGCCGGGCCGGCCGGGCCGGGCGACACCCCTTTGCCGACGTGCCGAGGCCGGCATTCATTCTTTTCATTCAGCCGCGGCCGTGGCTACGGGGGCGGTAACGCGTTCCTCCCTTCGGCTGCCGAACGATTCAAAAGACCTGTTCGTCCCTCTGTCTCTCTCGCACCCTTATGGAGAGCCCCAAGAGTGCGACAGAGACAGACAGACGAAACGGCTCTTTTGAATCGCTCGTCAAGGCGCCTTTCAATGCGCCAAGCCGTTGACGTCAGCCCAGTCCAGAAGCCCAGCACGGCCCGGACCCGCCCAGTGCCAACCCCCACGGAGGCAGTTTGTCACACCGTGTCCACCGTGGCGGCACAGCACGCAGCACGCGCAGCATGCCAAGGAGCAATGTGCCGCGTCGCTGCCTACGGGACCCGAGACTAGGGCAGTCCCGGGCCTAACCTAACCTGGTCTGGTACCGCTACTCCCCGCTGCAGGCTCATTCCGAACAAGAGCTCGTCGGTCTGTATGTCTCGGACTCTTTCGGCGCCCTCTAGGGGTGCGAGGGAGACAAAGCGATGAACTGTGCTTCCACTAGGGGCGCCCCCCAGTTACCACCTCTACGGCGTGTTGCAGGTGGCGAAGAGGACGGCCCGCTGGTGCGCAGCGCGGGTGCTCGGGCCCGAACTTCATGGCCCGATACATCAACGAATGCAACCTCATTCTGCGCAACCTGTCACAGGAACTAAGGTCCGTCTTCCACCTTTCCAAGGAGGGAGAAGCGGCCGAAGCGGGACGTTGTACGCGTCAATGTCATTGAATTCATTCTAGGTCCAAATGCCCCACCGACGAGCAGTACTGCTGCTACCTTCACTGCTGCTTTGTGAACCGCCAGCACAAGGAGATCTGGGAGACCTGGTACTTTTGGTAAGCGTTCCCTTCAAGGAAGTACACCTTTTCACGGCGCCGACAGGCTAAAGTTTAGGCGCGGATCCATGGGGGCAGGGGGGGGGGGGGGGGTGAGGCTAGCTGCCCTTTGTTCCTGTAGTCAGGGAACTTTGGCGACAAGGCCTCCTTGAAGCCTCCCTGGGTCCGCCCTCGTGAGCCTCGGCCGGAGTGAATGGCAGGCAGTGACAGGCGTCCGGTCCGTCCGGTCTCACAGGTTCGGCATCGCGGTGCTGGCGCTGCTCCTCGTCACCTCGGCGACGTCCTTCCTGGTGGGGATGTGCTTCCGCAAGCGCCACCAGCTCATCCGCGTGCACCACCATCACCACCACCAGCCCGAGGGCGGAGTGGCGGGCGCGGCGTCGGAGCGCGGCTCCACGTCGACGCCGAGCTCCTCGGACGCCACTGCCGGCGTGGAGGCCCTGGAGGACGCGCTGTCCGTGTCCGCCCCCGTGACGGCCGTGACCGGCCCGGACGGCCTCATCCAGCCCTACGTGGTGGGCGGCCTGCCCGCCGAGGTGGAGGCGCGCTATAAGACGCAGGGGCCGCAGGGCACCGAGACGGCCATTTTCCGCAGGTAAGACCCTCCCTGGCCCTCCCTGGCATGGCCAGCGGGCTCATTCCGACACACACACACACACACACACTCTCTCTCTCTCTCTCTCTCTCTCTCTCTCTCTCTCTCTCTCTCTCTCTCTCTCTCTCTCTCTCTCTCTCGCATCTGCATTGGACGCCCTGTGAGTGCGAGAGAGACAGGGCGACGAAAGCGACCCTCGGAATCAGCCTGCAGGACGCCCACCCAACACGAATTGCAAACGACTCAGGCGAAGGCCGCCTGTGATCGGGCGGGTAGGCAACCCGGTGAGCTCGTGTGTGTTGGTCCAGCAGTCTTTGCCGACGTCGCTGGGCGCTCAGTTGCGCCAGCGTAGTTTTGGCTCTACTCAATTTAGACGGCGGTTGAGACGAGCACAAATCATTTCCTTAGGTGCGTTCGACTGCACTGCCGTGCAAGAGAATGCAGCACAACTGGCGCAGATTTGCCTTGAGATTTGTGCTCAAATGGGCAGGCTTGTCGTAACTACGGTAAGCTACCGGCTCCACCTTCGGCTCGAGTAAAATCCACCGGAGAAGACGCCGAAAGGAATAAAAATAGTGAAGCGTAAACTCGCGGGGAAAGCCAAAAATGTCCTCTCTAGGCCAGAACTTGGTGTGTGTGCGCTGTGCAAACAACGGCATTGATTTTCCTCCCCGTTCCGTTTCCGGGCGGTCACGTCGCAGACACAGCCGCAATGACAGCCTGGGGCCCTCGACCGGCAGTGCAGACGGCGAGGACGACGACGTGGACGACGCGGACCTGGGCGACGTGGCGGGGCCCCTGGAGCCCGCCTACCCTCCGATGCAGCCCGTGACCATAGTGCGCGGCACGCTGCCGGAGGGAGGCTTCCGACGCACGGACACGTACACGGAGCTGGTGCTGCCCCCCGGCTACGTGGACCCTCGACCCAGCCACAAGCAGCCGCCCTAGCGCCCTAGGGTCCGGCCTAGCCATGCGCTAGCATTGGTCTGTAAAGTTAAGGGCGCGCGCCCGAGCGGCGCCGCGCCGAAGCGCCCGAGCGCCGCCCGCGGAACGAAAACATGCCATGAACTCGAACGTGAATGCTCAAAACCAAAAAGTGGGTCAATAGTTGGATTCCCTGAACCATCCCCTTTCCAAAAATATATATTTTAGTGCACTTTGGAGATGTTTTCGTTCCGCGGGCGGCGCTCGGGCGCTTCGGCGCGGCGCCGCTCGGGCGCGCGCCCTTAACTTTACAGACCACATGGCGCTAGCCTCCGAGCGCCCAGAAAGCCTAAACCGCGTTAGGCCTGCCAGCCAGTGGCGTGCCGGCCAGGCCTCCACTTCTTTCAGCAAGTATGTGGACTCGCCGGACTATCCGATCTGTACTGTTTTGGCTGAGAACTGCGTGTCAAGAAGAGTGACGGTGTTACTCCCCCACGTGACAACAAATATATTGTTATTCAAGTATTTCTAGTGTAGTTGATGGTATTTTTTTTTTTTTTAGGTAGCGCACCTGTATTTTAGGAACTCTTCGTAACGCGGCTTTTGATGTGGTTTGAGATTTGATGTTATTGGTAATATTCTTGATTTTCAGTCTGTATGTATGAATCGTGTTTAGAAATCAGCTTTTCCCTTGCCTCAGTAACCAACTCCTTCTGTCCATGTGCTTGTCTTCATGTTTGGTGCACTCTGAAAAGCCATGGCTGTAGCACTCTGATGTAAAAACTGATGGTTGAAGTTAAAGGAAACTGAGCCAAGACTTCATAATAAAACAGTTTCTTTTATTTTCGTATATTATAATTATTGTAATAATAACAATTACAGTCTAGAAGTCAGTTTCTTCTGCATGGACACATACCAAAAATGCATTCCAATGAAGACAAAGAATAATACAAGTCATGATATGTATATGCCAGGATTATTTTAAAAAGTTACATAAGAAGAAACAGGTACAAGAGCTCAGCTCCCTCATCACCACCTCACATCCATAAAAAAACAAATCACAAATCGATGCAAAAATAACACACAGACTGTCTCAGTAAGGGAAGGAGATTCTCTTGTCAACAAACACAGGCACTATGAAATATGAAGTAAAATCTGAATCAAACTAGACTTGCAGGGCGATGTTTGGAGAAAAATCTAATGTATACAAAAGTAAGAAAATGTATGTGCCTCATTTAAAAGAAACTCTTTAAAAAAATGAAAACATGACAAGAGAAGTAAAAACAGGAAGACTCATTCTTTTCCTTCATTTAGAGTCGGCAGTGCAAATTGTGACGTGGCGAGTGAGGGATTAATCGAATATAATGGCCCAAAAGAATGTCCTGACAGGAGTTTCTTGCTTTGGTTCCAATAGGCTTGAAATACAAATGTCAGTTAAATAGTGAGGTAAATTTGCATTGAAAATATTCAAAGGATCAGATAATGGTAAGTGGCATGTCATTGCTGAACAAATTATGAATACAGAAGCACCAAAGCAACCCCTTACACTTTGCACTTTACTCAAAAAATATGTTGCAAGTGGTTAACTTATTATTAATACAATCAAACAGCATACCAGAGCTACTCATTTAGCTTCAGAATAGTAAAATGAAAAAAAATCTACATTAGGGGAAATAAAATATATTAGTCATCTTGTCACAAAACTAATGCTAGAAAAATCAAGGTAGTACATAGTCATTAGAACACTAGATTAAATTGCAACAGCTACTTTCTTGAGCAAAAACCTTACTCCAAAGTCAGAATAACAAGGCATCTGTTGTAACATGATGCACTAAACAAGGATGGGAGAAGGAGAAAAGACAACAGATTTTTAAAATTAAACCTAAGACAACAAAATGTGAACCAGCACCTAAAAACAAGTGATTGAGCTTTTAAAGAGTACAAAGAGCAGCCCCAAACGTAAGATATAAGCACATAGTAAGCAAATGTCAAACATATTTTGAAACTAAATTATTGTACATTGTTGAAGTTCACATTTTCTTCATACAACACCCATATTTCACTTCAATATCACATGAACTTTTCACATTGCCTGGGCATTTGGTGGAAGGACATTCCAAGCAAATAAATTTTCTCCTTATTATTGGCACATGTGAGGCAGGCAGGAACACATTCAGCAATCACAATGCCACTTACCATATTCAAAACAATAACCTTTGATAATAATTTCATTTCGGTGTTGAGCGAAAAATCTCAGAATGGAAGCTTAGTTTTAGTAACATGAAGACGCTCAAAAGCAAATGCTCACATGAAAACGAATGAGGAAGTCATCTGCTTATGGTTGAGAGTGAGATAAGTTCGTTTATTTTAAATATGAGAATTCTCACCCTACTACAGGATTTACCTGCAAGAAAGTCCTCCATGCAACACTAGATCCATCACACATTACTGCATTAGCACTACACACAACTTAGGTTGAAAAATTCACACTTTAAAAAGAAAAAAAATGTATAAAAAAAGGATTATTTAAAAATAAGAAGCCATTTGGGAAACAGTCTTAAGAAACAATTTAAGATGAGTTTGGGACAGAAGCAAGATAAGATTTTATATTTGGTTTCTAAAGAGCATTATATGTCTTTATCAAACAAGGAATGATCTTAATTGGTCTTGAAAGATGCAAGTTCAATACATTTTCTATCACAAGTCAATGCCTTCAGAGGCTATACATGTGTCTCCCTTCAGTTAATACCTCAATTACAGGTTTAATTTGGATCAAGTATGAATTTAATATATCACATGAATCAGAGTAAACAGAAAAGCTTAAAATCCACCAATATACAGATTTTGAGGACACAAAACACTATAGAAAATCTCATGAAAACAATTAATGTATGTTTCCTCGAATTCACATGATTAGATGCAACAAGTAAACAACAATTAAGACTAACAATTATATACAAATGTTATTTAAAACCTAAGTGATTGCACTTTAACTTTTAACACCACATATCATAGCATAGGTCATCTGCTGAAGGGTTGAAGACTGGTAACATAACCTTGGACTAAACCCCTCAAGATGACAAACAAAGACCCTTCTAGACCTGACTCGCGGTCAAGAGAGGTCAATGCACTGAACAGAACTAACCTAGTCCGTCTTCTTTTCATTTTTAACTTTCTGTTGTCTTGAACTCTTATAGTCAAGGAAAAGAGTACGAATATCAGCCAATGATTTCTCAATAGTTTTGGCAAACCTGCTAGAGTCCTGATAATCAAAAAGCAATTTTTAAAAAAATGAGTAAAATTATCACAACATAATGAAGTAGAGTTTAGTAAAGTGTAAGTTTTGATACTTACAGTAGTGCTACAGCTGCGCTTAGATGATATATGGAAAAAGATGAGATCTTCACCAGCGATAATGTAAGAGACACCATAGCCATCATCAGCAACAGGGCCAAAGCCACCTCCAGCACTAATACACTTAGGAAACTTCTTCAGATCCATTTTGTTGGTCTGGCCATGAGGAGTTTGAGATGTTGAAAGCCTCCATGGTTCACTTAATACCTCCTAAAAAGAAAGCAATAAGAATAAGAAAAACAATAATTTTCAAAATCACATATCAGTAAAACCAAAGGTAAGGTAGTCATCAGAAACATGCCTTTAAAAAGGGAGAATCTACTTCCAGATACTTTGAAACAACATATAAACAGAAAAGATGGCGGTCGATGCCTTTCCCACACATGGCATCTTGAATGCCTTGGTGATGAACTTTGCAAGCAGTTTGCAAAAGGGCAATTCGTTCTTCGGTCTGTAGAAAAGACAAAATTAAAACAAAAATGGGAAATAAAGGGAAGAAGTGGTGCAGTTTAGTATTTCAGTTCTTACTTACATTAGAGTTTTTGTTTTCCATAGCTTTGACCCAAGCTGCAGATTCAATTGTACATGGTCTTACTGTTTCAGTTCGTCCTTCAAGATACAAACGAGTCATAGATGCCTCATATGTTAAACTGAACTTTCCAGCATCCTGAAGAACAGAAATTAAGATTAAATACAATAAAATACTACAAGGAAAGAGCTGGTTTTCTTCAGTAATAGAAACATACCCTGTAGTAGGCAAGCTGCATGGCCATCTGAATATATGCATCAGGACTCAAACGGCAGTCCTTCATGAATCCTTTTCCATAAGCATCGTGAACATAGATCCTCAAATCAACATCACTCAAAAGATTTTGGGCCAACTTGAGAGCAACAGAGAAAAACAATCAACACAAAGGTTTAATGTGCTAGATGCAGTATTCTTTATAACATGAATCATACCTTAAATGAAGTGTCAATGGCAGCAAGAGCTTTCTCATTGAAGTCCCATTGCAATCGAGTAGGTGCAGGGGGTGTGAATTCAGGTTCACCAATTGTATGCCCATCAGGCCCATATCTACAGGTAGCAAAAAATGCTTGTCTTAGTACTCCTGAACATTTTCACTAGACGTGAAATATAAAACTCAAATTTTTATGCTTTTAAAGGGTTAATAATGCTTTTTTTCTATGGATGACAGTGAAACCTACACTAATACGTATTAAAGTTGCATATGGCATATTGCAAGTTTTATTCACTGACTTTCCATGATTACTAGTTTCCGCAAATTTAAATCTAATGCATTTTCCATCTTATACCCAATAACTCAGTAAAAGTAGGTTTCACTGTAATGTTTCCATTGTAAAATGGAAAAGGAATGTAAAGAGATGTTCATTAGTTTCTGAAGGAGGAGGAAACTAGCAAGAGGCCTAGTGCTTCTTAAATGTAGGGATTAGCTTGTGCTGATAGCAAAATATGCAAGAATAATTTGTTTGCACATGTATTAGGAAATAAATTTCTAGTTTGATTTCAGAAAAGCATTAGCAGATTTAAGGTATGTTAGCAGCATGCATCAAAATAAGGAACACTCATGCATAATTAAGAAAGAAAGATGACCATAGAACAAGTGGGCACAAAGTCATGTGAGACCAGAAATAGTCGATAAAACCATAACGGTAGATTCAAAAGTCTGTTTTGACTGAATAAAGAAACAACAAAATTCTATTCTATCCAAGGGATTTGTTAGATACAGGAAATGTTCAAGATATGCAGGGATTAAGTTTTGAAGCATTCACAATGAAAAATACCTTAATGTATGACCAGGGAGGATGAGAAAAACAAATCAAGACAAAAAAAACAAAAAAACAGAAGAGTTACCCGATTTCATTGTCTCCAGCCATCACATGTTCCCATAAATGTCCCATGACAGGGGCGTCAGCCCTGGTGAGCAATAGAAACGACTATAGTACACAGTTTGCACCAGAGTAAGACAGAACCTTGCACCACTAACTTCCTACCACTTCACTAAAAGATTTAAAAACAAAACAAAAAAAAACAACAAAAATAACACACACACACCAAAAAGAGAGAATTTTTGTTTGGAAAGAATGTAAAAAGTTGGTTCTTACATGTGAGGATACCAATAAGAAAAAGAATGACTATACAGCTAAAATAACACCACTGCTCAAAGTTGAAAAGCAACAGAAATAACTGAAAATAATATCTACAAAAAATAAATAAAAGCATCTGACAAGACTACAAGAAAGTTCTGATACTGGATCCATTTGGTTCTGAAAACACTAATGTCTACCATTTGAGAAGCTCATTTTGCAATTGCTGAAAGTTGATCCAGTCATGAGTTTAATCTGGATTCTCATGTAAGTAAGATAAGTTAAAATAATAACCTTTAACAAGTTAACTTGTATTCATTGTGAAACATTATTGTTTAATAAAGTGGCAACAGGGCTTGAGATGAATCCTAGAGCTGCAAGAAGACCCCATCACCATTAAATATTTAGTGTATTATACAGGTACACAGTGAGTAAGGCTTCATATCCCAAACTGAAAAATATATTGGGACCAAATCCATTGCTATGGTTCAAAGAAAAGAATTTGAAGAGTGATTGTAATTATAAAGCCTTTAACAAACTGTTTATCTAGTTTGGAGCCACTAAGATGCTCAAGACATTGCAAGCAGAAGAGCAGAAGGAGAAGCAATCTTAATACATAGTTTAAATATTTTAGGGGAGAATGGAACATTTTTTATTTTACCCAGCAAGCATAGCTTCCTCTGTCAAAACAAATTCCCATAGATGGGACATTACAGCTGCATCAGCCCTGCAGGTCATGGAAAACACAAACATCATATGCTGTTAAAGAGACCATAATCATATTTGCTTTCAACATACGAACGACAACCATTAATTCCAACCAAACTGCAATTGATTAATTCTGTGGAAATCTTCCTCACATAGTGCTGAAGAAAAGCTAAAAACAATAAAACAAACGTTCTACCAACAGCCACACCTATCAGAAGAATGGATTCACTTAAATGAATCTGTTGAGAGTCTAACTTATTTAAAAATGACTACGCTTTGTGAGAGAATGAAACAAAACAGGAGGTTTATATCAAAATAGATCAGTTGCATAATCAGCTATAATCAGAACATGTTAAATGAATGCTGCCAACTGCCAACCCCACTGTCTCAGGTAAATTTGGTCTGCATTGTTCATTTTTCAAGGACTGTATTAAAAGCAACAGACTGGAACAGACACTGAATTTCACTCACCATGAATGTTCGGAGTTAAAGCCAATCTGCAACAGAGACAATAATTTCAACACTCCCAACATGTGACATTAAAAACATACAAATATAATTTTATTTGATTAATCAGAGCCTTACCCTGCCATTGGAGCCGATACATAGAGTGAAAGATTTATCAAACCATCTATCACATCCTTTGCCATGCAGAAGGACACGGCCAAATTTGTCCAAGAGTTCAGGACGGCTCTGGCAATAAGATATTAAAATGTTTAGATCAGAATTGTATCATCATTGAAGTGAACATTCTACTTTCAAAATGTAAATTTGTACCTGGTCAAACTCAAAAGGCTCATCATCAAGACTAACAACAAACGCTGCTTTCTCAACTGCATCCAGTGAAACACGGTTAGTGCCCTTGAAGAAAAACTCCTGCCTTGTGTTGGCCCAGTGCGTACGTTCTCCAGCAGTGAGAGCTGCTAATCTTTCTTCACCAGGCAATGGTTCAGTCTTATTTTCCAAAATAGCTTGCATTTGCCTGAGCAAAAATATATCAACATTTAGTAAAAAGGTATAAGGGAATAAACACTTCAATAAATAAAACTTATATACTGTAGGACTTACACTTCAAGTTCACATGGTAGAAGCAACCTGTTCTTGTAGTAAATCAGGACTTTGAAGTACCGACCACGGTGAAGCACAACAATGTGGTTAGAGTCAGCATAATGCACAATGCGGTCAGTTTCAACCCCTGGCACTCTTGTAGTGTTAAAAAGACGTTCATATTGCCATGAGCACAAAGGAACAAGGCCTTGAATAAGGATCTGAAACAAGAGCACAAAAAGTAGTAGCTAGTCAACTTCTTTTAAAATATGTATTCCATAAATCTGGCTAAAATTCTTACAGGTTCCATTTCTTGACGTTCAATCAAGCGACGATACTGGAGACATGTATGAATGACAGTGGCAGCTCTGGCAGCTTGGATTTTGGTAGGATGCATCAAAATAGCATCAATACCATAGAAGTTCGAATTTACCATAAGAGGAGATCGGCCTCTTAAGTAAACATACTCTTCCCACCAATCAGAAACATAGTTGCTTGCCCACCTAAAGCAGTAGAAATCAGAAGGGTAAGAACAATAATTGAATGTGGGAAAATGAAACGCTGAAAATTAGGCTCACCATGACTTCAGTTTGAGGTATCGCTGCAGCTTCATACCAATGCCCTTTTGGAATTCCTCAGCAAGTTTTACCATTCGGTGATATTCATCATCATTCAAAAGTGGACGGACACTTCTTAAATACTACATGAAAAGAAAATATGTTTAGAAAAAAACTCTTAGTTGAGGAAAGCAGTCAAACAGAAATGTACAAAGTAAATTTTATACCCTATGCACAGTATCATCAAGAGCAGGAACCGGTAATTTTGGAAGAGAGCCCTGGAAAGAGTATAGCATGGGGCGGCTGACACCGGACAATGATTTAACTAACAAAAGCCACAATTTGGTTTTTAAAGAAATGGATCTGCCACGTCCTCTCTCTTCATACATCCACCCTAGAAATAAAAGAAAAAAAAATCATCATTGAAGCTATGGATTTATTACGGTTTTTAAGAAGTATTTGGTCAACAGTTCCCTGAGGATTGCTTGCCAAACTGACCTTTGTACATCAGCAACATTCTCAATGTATACCTTATAACCATAATTATAGCCAACCACACACTCAGTGCCACAGTGAAGCATGCCACCACCTGCCAGTGAAACGCTGTGCTGCAGACAAAGTCAAACGTTAACTTTATGTGGAAAACTCAAAGTGTCTGTATGTTAAAACAAGAATTTTTTCAAAGCCAACCTTGGTAAGTGCGGTAAGAGCATTCCCACAAGTCCTATAGGAAGTCTAACACCAGCAAAGTGAAGTGCAACTAGTATTCCCACTGTTGCCCACAGGCTCTGCAAAGGAGCTGGGTACACTCCATTTTTCACACTGTTCTGGATTTGGTAGAGGGCACAAATACACAATTAAAACATGTTTTAATTAAATCATTTCACAAATTTGCAGTACACTCGCGTGACTGTACCTGAAATCTCCATAGCCTCTTCTTCCATGACCGGAATCCGGAAGACCAGACGAGGTGCAGAACTTCCCTGTCGAAGTTGACGTCCCATCCCTCGTGGGTGATGGAAAATGAAAAGGCTACGGCAGAATGGGCTTCTGCCATGGCGCCCTGGTGGGAGTCCTAACAGGACCTGCCAACAAGAATGACAATGCAAACCAATTAGTCCAACTTCCACAAGGGCCATCAAACCTCATCCCTGGCGCGCCATGGCGGCCCAAGCAGCAACAGGTGGCGGTGGCGCCAGGGACTGGGGCCTCAGCTACGAGTGCCACCGCGGCGCGGCACGGACTTGGGCGTCAAGTCACTGGAGGAAATGTCAGCACGGACAACGTGAACGTGGCGGTATGCACTGCAAACCTCGGGGCCCAAGAGTCGTTGCATCGCTCTGTCTCTCTCGCACTCACGGGGCGTCGCCTAGGGATCCGCGCCCGAGAGAGAGAGACAGAGCAACGAAACTGCTCTTCGGAATGGCTCGACCGGAAGCCGCCACAGGTTCCGAGCGGCAGCAGTGGCTGAACCGCGAGTACACATACAGTACTGTACCTGCGGCAGGGCCTCCGCCAGGCACAGCGGCACGCGGCACCGCGCGGCACCGCCCCCGGTCAAGGCCGCAGCAAGGCCGCAGCGCAGCCACCTCGCCGGCGACCCAAAAGCGCGGCAGCGCGGTGCGCGGTCTGGTCGCACACGCCAATCGGCTCAGATGTGGCTAATTGGGTCCGAGGGGCCGAGGGGAGGGGGAGGGACCGTCCGTCAGCGGCGAGGCCGGCCGCCAATCAGCTCCACTTGCAAACAAGTACCCCCTTCCCCCTCTTCCCGTCATGACCCCATGGACGCAGCTGCGACGCGCCGCCGCACAGGGCCTCTCCTCTCCTCTCGAGCGCACCGAGACAAAGGCGTCGTGCGGCGCACGCCGCGCACGCGAACAACGCCGGCAAGTACTGTACGACTTCACGAAGTCGAACGCGGGACGCCCGCCAGGCCGGCCAGGCCGCCAGGGCGGCGAGGTGGACGGGATGCATCGACGACAAAGAAGAAGGCCCAGTCACTCGCGGTAGGCGCATCGCAGCACGCAGTGCCGTGGCGGCGAGGCGGCCCGCGTGGCCGCTAGGGCCGCAGCGCATGCGTGCGAGGCCAAAAAGCCCTCGCGACGTCGCGACCTCCGGGGCCGCGCCAACGTACACACCGCGTACACAGCGCCGATAAGGCCGCCGATGAGAGGCCGGGCCCCGGGCCGGCGGGGAAGGCGGGGCCGCGAGGAGGAGCAGGTTCGGGCCGTTCAGCCGCCGGGGCGGGGGGCGCAGGGGGGCGCGACGAGGATGAAATGGCCGGCGAAGTGGACTCTGGACCGCGCGGCAGCACGCGGCAGGACCGGGCGGGGACGTCCACGACCGTGACGGCGTTCTATTCTCACAGGCGGGAGGAGGCAGGGGCCGAGGGGGAATGACAACACCACACATCTGCGCTGCCAAAGCGCATCGCGGCATCGCCGTCGTCGCCACTCGACCCATTCCGCTGCCCGCACTCCCCGCTCCGTCTCTCTCGCACCCCTACGACTCGACTCCAGGAGTGCGACAAAGAACGAAACGATCCTGTGCGGAATCAAACGGCAGCGCAGTCGAGACACTTGCTGTGCCGTCACATCACGTCGCACGCGCCGGCAGCAGTGTAGGCTACAGCACAGACACCTGGAGCTCCTGGAGTGCACACAAAGCAGTGCCTGCCACCGGTGTGCGGCCTGAGGACGCGCGGCCGAGGGGCCATCGCTATTTTAGGTCACCGCCCCGCACCGCCAGGATTGTCTGGTCCTGATTCATTCACAGCTCCAGCCAAGTCCTCGCGGGCAAAGTCCAAGACTCCAGCCAAGTCGTCGCGGGCAAAGTCCGAGCAAAGTCCAAGAGTCACTGCGGAGCCCCGTATAGCAGTCCGGCGGGTGCCAAAGCCTGTCAAGCCGAGGCGTCAATTGTGCAAGACTCATTTGGATCACTTCGAGTCCGTCAGCGAGTTTTGTCGATAAAAACAAGCGCCTCCACTTGTCTTTCACCGCCGCTTCCCGCTCCAAAATAATGAGATAACCAAGGGGAAAAATGTCCCCAGGTCAACAATTCAAATCAAAGTTCATCGCGATAGGTTGGCACGCCGTCAAACGGACGCCGCAGAAGGCGCCGCACCTGCCGCAGAGTGGACGCTTTTCTTCGTTTCCTGACGTATCGGTCGAAGCAAGCGCGCATCGAGGGGGCCTGGGGGCGTAGTCCTCCCCCGAAGGCGGCGAAGGCGGTCAAAAAGTAAGCAGCTTTTGTGGCATCGCCCTGCTCTCTGGATCCGCCCCTAGCTGGCCGCGACAAGCCACGCATTTCCAACCCTTCTCGTCCTGCATCTCTTCTTTTTAGACAGTGAGCCTTCTACGCTTTGGCCGTCCGCGTCGCGACCCTTGGACTCCAACCTCAACGACCCGACAGACAAGGCAAGCCTCGGCCGCCTTGGCTGGGTGGCGCTTCTTCCTGCGATTCGCTCTTCGCCGAATAATGGCCGACGTTCGAGTTGAAATCGGCGAGCCGCACTCTTTGCACCGCAGCGTGCCGTGCCGCAATTTGCCGCGATGACACTTCCGCCTGCGGTCCCCGCGGTGGCGATGCACGCCGCGATGCACGCCGCCACGGCGCAGGCCCCCACCCAGCCCCGCCACGCGCAGCGCAAAGCGCAGCACAGCGCCAAGGCGAAGGCCGCGGATTGTGGGCATTCCCTACTGTACGCCGAGAAGACCCACCCAAGCCTGGGTCGCTGGGCCGCCTGGCAGTCGCGGGTTCGACTCCCCGCGAGGGTCCGCGAGGACTAGTTCGTCACATTGTCCGTCAACGGGGCGGTGCGGCCCCGGCGGCTCGGCCCCGACGGCCACGCGAGTGGCGCGGCGGCTCAGACACACGGCGCGAGTACCGTTCGGCGCCCGGAGGCTCCACGTCGTGGCCGCAGCGTGCCACAGCGGCCTGATTCCGAGAGTCGTTTTCGTCGCCCCGCCTCTCTCGCACTCATCGGGCGCGCCGTACAGGGGCGAGAGAGACAATGCCGAGTCCCGGAATCAGTCTGCAGCGTGCCGCCGCGTGCCGCAGCCGCGAGCACGGCCGAGGGCATGGCCGAGGGCGTGGCCACAGGCACATCCACCAGACAATGCAATGCTGCTTTCACCGCGCGCGAGCGGTGCCCGCCACTGCCCGCCCGACGGCCGGCCGAAGTGCGAAACGACCTCGACGACCTCAAGCGCCAACAAAGACAGCGCCTCGAAAAAATGAAGCGGGCGTCGTAATGACTCTTTGGTTATCGCGTAGGCTTCTTTCCGAGCCGTGAGACGCGGGCGCGGCGGGCGCGGGACGCCGCGGTGCTCGGTGCAACGCGGCCCCGCCCGGCCCCGCCGCCACGGGTTGCAACATCGGCATGGACCCGGCCAGGGGCAGCGGCAGCAGCGGCTGGATCTGGGCTGGGCTGCGTCGGCTGGCCGTCGGCCCAGCAGGACTCAGGACGAGCCTCCCAAGGTCAGGTTCGTTCGGCCGTACGGCCCGGCGCTGCCATGCTGGGCCATGCTGGGCCATGCTGCACACCACAGCGAGAAAACGAAAACACGCGCCACGTCCAGACAAACAGGCGTCGAGCGCGTCGAGCGCGGAGAGGAGAAGAGCAGCCCCGCGATGGAGGGCTAGGGCCGCCGGGCCGCCGCCACCCCGGCGATAGCGGGCCGAGAGGAGGATGACGCCCCGGTCAAACGCAACAACCAACAACCAGCAGCGCAGTAAACATCCGGATTCGCAGTTCGCACGGCACAAAAACACACGTGGCGTCGCCGCCCTGATAAATCGGCAGCGGTCCAAAACAAGAATCAAGGCGAGGAGAGGGAGGGAGTGAGCGGAGTGCCCCCGTCCTGCCGCGGCCCCACGCCTCACGGGGCCTCTATCGCCGCGGTCCAAAGGCCGGCTAGGCCGCGCAGCGCCGCGCCGCCGCGGAGGAGGACGCTCTCCACGCCCCGCCACGCCAGCCACGACACTGCGAACATCGCTGGCGTCGCTCTGACAAAGAGACAAAGCGCTGTGCGGAATCAGTCTGCAGCAGATGACTTGCCAGGACTGCGTCGCGTCGACTCCAGACGCGGCCGTCCGCGGAAGGCTACGCAAGGCGCGGCGGCCGTTGCTCCGCAAAATGCAAAGCGAGCGACAAAGTGCAGCACCTGCACTGCACACTGCACGGCGCGAGTATGCGCTTGTCGGCGGCCGCGCCGGCCGCGCCGCGGTTTGCGCAAGGACCGCTTTGGTAACAGCACGCCGCCCGCCCGGCCCGTCCGCCAGCGCGGCCATCGACCAGCTCACCTCGAGGGCCGAAGGCGGCGGAGGGCGGCGGCGGCTCGGGCGGAGGGGAGCACCGGCACCGCACAGCGCGGCACGGATAATTGAAACAAACAGAGGGACACAAAACGGACGCGGCGACGCAGCGCTGTTCCCGGCGGCCGGCCGCGCGGCGACGGTGCGGGAGCTGTCTCTCTCGTACTCCTTCGGCACACCCCGTGAGTGCGAAGGCGACAGAGCGAGGAGTGCGGGGGCGCAGAGAAAGTGGTGCGGGGCACCGCGCCGCTGTCATCCGTCCGCTCTTCGGCCAAAGAGCGGCGAGGTGCAACCGGGCCTCGCGCCCTACATTCTCCAGGAAAGGACCTTGATAGCCCTTCTGGAGTCACGCTGGAGTGCGCAGAGGGACCCGCGCACTGCGGCCTTTTGTCTGTTGCGCTGCACGCGCGTTCGCGCTGCCGCCGGGTTGCCGCAAACGGCAGCAGCTGGGGCCCGGGCTGCCTTTGCCTTGCCGCGGCCGGGCGTTGCGTGCGGCCCCATGGCGGCAGCGAGACCATAGCATCCATCCCGAGGGGGCGGCGGGCCGTTCCTATCTACAATTTCTTTTTCCGACATTTACATAAAACCTTAAAACGGCCGCACTCCGCGCGTCAGACCCGCAGAACGGCGACGACGCAACGTCGGCTGGCCTGGTTGGCCCGGGGCCCTGCCCGGGGCGCGGCCCTGGGAAACGAGCCTCCAGCCCACGGGACCCACGGGGTGCTCCGGCGCAGCCAAGTCCCACAGCCCTGCAAAGAGGCCCGCTACTGCTACCACGCGTGCAGTGTGCACAGTGTGCACCGCAACGGGGCCGGGCGGCGGGCAGCGGCGGGCCGACCTGCCTGGGCCCCTCGATGCGATGAGGCAACAGGCAACTCGGACTGGTTTGCGTTGGCGTGCGTGCCAACCACGCGTGCCTCCGTGCCGCGGTGCTGCCCTACCCTTGGCGGCCATTGGCGGCCCTGCCGCGAGAGTAAGGTGCAGCGCGGACGACCGCCTTGGGGTTCTACCGTGGGGTCGCCGGCGAGCACGGCGAGCACGGCGAGCACACGCATCCGCTCGCGCCAGTTCGCGTACCCAACCGCAGCCGGTGCGCGGAGCGCGCGGCGGCGCGAGGGAAGCCCCGGCTCAGGCTGAGGCGCTTCGGCGCGCTTCGGCCACATCCGAACTGGGCGGCGTCCCCGAGCTGAGCGCCTTGCACGACTGGCAGGACAAACTCCACTCATCATCGTCATCAGCGCTTTTTGGGCGGAGTTCAATAAATGGTGGGTGCGCGCTGCAGCACATGGTGTAAGTTGACCTTTGGCGCTGCTGGTGGCAGGGCAGGCAGGGTGGAGCTATCGGGATGGCGGGGTCCAAGTCCGAGGCAACCCAGCCCCGGCCAGCACGGCCCAGCACGGCGTGGTGGTACAGGTTATCAAAGCAGTTAAGCGCCGGCGAAGATTCCTTTCCTTTTTCCAACGCCACGCGCGGGGGGTTTGAAAAGAGGGCAAAGGGAGTAAACAACTCGCAGTAGTGGCTCTGCTCATGCTCGCTCTGCTCCCGCGTCCCGACGGGCCTGACTCGCCACGTGCATTTCGCCGGCAACACTCGGACTCAGGAAGGCCGACCTTCGCCTTCGGTCCTTCGGTCCTCCACTCAGTGCCCGTGTCTTGTAGTGACTCGACGCAAAGCGATAGCGCCGACGCAGCCAGAGGCACTCCACTGCCACAGCAGCCCATTCACCCGAGCCCCAATAAAAAGAGACAAAATGAGGAGGCGCGAGTCGAGCCGAGACTGTACCTACTGACCAAAAAAAGAAAAAGATACTCGTTTTTGTTGAGATAAATAATGCGGCCCTCAAGTGCAACCCTGTGAACAAGGTGCTAAAGGCGCGACGCGAGCCTTGCGACGCTTATGCCAGTTCGCAGCTTCGCAGCCACGCGAGAAGAAGACGCTCTGATTGCACCCGGGCTGTATCACGCCGGCAGGCAACAGCTAAAAGCTGGAATAAGCTGTGGGATCCTCCGGTTGTGATCTGCAGCAGGCCAATGCTCTCCAGCCCCCAGCAATGTCAACAGAATGGATACACAAGAAAAAGAAAGGACAAAAAACATAACTAAACACTGACAATTTGAAGGACGCTGTTTAACATGAATGAAGACATTACCAAACCAGCATCGCAATGGTTCAAAAACTGAAGATAAGTGTAATGAGGGTACACTCAATGGAAGTCAGCGCTCCATTTTGACTGAGAACTTTATCAGCAGATAAGAGAGACCCCCCACCAGACAAACCCACGGGCCAAATAAGAGGCCGCCCCACCTACACTCACATCTTCCTTCCGGGGGTGTACTTTGAACCGAACTTTGACCTTATGCTGGCTTTAAAATAACTTTCCTACCAAGACATTAATCTATTTCAACAGATTTCATATTATCAACTTCAGATAGTTAGAACAACTAATTAGAAACTCATTATTAAGTGAATGAAATCTTTTGATGTGAAATTCTCTGCAAGGCTTAAGATACAAGGCCTTGGTCTCATAGACATAATGAGGAAAAAATTAATGGTGGTCTAAAAAATCAACAAAAAAATAACAAATTTTGATAAAGCTTCAATGATTCCAATAGATTTCAAAAATCTGAAAATCCATGGATGCAGGGAGTTATTTCTCTCTCAATCTGTGAAAAACATTGAGAAAATTCTCTAAAATCGTCTGGTGTGACCCAATGAGAAATTAAATTTAAGGATACTATGCCACATTCTCAAGCGAAATGAAAGAAAGGGTCTATTCAAAATAATCCTCTGCTCCTACACCAACTAAGGTTATGGGCTCTGTTTATTTGGGCCACAGCTAAATCAAGATTAACATGGTCATAAATTCATACACGCGTATTAACACATAAAAATCCGAAACTGCATATTTATTGCAACAGGTAAGATACAGAAACATCCTTCGTCGACGTCGACACTTACCTCCAAAAGAAATAATGGTGAGACTGTCCGGGGGTACAGATGAGGACGAAACCCGGTTGGCAGAAAGCGACCAACTTAAAAGTAGCCAGCACAAATGTGTTATGGAATCACCACACTCGGACAAATCGCAAAGCTCGATGAGGAAAACAGTGTGGAAAACAAAGTTTATCGTCTCCGCACAGCCGAATCCACAGCACCGAACCACTCCACCGCGGAGCGGGGCAGAGAATGAGGAGGGACGGTCGGCTCGGCTCTCGGCTCGGCGCACGGGCGGACGGACGGGACGGGACGGGACGGGACGAGCGACGACACGGGACACGGGGAACTGGCCGAATCAGAAGGCCGAGCGGCGACGGGCAGCTCGGCTCGGCGCGTGGAGTAGAGAAAAAAAATTGGAAACAGAAAAGCCAACAGGGTAGGGGACAGAAGAGCAGTGAACAAGCAGATGATGGGAAAACAACGAGTAGGCAAAACTAGAATAAAGTGGAAAGCGGCAGGCAGGGCAGAGCTATCGGCGAGGTGGTGGTGGAGGGGAGGGGTAGGGAAAGCCAATTGGGAGAATTCTGAAGACCTTTGAAGACCATGGCACATTTCCATTTATTTTTCTGTAGGAAGATGATAAAACAGGCGTACGGAACAACTCCAATTACGGATGATCCATCCACGGGTTAAATTCTGACTGCCCTCACTTTTTTTAATTTTTTGGTTACATGATAGTGGTAACACTGGGTCAATAGCGGCAACGGATGCGAACGGTTTGAACTGAGCTGTTAACGGTAAGCACGGATCGGTAAGGAACGAGTGAGTAGTGGAAAACATGGCGTCAGGCACGAGCTTTAAGAAGGTATTTAAATTTTGTTGACTCTGCTCTGATGTGAAATTCTCGACCACATATAGTCCACACTTTTCCTTTCCCCAGTGCGAAAATGAGCAGGCAATTCTTTTACCGTCCCCCACTACTAGAGAGCAATCGGGGCTCATGATAAAGAAGCTCACTGGAGTATGTGTCTCTACCATCGCGTTCCTCAGGAACCTGTTTGATAGTGAGAATTTTGAAACAAGATCATTGTGTGGTCAGAACGTACAGATTCTCAAGAGATCATGCCATCGTAACAATGGGGTGGACTGCCTCTTAAAATGGCTCAAAGGGGTCTTTGATGCCTTGGACAACAAATACGTAAGTAGTGCAATGAGGAGAGGGAAGGGGTATTCTGCCACAGTTTTACATTTGTTCTCTTTAACATGACTGTTGTTGGTTACAGCTCAAAACAGTAAGTTTAGAGATAAGGGATGTGACAGGCTTACTGTTGGAAACATATGAGTTTCATTATACGTTCCATGATGATCAACCACTGTTAAATATAGAAACATCTAAAAAGTAAGTCACCTCATTTTTTATTTGTAAAAACCTAGTGCTGTTCAACTTGGAATAAGTATGGCTGTATCAAGTCAAAGAAAATCAACACATCAACAGATCAATGGATCAAGGTGGGGCGGGGCGGGTCGGGGAGTATAAACTATTGAATCAAATGTCTTAGTATGCCCTAAGTACTCAATTTATTCAACATGTTTCTTCGTTTTAGACCTATTGTGCCATCCCCAAACCGTCCCGGTCCGCTGATCTGTTGATTTGTTGATTTTCCTTAACTTGATACAGCCTGTGTTTTTGTTGTTTGAAGTATCCATGTCGGCGGTACTGTTTGGAGAGACTCTTCTATGGAAGAAATACGGATTCTTCTGCGAAACATTCTTGTGGCAACATCTGCTCAACCCATACTGCCTCCTAATTGCTTCACATCTGTGAGGATCCACTATCATGATGGTTTGTTTCATTTTGTGAAATCATGTCACTCTGATGCGTTCCTGGTTTCATCAAAATTGGAATTATTTTTCCAGGTACTCCAGAAGATTATGAACCGCCAGGATTCAAACCATTTTTTGGAGAATCACCAGATCATGTGCACCCTAACAGACTAAAATTGGCATGCGGTCAAGTGTCCACAAAATTCCATACTTTGAATATTAAAACTAAACTTGCACAGGTACTGAGCAACTTCTCACTGAAAGCTATACATTGTAGTGTTTTTAAGTTTCATCTTTATCTGGTATCTTCTCCAAACACTAAAGCAAATCTTATCCTTTTTATTTTTAGACTATCCCAAGTTCCTCTGAACCAAGCACTCCTGAAATTCGTTGTGAGTGTGGATTGGAAGATCGTGCTGGAAGTTTACTCAAATGTGAAACATGTGGAACTCTACAGCACTTGGTAGGAGTTGTTTCAAGTGTATTTTCATTTTCAATTGGTCAATTTTATTTCTATTTCAATCACAAGTGCAATTTTTTCCAGGCTTGCTACAAAATATTTTCTGAGGAAAATTCTCAATCACAGAGAACTCACAAGTGTATAAAATGCGGAAATTCAAAGCCACCTAAAGATTTTGATGCAGTAAGATTTATTTCAGTATTTTTTTTGCTCTCTAAGTAATTGGCACGTTAATAGCTCCAACCTTTCCTCCTTTTCTTTTGTAGGTGTCTTGTTTGTTCCGGCGAGTTATAGCCCTGTGTGCTAAGAGCAAGTCGGTGTCTATCAAGAAACTGACCAATGAACTTAATCTAAACCCTGACTCTGCTTTAGTGCACATGAAAAAGCTTCAAAGAGAGGGTGCCCTGCAAAAGAGTATTGTGCCAATTTGTCTTGAGAAAACTGAGTAAGTCACTTTTTAATCTGTATTGCAACATTACTCTTGCCAGATACTGATAAGTAATGGACAATTTCTGTAATTTTTTTATTGCAGTTTCATGCACACGGTTAATAAAAGTGCAATTGACAATTTCAAAGTGAAATATTTCAACTAAAGGAAGTTCAAAATTTGTATTTAATTCACAATGTGCCACATTTGTTTATTCAAAAATTAAGTTGTTGTTAATGATTAAGATAAAAATAAACAATGCATTATTTATATAAGAAAGATTTTAATTCAGTTTTCCAAAGATCAGAAATAAAATTTGGAAAGGAACAACATTAAACAGAATTGATACATTTGTTTTCTAAATACATGATCCATTTAAAAATGATGTAACCATACAATAAATAACAATTAAGTACAATTAATACAGGGACATTATGTGTTGCAAAGCTAAGAGATGAATGCAGTGAATTTTTCTACACAGTAAATTTTCCCAAGCTATGAGAAACATGAATTTGTACAGAAATAAGAAACTATGAACTGGAGGAAAAAGTATTGGCACAATGAGTAAGGGACATTGACCATCTTGGCAAGTTTGGTCTTAGGTCCCACACCAAAAGTATCTGACACCTCAACTTGTCAATTAATTAATTTGGGAGAACTCATTATTGTATTCTTTGACCCAGAAATGCTGGTAAAGACTGACAGGCGGAATCCCAATCAATAACTTTGTGGCAAAACAATTTGTAGTTTGTACTTGAAACAGTATGACTACACAATATATAAATCACTATGCAAACAAAAAAAAGAAACAGGCTGTGCTTGGATTACTTTTGTTTCCACATAAACTCCTCCTGAGCCAAACTAGAAGATCAAGTAAACAGTTCCAAAAGGCAATATGGTATTCACAGAGTACAATACAGAGGGCTTCAGTTCATTATTGGTTGATTGCTTTTTTTCTCTCTTTACAATCACAATATATATCAGAAGAAACTGACAATCTGTTAACTTAGTGTTTGACCACCATAAGATAATAAATCCAGCTCAGCATTAAATTAGAGGAACAATCTGTGAAGATGAAACCCCTTCTAACAACACTTCAGTACTCTCTCATGATGGAATACACAGTATGCTCAAGGGTATTGACGTCGACGAGCACCGCGTTGTTTATCAAACCGCATTTCCATTTCTTCCAATACTTTAGGAGTGTACCGAACAACAAGCTTCACAGATCCTTGGGCCTGTTTCAAAAGTTCTACAGCTCTCTCGTGATTTTCACCCTCAACATCCTGAAAATTAAAAAGGGATATGATATGATAGTTTATTTTTGGCAACAATAGTCTACATACAAAACATTTTGCCTAACTTACCACTCCATTCACAGAAAGAAGTTGGTCACCTCTTTTCAGCCCACCATGTCGATCTGCCACTCCTCCCGGGATGATCCGGGATATGTAAATTGGTGATTTCTGCTCTTTGCCACCCATAACATTGAACCCGAGGCCTTCTTCTGTTTTAGGAAGTTCTATGACTCGAGGGTGAGCATGACCCTCACTGGCAGCAAATGCAGCAATGGTAGCTTTTGCAGTAGCAGATGCTCGCATATCCTGAACAAGTAAGATACACTTGTACTTCGATAAAAATGATTATCAAAGGTACACACTAAGGGAAAAAAAAGGTTTGAGGTACAAATCACCTGTGACCCTTGAACATCCACAGTTTCATAAACCTGCTCATAAACCTCTCTCACAGCATTGAAGAAGTCACTCTGAAGAACCTTCTGCAGTGCTGCTAATTTAGTACCAGGTACTTCCCCACCTGCAAAACCATGCAAATATTTAAAATCTGGTTCTAACTGAATAAGCTAATGTAAAGGAAAACTTGTAGGATTGACTAAACTTAATACTAATATTCTTATCAATAGGGTTTGGATTATAATCTGCTGACATGAGCAGATAAACAAAAATATACATACTTTTCTGAAGCTTCTCGAGTAATTCAATGACTCTATTCACATCTAAAGAAACAGAAATTATGTGTAAGTACATGTAGGTCATGCATACAAGTCTAACAGCAAGTCCATAAGTTATGGTAGGAAAAAAGACAAATAAGATCTAATTTTGTGAAGTTGATATGGTGGCATTGACCTAAGAGCTTTGTCATGACATTTTCTGCAGAAATGATTAAAATTCATGTCATAGCCACTGAGCAGGTGGATCAAGAACAGGTGCCAAAGATCACGGAGTAGATATGGGCATATTTTTAGCGAGAAAGTAGAGTTACAAGACACAATAGAAGTATTCTACGATGTCATTCACTCGCTGTGGCTGCCCAAATATATAGTAATGTGGTATAAAGACTCTTTGACTACTAGGTTATTTTTCCATGAAAGAAGAAGAAAGAGACATCTTACCCGGTTTAAGGGTGAGCGGTTCGCTCACGGTCGTTGCCATGATAAGAACACAATATTGCAGTCAATAAGTTACCAAAATACTTCCAAATATTGCGGGAGAATGTGATGAATCTGTTCAACAAAATACTTTGTGTCAAGACACTTGGACCACTGTTGACACAAGAGCTGGGAGACGTCGTCTGCTAGGTAGTCTCTCACATAAAAAGTCATGTGGTACGACAAAATATCAAAAAACGAAACAACGCGAATAGACTGACCCTTTCGTAGCCAACTAAAAAATACCATCGGGTGTATGATTCGAGATGACTTTATTTTTTATCTTGCTAAGTCCAATTCTTTGGTACAATTGGCATTCGTGGTCCTTACGGGGATCAATACTATCGAATCAGGAGGTCAAAGGTGGTCTATGTGATTCAGGTTGTTTATTTGAAAGTTGACCTCATTAGATTTGAACGACTACATTCTTAAATATAAGATATAAAATAATATCACGTTTGAGTTGTCTATGTGGACCTACAGACCTGAAAAAAACAGTCTTTCGAAAACTTGCTTGTGAGACCCTGGGTGCGCAATATAGCTCCCTTGGCCACCATCCCGCCAACAAGTAAAGAAGAAACATCGTTGGTGGGGGCACTTCTGGCAAGCTCGATCCGGATCACTTCAGTGTCTGCTCGGCCTCTCTCTTTCTTCCCGTTCGTCCGCAGGATCGGTCAAGATGGCTAACACCGACGTAACTTCGTTTATGAAGGATTTCTTGGCCGGTGGCGTCTCTGCCGCTGTGTCCAAGACCGCCGTCGCCCCCATCGAGCGTGTCAAGCTGCTCCTGCAGGTTCAGGCAGCTTCCACTCAGATTGCGGCTGACAAGCAGTACAAAGGTGAGTTGCAAAGTAGTGGCCATTTTGGGCCTTAGGAGGCACCGGTGGCATGTGATGTCTGGAGCATGTTCCCGCCGCCCCTGACTGCAGGTCATCTGTCCGACACTCGTATCGGAAGCCCTGGACTGTCGCAGGTCACTGGGTCACATTGACTGCCCTGCTGGGTCATGTACGAGACGACACGACACGCTTGATTGACGTCACGGGGTCCGGGGCCGCGAGGCGAGCGGCGCTAAGTTATGCCGTGGGGCACGGAGCGGACCAGCGGAGCGTTGGGCGGGCATGGCCACGTGTACGTTGTGCGCCTGGCACCTCCTGGCATTCTTGGGGGATGCTGCGTGCACGGCCCGGACCTTTGCACGTTGTTCTGAGCCACTGTTAGCTGGCCGTCGCCAGTGTCCCCCTCGGAAGCAAAGAAATCGTTAACATCGCAATGGAGGTTAGGTTGGTGCGCCCGTTTCTTAGCGTTCATTCGGTCCTAGGACTGATTGAGGATTCCGTATGAACAGGATTAGGTTTGGTTTCCGCACTCATTCATTTGTTGGTCGTCCCGTGAACGTCATGGTAACTTCCATTGATTTGAAGATTGCCCATGTCCTGTCCTATTGATTTTTTCTCCCCATTGACACCATTGCTCCTGGCAAGTTCTGAGACCAATTCTGCATGAGTGACGTAGGGATGATTATGTGAACGCGTAATGGGCTGCAAGATGCCTCTGATAACCTATCTTATCTTTTCTGCTGAGGCATACATGTTCAACTTGCTCTCTTCATTAGTTTCACGAGAAAGCAAATCCTAATTTTTAAAGTTATGACAGTTCTCTAGTTTTCTGAGCTTTGGATTAAGGTACATTTTTTTTGTCTTCTTTCAGGCATTGTTGACTGCTTTGTCCGTATCCCCAAGGAGCAGGGCGCACTCAGCTTCTGGCGTGGTAACCTTGCCAACGTCATCAGGTACTTCCCCACCCAGGCCCTTAACTTCGCCTTCAAGGATATCTACAAGCAGATCTTCCTTGGCGGTGTAGACAAGAACACTCAGTTCTGGCGTTACTTCGCTGGTAACTTGGCCTCTGGTGGTGCTGCTGGTGCCTCTTCCCTCTGCATTGTCTACCCTCTTGACTTCGCCCGAACACGGTATGTCTTTTCATCCCTAATCAACTGAACTGCTCAAATGTTTTGTGAGTATTATATTTTCTTTGCTCTTTTAGTCTGGCTGCTGACATCGGCAAGGGACCCGCTGACCGTCAGTTCCAAGGTCTGGCTGACTGTCTGAAGAAGACCTTCAAGACTGATGGTCTTTCTGGCATGTACCGTGGATTCGGTGTGTCAGTCCAGGGTATTATTATCTACCGTGCTGCCTACTTTGGCTTCTTCGATACTGCCAAGGGCATGCTGCCCAACCCTAAGACCACTCCCTTCCTGGTCTCATGGGCTATTGCTCAGGTCAGTTTCCATCTCCTATGTTCTTAATTGTGTATGAAGTTACATGATTTGTAACCATCTTTGTTTCTTCCTTTTCAGACTGTCACCACTGTTGCTGGTATCGTGTCTTATCCCTTCGACACCGTGCGTAGGCGTATGATGATGCAGGCTGGCCGTAAGAAGGCTGAGGTTATGTACACCAGCACACTTGACTGCTGGCGCAAGCTCTACGCCCAGGAGGGTGCCAACGCCTTCTTCAAGGGTGCCTTCTCCAACGTTCTCCGAGGCACTGGTGGTGCTCTTGTGTTGGTGTTCTACGACGAGATCAAGAAGCTCATTTAAATATCTTTAGGAATAATTTAGGTAGAAGTGCAGGCATACACGGTTGCGAGATCTGACTCCACATTCCAGTCTCATTCCGTTGAGAACAAATTGAAATCGGTAGAAGATCTGCAGCTTCTAAACTGGTGTAGTGCATTTCGATCGTGAATGCAGACCATGTCAGTGTACTGACCCGTGTGTATCAGTCAGATTTGCATCTTGGCTTACACTTCAAGAATAGCAGAATTTCAATTTTTAAAATCTCGAACCATGATGTTTAGGTTTGTTTCTCAGTATTCATTGCTCGATCGGGAAGAGCTAGAGAGGCCACAAAAGTGAAGTAAAATGGAAGAATTACCAAAGACATTCCATCCTTCATGGCTGTATCAGTGTATCATCAAGATGGAATGGTGATTGCAAGAGATTTTACTGTAACTGTCTAACAATAAACGTTGACATTCAATACTGTGCCTAATTTTCCTTCCTTTTCTGAAGTTATTACAAGTGTGGAGTAAAAGATCTGAAAGTCCATCTGAATCTCTACATTGATGAGCTTTCTCATGTGTTGACAGTTCAGTTCTCCTGAAAGAACCTATCTGGGCCAACCTACTGCCCGTATTTTAGCAGGGAATTCGGGACCGAGAGCCAAGACGCTCTTTTAGCGTCTGCGTCTGAGCCGTCGCACCTATTTTTAATCCTAGGCGTGCGAGCCACAGCAGGGTCAGGTCCTCCCCCTTTCCATTCCCGAGGACGCCGGGCTGTAGGTCACGTGTGACTGTTGTCACGTTAGACGAGTGATGCGTGTTAAAACTAGATTCAAAACCCACCTTCCCCTCGTGTGGAAATTTTGCACAGCGTAGCCGATCTCTGAATCTCTCTCAGTTTTGGCAGACGATTTCGGCAGACGACAATACCATCAGGGTGGCCAATGCCTAGGCTAGAAATGGTTGAGAATACATGACTCACCGATAGAATCGATTGATCGTCTGACGACCACGCATTGCTCAATAAAGAATTTTCGCTAACAAAGTGGTTTTCCGACTAACTGCTCAGTCCTCGTAGCATCAGAATTAATCTAAGTTCTTTTTTTTCTTTAGTTTTTTTTTCTTCATTTTTTTTTCGCGGAAGGTTTAATCTACCCTACCTTCCGCCCAGCCGCCCCCCCTCCCTCCCCTTCTCCGATCAGCTGACACATTGATAGGAGCCAATTCAAACAGCTGCTGGACCGTTGACGGTTGCATTTTGTCAAAGAATTTAAGTGAAGTGTGAAACATCTACTCTTTTAAATCATGGAAGGAAAGAAATCGAGGTAATAACATCATAAGTACAATCCGAATGTAATGACAGCGAAAGAAAGCGATGAGGTTTGAAAACGTCATTGAAATGTTTTTATACCGTTGTCAGCGGGAAGGGTACACTCCCAGGAAGTGTCCGCATTACCGCCACAATTTGGGTTGTACTTTCGTTGCCCCTTGAGGAGCGTTGATTTCGCATTCAGTTCTAGTGTCGTGGTAAATATATTTTTGAAAAATCAAAGCACCAGGGTACGAAAGCGTAGCCCAAGTTCTTAACCTAGTGTCTGGATGATGGACAGAGGGATAGACCCGTGCACGCATTGTGGTGTTAATACTGGCCCGCGGGTACAACTTGCGCCTTTCGCCTCTGGGGAGCAGCCTTGCAGGCTGCAGGGCGGCTACACACAGTGGGCCAGAAAACCGGTGGAGGCGGCCAAATTTTTAAACGCGTTTCGAGCTCCAGAGTCGCTAAATGGGGCTCGAACCGAACGTGTGACCCCATCAATGGATTCCTCGTTCGGAGAGCAATCCATTGGTGGGCTCACACGTTCGGTTCGAGTCCCATTTAGCGACTCTGGAGCTCGAAACGCATCAAGAATTTTGGCCGCCTCCACCGGTCTTCTGGCCCACTGTGCTACAGCCCCTTCCCAAGGGCGCGTCAGCAGCGTCACTGCGAGGCTGCGGGGCCGAGGCGTGGGGCCCCGGCATGCCCCGGCCCCTGTTATATTTCGGGGGAGCACGGGTACCTCCACGTCTTGCCCCGCTTGGGGCCCCGCTTGCCCACGGCGGGCTGGCAGTGGGCTGGGCCGGTGTCCAACAACAGGCCTTGGCGCCACTGCACCCATTGCCTACTAGCAAGGCATCGCCCGGCCCAGCTCGCCCGCAATATTTTTAGCAGTGTGGCGGCCAAGAAAAACAAGGTTTTGTGTGTGAGGAGGGCGTTGTCTGTAGATTTTGACGCCTGGTGGAGCAAAAGAAAAGACTAAAAGAAACAGATTCCCATGCGTTCCCGCAGCACGAGATAAGGGCCTTTACAAGTTATTACGTAACGGAGGGGCGAGGTGACTGGGCGGGTTCTGCGTGGCCATCGGATTACTTTTTGGATTGCGCGAGAAGGGGCACCAGGCGTAAACAGTTGTGTCTTCCCTTTGTCGATTGCCACGCGGTGTTCTTTGACACAGCTTGCAATTTTGCCAATCGCCGCCCCCGTCTCCCGGAGCAGAGCAGGCAGAGGGCCTTTGCCACTGCCCGGACGAGGAGCCCGTCAGGAGGTCCTGTCGCCTGGAGGAGCGGAAGCGGGCCGCACTGGGGGCCTTCCGCGCCCTGCCCTGCGAGATCCTGCAGTTCGTGCTGTCGTTCCTGCCAGGTAGGCACCCTAGCCAACCAGAGTCCAAAACGGAACCAGCTTCTCGCTGTTCGCCACGCCCCCTTCCTTTTCTCTTTGGCGCAGCGAGGTCGCTGTCCCAACTGGCCCTGGTGTCGTCGGGCTGGCGGTCTTTCCTCCAGGAATGGCTGCAGCTCAGATCGACGGCCTGGATCGTGTCCCCCGCCAGGAGGTTCCCCGGCCACGGCGACGCCTTCTACGACGAGGTACGGTCGCAGCTGGGGCTGTGCAGTGGACGCCATGGCCGCGTGACTATGTTTCTGATCCACTGCCGTATTCCGTGTTGCAGTACACCGAGCTGGGCATCTTGTGCCGGCGAGTGATCGCCTCCCCCGCCCTGCCGCTTCGTGTGCATGCCTTCTGGTCGGTGCTGAAGAGGGTGAGTTGGAGAGGGGGGAGGGGGCTGGACCAGTTCAATCCAGAATAATGACCTTGCTTGCCTCACCGTGCCCTTCCTTGCTCCCGCAGATCGAGAGGGCCAACCTATCGCACCACGAGCCGGACCAGTACGAGCCCAGCTTCGTGGCGACGGCAAATTTCTTCAAAGCTGCGGTGCCGCTGAACTGCTGCCGATCACCGGGGGAGAGGTTTGAGGTTCGTAACAGCAATAACCACAACCCCCCTCTGATGCAATGTGTTGGCGCCGGGCCAGCCCTGGCCAGCCTGCCGGTGTGCCCCCCTGCCGAGCGATTCAGAAGAGTCGTTTCGTCGCTCTGTCTCTGTCGCACTCACGGGGCTCTCCGTAGGGGTGCGAGAGAGACAGCGGCGAACCGCCCCTCTGCATCGCTCGGCTGTCCCGAGAGGCGTGAGCCCCTCTCCGCACCCCTCCTCCGCGCCCCCAATGACGTCCACAGGCCGAGGGTGCTAATTTTTCCCACGGCCAAAACCCGTCGCTGAGGTTCAACATTTTGCCTACCCCATCCGACTGTGCTTCTCTCCTCTCCAGGCGATGTGGCAGATCGTGAGGGACTGCATCGGCGACGACTACCTGCTGCTGCACCAGCCTGCCGGCCGGGAGGCTGCCCGCGAGACGGACCTTCGCCTCGCCCTCCGCGTGCTGTTCCTGTCGCCGTCCCCGCCGGCGCGCCACGCCAACACGGCGCGCTTCGACCGCGGCTTCCTGCTGCGCGCGCTGCTGAGCAAGCTGCCGGAGCCGCAGCAGGCCGCGCTCATCTTCCTCTGCTACGGACCGCGGTCCGGTGAGTCATCGCACCCGGGGCTCTGGCCCTAGCTCTAGCCCGGGGGTGCCTCCGCCGCGCCACCGCGCCGAGCCAACGGCCGCGACCCCGGCCAGCCAAGACGTCCTTGCCGTAGTTCACCTCGTCGGCGCGTCTTGCGAGACACGCGCCTCGCGCCCGTGATCCCCAAGTGCCCCACTATCAACACCACTCGGCCGCGGCGTCGCGTCGCGTCGCGCCGCGTCTTGCTGGGCGGTGCGTGTAGCATCGCGAGTAGTCAAGGACATTGTGCTGGGAGGGGGAGAGGGGAAGGTTAGCATGACTCGATGAGCGGAGGCGCGTTGCGCGTTGCGGTGACAGTGGCCCCTCGCGGCGACAGACTGCCGGCAGTACATCGACACGGACACCTGATCACTCATGAGCCCCAACTGGATCGCTCTGCAACGCGATGCTAGGTGCAATATGCCCCCGGCCGCTGGGCACCGCTGGGCCGCCGAGTCCAACGGTGGCGTCGCGGCGTCGCGTGGGAGGTTGACGGCGGCCTGCGCTGCGCGATGGCTACGCGGGCTACGCGGCGGCGGGTGAAGCATGCGAGGCAGGCGAGACGACCTACTTCGTTCGGCCGGATAGAAGAGGCGATGCGACAGGGACGGGACGGAGATGTGCGTTGCGGCCGTTGCGAACGCGACCTCGACGGCGGCCTTGATACTTTCTCAGTCCCCAGCCTCAGCCTCCCCCCGTGGCCGCGCGGCCTCGCGGCGGCGGCGACTTGGCCCAGCGGACGGGGAGTGGCTAAACCGAACCACCGTACACACAATGAATAAAGAGATAGCAAAATTGGACGCGCCCTGCGAAGTCGCTTCAGTTGGTTCTGAAGTCATGTGACGAGTCGCGACTCAGAAAGAGAGCGAGACAGACGGCTGGCGCCGCACCGCGCCGCACCTGCCAGTGTGCCTGCTGGTCGCTGCTGGCTGCTGATAGGGAGGGCGCAAAGGGCGCCGATTGCGCTTGTTCATGATGTGATCCAAGGATGGAGGGCTGGTCTCGCGGCCGAACTGCCGAACTCCTGTGGATGTCATGGCACTGCAGTGCAGGCCCCGGCCCCGGCGCGCCGAGGGACCCAGAGAGGGACCCCGCCACGTCTGTCGCGACGCGTTATCGCACGGCGGCGTCATGCTCTGCGGCGAGCAGCGCGGCAAGCGCGGCATGGCATGGCCGGGGTGCAGCCTTAGCGAGGAGCGCGGCTTAGCGTGGCGCGAATAGGAGTCTTCTCGCCAGCTTTGCCAAGAGGAATCCGCCTGGTCGGCGCCACGTTCGCGTTTTAACTGTACTTCCATTCAATTGCATGGGGGCACGCGTTGGCGCCCTCATGCCGTGGGCATGCCCCGCCCTCCTCGCCGTGGAGCGACTTGACTTGGCCTTTTGGGTCGGAATGGTTTCTTTCCTCTTCGCCGTGTACTCGTTACTCGATCCGCACCTCGCCGCCACCGCCGCACAGAGGTCGCCCACCGATCCGGTTGGCGCACAGCACTGGGCGTACGCCGGCGAGGCGCCTTGCCCCTTGCCCCGCGTCTTCGCCGTCCCCGCCGCCGTCCCCGCGGCCACGTGACAGCCACGTGTCGGCGGGCCGGGCCCCCTCCAGTGCGAGCTCCGGTACGCAGACGAGACAGCACTCGGGGTACGCGCAGACTCGCAGACTGCGCTAACCTGGCAGCCGGGCTCCGCGGGCTCCGCGCCCGTAAGTCCCAGTCCCAGCGCCCGCAGCCCGCGGCGGCGTGGCCGTCCGTGCTGACCGTGGGCTAGCGCGGGCATACCTGACGGGCTGACGCTAGGGAACTGCGCCAAGTGGATCACGGCGTGGCAGGGCGTAGCGCAACTATACCAGAGGGCTAGATCAGGGCTACTTTGTGTTGGTCTAGCCCAGTGGCGTAGCAGCGCAGCGTCGCCCGGCGAGGTGGCTGGCTGGGACGCCACGGCAGCACAGGCGGCGCGGAGCGACCGCCGAGCCGACCTTGACCCACGCGGGCACACGCGGGCCTGAGCGGGGTCCTCCCTGCCGTGTCTCCCGCCCCCGCCCCCTCGCCGTGCCGCCGCCCGCCCGCGCGACCCCGCCCCTCGAGGGCCCCCGGGCCGCCCCCTCGCCGTGCGGGGCTTTGCCACCACCGTGCTCCGCTGCTCCACAGCTCCGCTAGCCGTGCAGGTGCAGTACAGTGCACGAAGCTGCACCGCGACGCCCCCTTCGGGCCTTAGCTCCCCGATGGCCCCGCCATGCCGCAGCCCTCGCCGCGCCGCCACGCCCTCCGCGCGAGCGAGAGCAGAGACGCGACGGCGGTGGGCGAGGCGGAGGCGGTCATCCCCGACCCTGTGGCGCCTCGTCGCCTCGTGGCGCGGCGCCTCTCGGCATGGGCCGCGGGCCGCGGGGCGGTGCCGGGTGCAGGGCCGCAGCATGGCCTGGCAGGCCTTGCCTGGGCCCTGGGCGTGCACGGGTCCCATTGATCGGGCGGTGCCGCCTGGGAGTGAGCGCAGCGGGACCCAGCCGCGGCTAGCCGGTCAGCTGACTTCCCTGCCTAGCCTCGCGGCGGGCCGTTGGGCCTTCGGCAGGCATGGGCTCTGTCTGCTGTGCCCGGCGAGGCTGACGAGGCTGGCGCATTGCGGCGCGGTCCCGGTGACGAGGACACGAGGACGAGGCCCCGTCCTATCCGCCCAGCGGCTTGGCTTTTCCAGCGTCGCGGATTCGACATACGAGGCTGACTCGCCGTTCCGCAGCCTGAGCCATACCCGCCTCGATTTCGGCCATCAGCTAATTTTCGCTTGGGTCCCATGACGCCCTCGCGTACCACAAGCGGGCAGCAGGCGCGGGAACGCCGAATGTACTAATTTGCCATTCGAGGCTCGGGGACACTGGGGCGGTCAGCGACTACTGACCCGGCCTGGCGCCGCGGGGGCAGCGCTGAATGCCGACGGTCAGGTACCTCTGGGCCACAATTCAGCGCGAAGGGGCACCGAAGGCTTTAGCGACAAGGAACAAGGTGGTGAGGACGGGGCTGGAAGGGCGCGTAAGCGAGCGTCACTGGCGGCCTGGCCTGGCGGCCTGGCGGCCTGGCGGGGTGCGCGGCGAGGGGCGGACGCGGTCAGCGTCACCCTGCCTGGGCCACTGGATTCCAGGGAAGGGGCAAGAAGGCAGGCAAGGAAGGCAAAGGAGGGTGAGGGGTGGGGGGCTGCGGGCTGGACGGCGGGAAACGCGGCGGCTTGCTTCGGACTGGTTCGGCACGCGGTGAAGGTCACGGAGCTGCGAGTTCATGGGTCCTCAAAGGGTAGAGGTGAACGCCGCCCCCGCCGAGCCATGGCCGAGCCAAGCGTGCTCCCCACCCTCGGCGCAGGACTGCGACCGCGGCCCGCAGCGGCCGCAGGCTGCAGGACCAGCCGTGGCCGCGTTACATCCTGTCGTCGCCGAGAATTGGCACGCCGCGGCGTGCGCAGCGTGCGCAGCGTGCGCGTTTGCTTGCGCGGCCGAGGGCGGCCCAGGGCGGCCCAGGGCGGCCCAGGGCCCCGTCCGGGGCAGGGCCGTGTCACTTTAGTACTTCGGCGCGACCACGATCTGCGTCAGGGACCGATACAACCACAATCCACAAACCGGGCCGGGGGGCGTTCGCGTGCCGGAGCCGCAGCCGGCTGCGCCGGGCAGAAGGCAGACTTTGGCCGAGCCGTGGCGGCCGCCAGAACATTTTCTTGGCGAGCGATGACGAGACGACGACGGCGGCCTGGCCGAGGGCCTGGCCCGTCTCGCGCGGACACTGCCGCCGCCGCCGCAATGGCTGGCGCTCACTTGAGAGAGGACAGGACACCGCGCGTAGGTCGGCAAGGCACGGCCGGCACGGCGCTCTGTGTCGCTCGCTCCGCGTAGAAGGCTCTAGGGTCTAGCGGCAGTCTAGTGGCCTAGCCGGCATGGGTTCACCTACGACCCCATGCCCCCACCCTCCCCTTCCTGCCCAAGGAGGACGCCGAGGAGGCGTCCAGAGCCGCGACGCGGCCAAGCCAAAGCCAAGCCGGCCAGGGAAGTCTCGGGCCTCGGCGTGCTCCCGCTCCCGCGTTAGCCCGCGTGCCAAGTGCTGTACTACCGTGCCGGGCCGCCGCCAGGAGGCAGCACCGGCCCGGCCGAGGCGGCGCCGAGTTCCCAGCCTTGGCTATAGATGGCAGCGCTTGGGCGGTGTCGCAGTGATGTGAATGCAGAGACAACGCTGCCAACTTTGCCTCGCACGTTCCCGGCAAAAGTACGCATTTTCAGTGAATTTAAAGCATGACATGCTGTGGGAGTGTTTGGAAAAACTACTGGGTTAGCTTTATTAAATGTTTAAACTATTACGATGTGCGGACGGGTGTTCTAGAGACATTGTTGGGGACATTCGGAGGGCAGCATTTTACCGGACACGCGTTGGAAAGGTCACACCCAAAAGCGCGACCACGACAGCTAGATGACGCCAAGCTTTCAGTAATTTTAATCTCGTGGGGTCTTTTTCTCTTGGCCGAACAGAGATATGACTCAGTGGCCGCGGTCTGAGAGTAGAACGTGGCCTTACATCTGACGCCCGCTGTCCTATCTGGGGATGTAGCTCAGTGGTAGAGCGTTCGCTTTGCATGTGAAAGGCCCCGGGTTCGATCCCCGGCATCTCCAGAAATTTTTTTGGGTCATCTGCGCCGCTTTGTTTCAGGAGACGCGATCGAGTGGAACCGACCTTGCGATGTGGTGTTCTGCACCCTGGCCCAGATGGCGCACGTGGTCGCGGAGATGGGGATGGCGATCGAGGCGCTGGCCCGCAACAGCACTCCCGAGTCCATCTTCAACCTCGTCCGGCGCTTGACCAGTAAGACTGCCATTGGCTGCCGTGTGCTGTGCTTGTGGTGCGGTCGCTGCGAAACGAGGCTGATTGTTGCTGTTGCTGCAGAGACGCCCAGGCCGTGGCTGCCGCGCTACGAGGTGACGCTGCTGCTGACCATGGGTCCCCGCGCCGCGGGTGCCGTCCTCGCCGGGTACGCGGTCACCGCGCCAGAGGCCATGCGGGAGTCGCGCTTCATCTCCACCAGGATGGCGCAGATGCTGTCCCTGGCCCAGCTCTACAAATCTGTGAGTTCCTTTTCGCTTCCCGAGGTATCTCCTGTGTCGAATGGGTGGCCTACCCACCCGGGGTCTGAGACGCACGTTCCTGCCCGCGGGGGAAGGCCACTGGCGACGGCCTTGCCTGCTTCAATGCTTAGTGATTTGTTTCCTTCATTGCAGAAACTGACTTCAGGAGAGCAGTATACTGGACCAATCTTAACTGTGAGTGAGAAAATATTTGAGATCTGATTGAATGGCATTTATGATTAACCTCATGAGTAATGTGTGAAGTCTTTATTGCAGGCTGCCTCAATGGATATTTTGCAAGTTCTTCAGCATTTCTTTCGGTTTGTACCAGAAGATGCACACCCCAAGAACCTAGTTGATGATGTTGCAACACAGGCCTTTTTCCTGGCTTTCAATGTTGGTACGTAAAGTAACAAGCATATGCTTAAAAAGATTGAGATCTTTGACGCTATTTCATCTTTATCGTTTTTACAGGTGGAACACATTTTGTTGGCCATGTTATGGATGTGATCAATCCCATTCTTCACTACTATCAAGGCAAACTAAATGTGTAGTTCCAGGTGAAAACTTCAGTGCTGCAAGGCATTTAAATTGACATTTTACTGCTAGATGAAATTTTTCTCCTATGAATTCTAGTATTTTATTGATTATTGCTTTATTTATATTTTTATGTCTAGTTGTTACCTGTTTACTTTAATATATTTTATTATTCCTCTACTTCTGTGATAAAGCTATTCACTAGAATTCTTGCAGTAGTTTAAGTAACAATGAACTGTGATCAACTTCATATTTAATAGGTGATTAAGACCCTCAGATGAGAAGAAAGTGTGTATTATTAATGAACTTAAGGTGAGCGTTAGATATGATTAAACAGGACGTGTCATCCCTTGCTTATTTTATAAGTTATTGTATCTTAAATAAGGCACCAAACATATGGTCCAAGTTTCAAAATGAAATTATAAATAAATAAAACAATTTGTAACAATACATCATGTTTATTAATATTTCTCAGTCATATTGTAAGTAAGGTACAGGGAGAGTACAGAACAAACGCGATCTTCAAACCCTTCCAGATTACGGCGGCGTCATAACAAGACAGTTTGCAGTTACAAACTCTCAAACAAAACAAGAAATAATGCAGCAATGCAGACACTTATCACTGTCATGGGGAGAAGAAAACATGGATGTCCAAACAAAGCCTTGCTACTTTTGAGCAATTACATACAACTTGTTCTAAACCTAGCGTACGAATCTAATCTCAAATTAATGTTCTAACTTGGATTTACATGATACGAGCCTGGCAATACACAGGCTGTGTACGCTATAACATTTTGGAGCAATAAGTGAAGATTGGCCATTTTTACTTTGACTTTACTTTCTATGACTAAAGAATTAAATTTAAAATTTTATCAACAACGACAACAAATCAACTAGGACATCCATGCAAGCTGAAGAATGCTATCATGACGATAAGCATGAGTGAAGTTACACAAACTTCAAAGATATCATAATTAATCTCACTCCCTCAGCAAGTGTTTGAAAATGCAAACTGAACCTTCAACCACGGTTCAGAAAAATATCTGGGCAAACTGCACTGCCATTACAAAAATGTCAACAATATGGCAACAACAACCAGGCATTAAAGCTGGTAAAAATCATTGTAGCAAATAACAATTTCAGAACAACTGCAAGTTTCAACGTTTTAACAATCATTAGAAAAACTCAACTTTGAAAATAGAGGATATAGCCACAACTTGCTTAAAACAGTAGAGTATGGTAACTGGTTCACCGCTTCGCAGCCGCCAGCCCAGCGTTCTGCTTCCAGTCTTTTCAATCAGGAATCACAATAAAACCAAAGACCGACAGCGTCACGAGATAGCGGCCTCCCGCCCACACAACCAAACAAAAAGGTAAAACCATTAAACCATAAATAAATACCATTAATGAAAAATACTTTGGTGATTTCATTTGTGTCTTACAGTATTTTTTTTCCTTGTATACCATGAGGCCGAACAGGCTAGAAAAATGAGCATGCAAAAAAATAGTCTTCACAATTTCCCCAGACAAAAAAAAAAAAAGGAACAAAAAGAGAACATGAACATGAGTGGATGATCACTGAAGCGCGCAGCAAATGCCGCCACACGGGACACCGGGGCTCTGTCCCTTGAGCTGCCTCAGCAAGTACGCCGACTTGGCTGCCAACTCCTCAGCCTGGGCGTGGACGTCGTGGACGGCCCTCTCCTTGGTCGGGGTGTTGTTCTCGTCCCCGGACTCGTCCGAGTGCACGCCTGAATCGTGCTGCTCCGAGAGTCCAAGGTTGACGTCGATCTGTTTGTCCGGCGACGTCCTGGCCGACCTCACCCCGAACCTGATGTCTAGGTCGGGGCGCAGCTCGAGGGCCACGACGGGCGGCAAAGTGTCCTGCGGGTCCTCGCCGAATCGGTAGTACTTGGCCACGAACAGGCTGGGGTCACACAGCGTGTCCCAGGCGGCCTCAGTCTCGGCCTCGTCTTGCGGGGCAACCCTTTCCTCCACGGCCTCGCCGCGGCCCGGGCCGGCGAGGGTGGTGCTGCTGGTGCTGCTATGAGATGATGCACGGAAAGGGTTGCCTATCGCGTTTTTTGGACCGGTCATTTGCTCCTGCTCCACGTCCTCCTCGTCGGCGGTGTCGTCCTCGGCTTCCGAGTCAGAGTCCGAGGGCAGCGCGAGCGACGGGGGAGGCACTAGGATGTCCTCGTCCTCGTGGTCACGCAGCCACGCCGTCACGGCCTCCGTGATGCGCAGCGGCGACTCCCTGCTCGCCGCCTGCTCCTGCCCCGTCGCGGAGGTGGTGGCTGGGGTGGCGGTGGTGGTGGCAGCTGCGGCCAGCGGCGACATGAAGATGACGGTCTCGCCCTCGTCCGCCTCGTCCGAGGACAGCGACGACGAGCTGGTCGTCAGCTCTCTGCCCGGCGTGGGCGCCCGCTCCTTGGCGTTCTGCCTCCACTTCTTAGGCCGGCGGTGCGCCGAGGACGGCGTCAGTCTGTTTTCCTTAGGCTCACTGGACTGGTGCTCAACAGGGGAAGGTGAGGGTGACCGCGGCTCCGGCTCGGTCTCGGCGACGAGTCGCGGCGCCGTCGGGGCGGGGGGCGCAGTGTCCACGGGAATGTCGACTTTGGTCTCGCCGCTCTGCACCGTGCCGACAAGTGCCTCAAGCAGCACGTCGTCGACCGGCCGCACCTTGGCGTCGTCGACGCGACGGCCCCACGCCAGGGACGTCTCCGGCCGCAGCGACAGGGCCTCGGCGTCGTCCACCGCGGGGGGCCCCGCGGGGGGCGTGACCGGCGTCGCTGGGGGCGTGGCTTCCATCACGCCATTGCAACCGCCACCGTTTGAGCTGAGATCAGTCTTGGCAGTTTGTCCCTTCTTAGGCGCTTTCCTCTTGGCCGAGGGCCCTTTGGTCTTGGCGGCGGGCGCGGCGGGCGCGGCGGGCACGGCGGGCACGGCCTCCCCTCGGCTTGGTGCGGGCTGCACGCTATCACACTCCTCCTTGCTCTCCGTGACAGCTCCAGCATCAGCGTCGCGCGACGGCGACGCACTTAACCTAGCCTTTTCGGCGAACCCATTCGATTCCCGGCGGTTTGGACTAGATTTATTTTTAATTTTCTTAACTTTACCATTGGATCCATTCACAAGTTTGTCTCCTTTCACAATTTCTTCATTCACAGCATTGTTTTGATTGGCCTTCCCTTTCTCTTTTAAATCATTTTTGTTATTCAAAATGACCTCAAAAGTTTCATTCCCTGTCCTGAGTTCAGACGAGTTCTTCCCAGATTGACTCGAGGTCTCAATACACGGGGATGGTGACGTCTGGGCCTCTACTTCCACAGCCTCCGTTAAACATATCACTTGCCCGTTGCACACGGGCACCTTCTCCACAGACTCTAGGGCCTTCTTGGCGGGGGCGACACACTCGCCGTTGACGAGAGGGAGGGCAGCCTCCGACACGGCCTTCTTGGCCACACAAGGCACTTGACCGTTGAGCAGCGGCGCACTCCGCTTCGCTTCCAGCTGCAGGGCTTGCTCGACCTGGCTGGGAAACGGTGTCGAGGACTCTAGTGGCGAGGCCGCGGCAATCGGCGCTGCCTCCGCCGCCCCCTTCTCGACGGTCTGGGACTGGTTGGGGGCCTCTGCAAGCGTTGGCTCGGCCGGGGCGGCAGACGGCGCCACTGGCAATGCTGGTGCGTCTGCTGGCGGCTCTGCGGTGGCCGCGGACTTGTCCACGACACACAATGGTTCTGCGGGGACGCTGGAGGGCTGCTGATGCTCCGGCTGCGGGGCGGGCGGCGACGCGTCCGCTGGTGGACTCGGAGGGACTAGAACTTGCTCGTCAGCCTGGGGCCGAAGCACTTCCTCCACGTCGATGGTGAGCTCGGCCACCCCGTTGTGCAACTCGGGCTCCGGGGTGTGATTGGAGCCGATTTCGCAGGTTCCCTCCTGGACGGGCGCTGAGAGTGCAGTGCTGACGTCGGCGACGTCGGCGACGCAGGCCGTGGGCGTCTGCGGTGGCGTTAGGATGCTCGACGGCTCCCAAGCGGACGCGTTGCCGTTCAGCGTCGAGACGGCGGAGACGGCGGCGGCCTTGGGCACGAACTCGGGGAACGCGTCGCTGTCCGGCGGCGTGGCCTGGGCCGACGCCTGGGACGAGTCCTCCACCGACTGGCCGCTGAGGCTAGACGGGCCGGCGCCCTCACCCTCCTCCAACTGGTTGTCCTCGGAGCTCGACTCTTCGGAGCCCTCGTCCGTTCCCTGGAACAAGCCACGAGCAGGTCAAGCCACCGCCGCACCACAGGGCTCAACACACCCTCGAAACAACGGACAGAAACTTACCCCTCGCCTCCTCTTCCTCCTCCGTTTCTTCTTGCGTCGCTTGCCGACCGCGTTTACATCACAGACAGGTCCGTACGGCGGGCCCCCTTGGACTGACACTCCTGGAACAAACAGCAAGACGGGGTTCAGCGTGGCGTGCCAGAGCTGTCCATCCCCTGGAACGCGGCGCCAGCGCGCCAGCGCCGTGGCCGGCTTGACCGCGAGCGCTAAATTTAAACCGCGGCGCAGAACGCAGCCACAATGCGGCACGGCGCCACAAGGCGCGGCGCGGGGATAATCTGACGCCGGCCACCTGCGCCCCCACGGCCACCCGACAGTCAACTACGCCAAGGGTGGCCGACGACCACGCAAGCAGCGAAGAAACAAACTAAGACAAAACGCCCAGCGTGGCCAAGCACTCCGACCTCTGCGCGGCGACCCGGAGGACCCTGACGACGACGGCGACCCTCAAATGCACGCGCACGGCGAGCTGCACCGAGACTGCGACGCGGTGCGCGGTGAGCGCACGGCCGTGTCTCCGCTGCCCCTCGCCGCCGGGCCGCGGGGCGGGGCGGGGCGGGGCGCGCAGCCCCCGCGCTTGCCAAGAGCGAGCAGCTCTTCGGAAATCCAATGACTCGCGTAACTCGCGGCCCGGGCCGGCCACCCCGAACCTCGAACGCCCCGAACGCGACAAATAACGGCCGACAATTTACGAGGCGCGGCCCTAATTTCGGAGGCGAGGGCATCGGGCAAGGCGCTGGGCTTCGGCCGGGGAAACGATTATGAATGGTGCGAACCTCAATGAAAAACGGGAGCGGGCCTTCATCGCGCAGCAATAAAGGGGCGGAGGGAGGGGGGATGCCGCCGCCATTCTCCCACGACCCGGTCCCCGCCGGTCCCCCGGGGGAGCGAAGGCGGGGTGCATGGCAAGGCGGAAGGCGCCCGCCAAAAGTTGGACTGACTCCATTCCGATTCGCGAAGCCGAACCGAACGCCTTCTGTCAGCATGTTAATCGGCGCGTCAGCTGCCCGGCGTCGGCCGTCGGCCCGTCCCCTCGCCAATGCGGTTCACGGTTCAAGGGGAGACAAAAACAACTTTCCGACCATTGCGAGTGGGGGTGCGGGAGCGAGAGAAACCGAGGGGCCGAAGCCCTTGCCGGCGCGGCGCGGCGCAGCGCGGCGGTTGTAGGGGTGTGGGGGTGTGGTCGGCCAAAGTGGCGAGAGGCGAGGATGGCTTCCCGCGACGATTCACATCCGAGCCGGCCAAAGGTCAGTGCAGCGCAGCGTGGCGCCTGGCGTGAATCACGCGCCAAGGTGCAGCTGCTGCAGGCCGCAGCGAGGGCGGGCCCGGCAGGCCCGGCGGGGCGGAGCAGGCTGCCTTGACAAAGAGGAAGAGGGCCCCCGCCGCCCCGCCGCAGAGGCGCACGATGAATGCGGCCGCTGTCAGCCTGACGGCCCGCGGCCTGGCGGGGCGGGGCGGGGCGGGGCGGGGCGGGGCGGCCAAGCCAGGCATGGCACAGCCAGACGAGAGGCGCGCCGATCTGGAACGACCCCATCCCCACCGTCAAGACGCACAACGCGCAGCGCACGGCCGGGGCGAGCTATTTCGGCGCCCCGAAGAGGCGAGCGAGACGCGAGCCAGGGACAGTAGGCAAAAACAAAACAAGTGGACCCCGCACGGTGCACGTCCACGCCCGGTAGATTCACGCCCGCGACGGGGCGAAGCAGTAACAGTGCAGTAACAGCCTCGCTCGCCCCCGCGGTCAGCAGCGTTGCAGGCGCGCTATATTCGCGCCACGGTATTAGTCAGCAAGTCAGAGGCGGGAGGCAGGGGCGCGGCGTAGAGATACGGGCTGCATTAGCAGCCAGCGCGCAGCAGCTTCCTTCCTCGCGCACCCCTGCGGGACCCTACGGGACGCCGCATGGGTGCGAGGGAGACAGGGCGGCCAAACCAGCCGGCAGCTCGGCGTACAATGCTGGCAAATATAGAGGGCGGAGCGTCGGCAGCGAATCGAGCGGGGAAAAGGGCAGAGTGCGCGTGAGATGGATTCGAAGCCCCGCCACTCCGGCGGGCTGGCACCGCTGGCACCGCTGGCACGGCTCTCGAGAGGAAGGCGGTAGCACAGATAAAAGCCAGAGGTCCCGCGACTGCTGAACTGCTGAACGCGGCTACGCGGCTGCACCGATGCGCCTGTCCCGGGCAGTCTCGCCCTGCACGCCGTGCTGCCACTCGGCCGATAGGGGCGGGACGGCGTGGAAGAAGACGAAGGGTGCCGAGGGGGTGGACGACGACAAGCAAGAGGCGCCGGGCCGCCGGGGCGCGCGGCGGAGCGACGGACTCGCCCACGGCCAACAGGATAAAGAATAGAGCCCAGCCAAACCAAAATCCCGTCACGTATAACTAATGCCCACAAAAATAACGCTAGAAGAATAAAAAAGAAACATGCGTCTCTAGCTAGCCAAGGAATATCAAAAATAGAGAGGTACGAAGAAATACAAAGAAGAGAAGAGAGTGAGAGAGAGAACAAAAATATCCTTGATGCGTTACTCAGATTCGCTGATGCGCCGGTCCAATGCGGTCCGCGAGACAGCTAGCCGGGCCGGGCCGGGCGGCCGGGCCCTCACCCAGTGCTTGGCCGAGCCTAGGACGGCCCACCAGGCCCGTCAGGTCCGTCAGGTCCGTCAGGGAGAGAGGCTTGCCAGCCTTGCAGGTCGGGCGCCCATGGGGGCCTCCCACGGGGTCTCTCCGAGCTGACTAGGCCCCAGCACCCCGAGGGGGGTCCCGTGGGAGTCCCCCCTGGGAACTGGTCGGACCCTACAAACAGAGCCACATGCACTGCATGCCCAACTAGCGCAGCATTTTGCACCACGACGCAGCACACCGGGAACACGGGGACGAGCCGAAGGGACCAGGCAAAACACTAGTGTCACTAAGTAGGCTAGCCAGGGGGACGAACGGGAAGTTAACAAACACTGCAACGATTTAGTTGAGGCTTACAGTATGGAACACGCAAAACGACGCGGTGCAATTTACAGCCTACCCTAACCTACCGAAAGACTCTGCGCCAGTAGCTAATCCCTACTCCGCTACGAACCATTAACCGACTGGGCTAGCGCGGTAGCGCGCTGAAACAAGATACTCACCGTCCAGACTGTAGAGCGGGGTGCCGAACATGTACTGGTACATGTAAGGGGGTGGGGGATAGGGCAGGGGCCCCATCGGGGGTAGGTTGGGTGGTCCGGGGCTGGGGCCCGGGCTGGCGCCACCGGGCAGTCCCACGGAGTCGCAGTCCTGGGGACTGCTGGGGGGTCCACTGGGAGGCCCACTGGGAGGCCCACTGGGCGGCCCGCTGGGCGGGCCCGAGCCAGCCGATTCGGAACTGGGACCCGAGCAATTCTGCAAACAACAAAGCACCAATGGCGGTCAGTGCGGAGTCCAAGCTAAGCCGACGTGCGAAGAGTCCGCAACTTGTGACGTCACTCACCTGCGAGTCCACAGAGTAGCGCTTCCGGCCGTGCATGTAGCAGTAGTCGGACGGCACGGGGCCGTGGGGGCCGTGGGGCGGCGGGGGGCCCATGTGGGGGGACATGGGCGGCCCGTGGTGAGGGCCGTGAGGCGGCGGCGGCAGCCGGGGGTTGAACCATTCGAGCGGCGGTAGTCCCATGGGCGGCAAGCCCATCATGCCTCCGGGGCCGGGGCCGACCACCACCGTCACCGCGCCCGTGTAGGGGTCGTACATCTCGTAGCCGCCACCTGCAAGTACCCCATCAACTCACTGCGAGGACTCCGTCGAGATACGTGGGCTGCGGGCGCCGCGAGGGTAGGCAACCCCGCGGCCCGCGCGCAGGCGTGTTTCCGCGCGGCCTACCCTCGCGGCGCTCCGCGCTCCACGCTCCACGGCGCGCAGCCGCGCAGCCTTGCCGCGCGCAAGCGGCCCAAGCGGCCAGTCCGTACCGTTCACGTAGTACATGCCGGTGGCAGGGTCCACGAAGGCTCCAGGATAGTAGTATGCCTGGTCGTCCATCAGGTCGGAGCCATCACCACAGTCTGCGTCCACGCTCTCTGCAAGAACAAGCGGAGGATGAAAACCAGAAATAGACGCCATTTGCGGCGCCAGGGGCGCAAACTGCGCCGCGTTGCGATCATGGCCGCGGCGTGGCACGCACCTCCATTGTGCAGCGCTCCGTCGCCGTTCGTCGAGCCGTTGGCGCTGCCGTTGGGGTAGCCGTTGGCCGCGCCGTTGGCGTACCCGTTGGCATACCCGTTGGTGGCGGTGCCGGGCTCCGTCGGGCGCTTGCGGCCCAGGTATCCCTTCTTGAACAGCACGTCCTGTCGGGGCGTCGTGATTCGGGTGTACTCATCTGAAATGAAAAACAGAAACACTAACTGATAAAACCTGCGCGACAAAGAAATTAGGCGCCTCGCTCAAGTGAAAAGCCCGAAACGCCTCGTCAGCGCGGCGGCGGCCCGGCGGCGGCCCGGCGGCACTGCAAAACGAAGGCTCCCGCCTCGGAGATGAGGCATCGAGATAAAGTCATTGTGGCCGCGGCCGCTCCCCCCGCCACCGCTTGTTTGGGTGGAGACCATCAAGGCACCACTGACCTACACGAGGGGCGGCGGGGCGCCGCGGTGCGGAGGGACAGGAGGGACCCCCTCCATGACGTCACGGATCGATCCTCCCTGCCGCCACTTCCTTCTTCCCCGCAAAGCCAGATAGCGCCCCAGCGGTCCCCCAGTGCCCCACCGGATGAGGCCCGCCCCCGCAGCCCCGCCACCGCGGCCCCCGCGCTCCTCCGGCTACCCGCGGCAGTCCCGCTCGCGCACCCCGTCCGCTTCCAGTTTTATTGCACACTTTTATGCCCAACCCCGTTGCAGGGGATTCATGGCTCCAGCTCAAACTAGCCTGCATTCCGGCAAACTGCACGACGGCACGCATCCGGCAGGCAAATCTCAACCAGCTGCCCTCCAGGCACCAGCAAAAAGTACACGGCAAAAAGACCAACGCCCTTGTTTTATTCGCGACCCGTTTAAACGAATCGCTATAACCCGCGCAGCGCAGCCGTCCGTCACCAAGGACTGCCAGAGTCAAGTGGGCGCCGCGACGAAGCTACGCGTACCGCGAAGTCAATGCGGCATGCCGTCGCGCGCGCGGCGCCGCGGCCGCCAAGGAGGGCGTTAGCGCTAGCGCCCCAGGGAGGCAGTGCAGGGCCCGGCAGGGCCACACCCAGGACCGAGGCACGCCGCCAAAGCATCACCGGCAGGCTTTGTACTTTGTACAGCCGCCAAGCGCACCGAGCGCCCCCATCGCCAGCCAGAGGCGCTGCGTCGTGCCCCGCGGCCTACACCACTTCGCGAGGCTTCGAACCAGGGCACCGCCGCGCCGCACCGCCGCGCCGCACCGCCGCGCAGCGCACCGCCGAGGCGGAGCCGTCCGTCACACCGCGCGGTGCACGCTTTGAAACCAGAGCGGCCGAAGCAGCCCGACGGAGACAAGGCCTGGCCTCCTTCCGCGACAGCGCCGCCAGGGCCGCGCCTCACCCCCTTACCAACTTTGCTGACGTTGACAAGGGGGTTGTCCGCTGCGCCCAGCACTGCCCTGAGTTCGATGTACTCCGAGCACTCGTGTGGGCCCGGCGCGCCCGTCCAGTTGTCAAACTCGATACACCCGCTAAAAAAGCACTCCCGGGCGGCCCTCCGACGCACCCCGTCGGGGAACGCTGTTTATTTAAGCCGGCGACAGCTCTCGAGTGACAGCGGGGCGCTGACGGCGACGGCAGGGGCTGACGGCCCGCCAAGGACGCCGGAGGCAGCCGCCAAGGACCCTCGTCCTGCAGCAGGCCTAGCAGGGCCACCGCTGGGACAGGCAGGCCGCGCTTACAAGGCGGCCGCCGGTGCCTGGCCCGCCCTGGCCCGCCCTGGCCCGCCCTGGCCACGGTCCACGACCAGAATAGAGACCGGCATGCGTTCCGATGGCCGAGGGCCGCGGTGTCCGAGCCACCGGCCGGTCAGCCAGGCCACCCCCAACACGGCGCGGGGCGCGGCGTCGGGGCACCCAATCAGCGACGTCGAAAACAGCCACCGCCTCCAGAAGGCCTCGGGCCCCGCCACGACAGCGAGGCCGCCGTCATTGACGACACCTTCCGGTTTCCGCCGCGTCCGCGTCGTGCCCTGCGCCGCGGCACACACTAGTGACAGCCCCCTTATAATGAGTCCAGGCGTCTCGCCTCGTCTATTCGAGGCAGCATCCCCAGACAATTAGCCAAGGACCGCGACCGGCGCGACCCCGCCGCCCCAGCTAAGCCGCAGCTAGGCCGCAGTCCGCACCGTGTCGTGTCGTAACACCGATGCGTCGCCAATACGAGGCGCTGTTACACTGCTACACCTCGCGGCCCGGCGGTCGGGGGAAAAACACGGCCACACGAGGCGAAAAGAGAAAATAGCCACAATAAGGCAAACGGGCGACGAAACTGGTACGGAGTGTCCTTTGGTTTGGTTGGCGTTACTGGCCGGCCGGTAGTACAAAGTGGCCGTCTGGCCACCCTCCGAAAGAGAGAGGCGCCAGCCCCGCTAGATCCGCCAGCTCTAGGAAGGACAGTAATGGGGCCTTCGTGCCCCCCCCCTAACCACTAATTGTGGCAGCAATTAGAGTGCGTCGCATGTCGACAGCGGCAAGAGCAAGCGGTGACACCGCGCACGGCCTGCACGGCCGGCGAGCTCCCACGCACGCTCCAAAACACGCCGACCGGAACCATCGAAAAGAGAATCATCAAAAAATGACGGCGGCACTGCATTATTAAGCGGAACGCGGCGGGCGGGGGGCCGGTGCGTGGGGGTCAAAGGTCAAGGTCACGACGAGGAAGTACAGCGGCCGCGCCGTCCTTTACAACTACTCATTAAATGTGCACGCGGTGGGGTGCATGGCTGCATGGCCGCGCCATCCATCCTCCCCCCCCCCTCAATCCCAGCCTTCCTCATGCCCTGGAAACACCGTGACCTTTCACCTTTCCCACAGCCACGAAAGCTGGACGGGACGGACGACCAAAAAACATAAGTTTCACATCTCGTTAAATTAAGACCGCTGGTAAACGGGGACCCCATTAAAAAGGAAGACGACGCCTGGGGCCTAGACGAACCCCATTCAGAACGTGACCCCCCCCCCCCTCTTGCAACGTCCCCTACCTTGCTGGCTTTACAAGGTACTATGTCCCACCTTTCAGACTTGAGTCCCTACATTTTGATTCCAACCAACGCTTCGTCGAGGCCGAGCCCCTCGAGTGCGAGGGGGACAGCACACTGTGCACCTACCCTCGTTGAACGTCCTCTTCTCCTGGCCCGAGGCCGCGCCGCCGTTCTGGGCCTGGTGGTGCTGGTTGAATCTTGGCCGCGGCTTCCAGTGCCTCTGCGCGCCGCGGTCCTCGTCGCGACTCTCCTCGTCCTCGGAGCCGTCATCTGGAACACCAAAACACATTTAAATTCACGTAACCATTCCGTAACCGCCCACCTCGGGAGCCACCGGGAGGGCCATCCGAGCGGAACTTTTCCCACAAACATTTCGCTGCCGTCATGGACAGCCAACGGGCTCGCTCACGCAAGGAAATGGGGGAGGGGACCGGAGGGGGGCACGTTTGGAAGCGCACGTGTCCAGGACGCGAGCGGGGACCGTGGTGGGGGCGACCGGGGGGCTGGCCGTCGTGGAGCTATGAAAGCACAAATTAAGTAATGACGCTCTGCCCTACTACGCCCCCTCCGCCTCCCCCGCGGTCCAGGCCGTCCAGGCCGTCGTCCAGGCCCCACCGGACACTGCCTCCAGCCAGACCAGCTCCGACTCGATCGGGGCGGTTAGGTCGGCCACCGCGACGCCGTGGCCACGCCCGCGCCCACGCGGCCAACCCGCCGAACAAGAGCAGAGCTAGGCCCGGCCAGCACAGCAGCAGTTTCGCTCTGTCTCCCTCGCACCTCTGCGGGACTCCTCGTGAGTGCGAGAGAGACAGAGTGGCGAAGCGGCCCCCTCGGAATCGGGCGGCGGAGGAAGCGTCAGAGGGATCATCGTCAAAGGAGCGCCGCAAAGGCCGCGCTGCCGAGGCGTGGCGTGGCGTGGCGTGGCGTAGCGTGCGCGGGGGCTTGCCGGGGCTTGACCCACGCCAGGAGGGGCCCAGGGTTGTTCATCCCGGAAGGAGATAACACCCGTGCGCGCGCACACACATGCGCGCACACACCCACACACGCACAATAATTGTACCGCCAGGCGCGCGCGCACTGCAATGACAGCTGCACTGTCATGTCAAGGCGAGTGCAGCGAATGAAACGGGTCCCCGCGGCGGGCAGGCAGCAGGCACCCTCTGCCCACTGGGACTTCCCTCAAATAATAGAGCGCCGCGCGTCAAAGGTGCGCGGCACTCCCCACCCCGTCAGCCGTTCGGTTGGCCCCCGCTAATATTAGAGGCGGTGCCGCGGTGCCCCCATGCCGCCGTCCCCACCACCATCACCTTGACAGTCGCCGCCGCCGTCGCTGCCGTCCCGCTGGAAGCGCCGGATCAGTCCGCGGATGGCGCGCACCCGCGGCGAGTTGAGCCAGCGCTGTTCGGCCTCCTCGAGGCGCTCGTCGTCGGCGTCGGTCACCAGCTGCAGCCCCCGCACCAGCAGGGCGCGCTGCGCCGCCCCCACCACCACCAGCACCCGGCGCCGCCTCCGCCACTGCATGGCGCCGAGCTAGCGCGCTAGGCCACCGCGTCCAAAAACTTGGGTCGACGGCGTCGTCGTCGACGCGGTCCTCCGCCCCCACCGGCAGACGTCGCTGCTGCCCCCTCCACGGCCCCGAGCTGCGCCGTTCGATCACCAGAGCGCGCTGCGGGCTGCGCGCCTCGGTTGGCGGCGGCGCGGTGCGACGCCGGTCGGTCCGTCGGCTCGGCTGGCGCTGGGTCCGCTGGGTCCCGGTGCGGTGCCGCCGGCCTTGTGCCGGTCGGGTCGAGTCGAGTACTGCACTGAGCAAGCGTCGCCGTCCCCGGCACGGCAGCGTAGCGGCAGCGCTGCCAAGCCCCAACTCCCCGACCCAGCCCAGGCCATCCCGCCAAGCGCCGCCGAGCCCCACCACCGCTGCAGCCGCGCCGGCCGGGAGGCCGCGCCGTGCCCGGGACGCCGGCTCGGGCGGTGGGGTGCCCGCGGGGCGCAAGGAGCCGCCCCCAACCCGCCCCCAGGCCGGGCGCCGCTGCTTCCCCTTCCTGGTCCGCGCCGCCCCCGCAACGCTTTCCAGCGCTTTCCAGCGCCTCCACGGCTGGAGCCAGGGAGCCAGGCCGAGCCGATTTATTGAGTGCGAGACCTAGGCCGCGCATCGGGGGCGGGCGCAGCGGGCGCGATGACACCGCGTCGGTAACAGCGAGACGACCCGCGTGGCGACGTGCCAAGCAGCCGCGGTCCGCGCCAAGGAGGCTGCCAGCTCGACAGCTCGCCAGGCCGCCGGGCCGCCCCACCTGCACCGCCTCTCCAGGGCCTCGGAGGGCTGGGCGGGCCGGCCGCGCCCCACTCGACGCCAAGCAGGCCGAGCAGCCCAAGCACGTCGTGCAGGCACCGCGGGCACGGAATTAAACAGCGCCGCGCAGGCGCCTCATTAAGGCCGCGACTGTCTAGCGGGGAGCGGAACAAAATAAAAACACGAGCTGGGCCGGGGCCTGGGCCGGGGCCTCGGCCGGGGCGGGGTGTGTGACACGGAAGGGGCCGCCCGCCCCGCCCCAACCCCGCCGCGCCGCGCCGTTCCACGGACGTACCTGCACCGACACGGGAGCGGCGTAGCAAGAGGCGCATGTCCTCTTTGATTAAACCCACCGAAAAAAGAGCGCAAGCCGAGACGCGAACCAAGGGCCCCCGCCTCCGCCCTCCCCTTTCACCTCGCCCTAGGGCCGAGCAGACTAGGTTGGCTAGGTTGGTACACGCCAATTTCATCCCAACATTTGCTCAGGGTAAGAAGGCCGTGCCCCGTGGAGCCCTCCTGCACTGGAAAGGGGAGACCCTCCCAGGGCCTAACCATTTCACACACCAGAACGAAAAAAAAGGGGAGAAAGAAACACATCAAAAAAGGTGTAGGCGTGTCACCGGCTTGTCCTAGCCCAGACATGCAACCAGGCTCAGCTGGCGGGACACGACCCCGCACACATAGACGTGTTTGTATGTGTCGACGCGGCGAGCGTGTGTGTGTAAATGCATACATGTGCATCGCCACGGCCAGGCCGGGCAAAAAGGGATAGGGAGAGGGGAGGAGTGAGGAGTGCAGCCGGAGCAAAGGTGAATAGTCATGATGAAAATGCATCGGTGGGTCGCTTCGAGGCGGCGGAGCGGCGGCCGTATGGAGATGGGCCCTAGGCCCTCGGGGGCCTCGGCGGCACTGGAATGAATACAAAATGGCCGCCTCACTTTCCGCGCGCCACCACACTGATTCGTCGCTGTCTCCGTCACCAGTGCGGGGCGCCTCGTGAGTGCGAGAGGGACGGCGACACTTTCGGAATGGCGCTGGGCGGCGCGCGGCGCAGCACCACCTGCCGTCGCGCAGGCATAATCAAGGGCCGCGGCCGACGTACTCGACGCCCACGTGGAGCGTGCGCTGCAACATCGAGTACCTGGCGGCCCTGGCGGCCCTGGCGCCACTCAAAGCGCCGCGCGCCGCCGTCAGCCGGGATGTGGAGAGTCACCGTGATCGGCGTGCTCCGCGGCAAGGCGGTCCACAGTGTCAAGTCCACCGGGCGGCGCGGCAAGAGCCAGCTGACGCAATAACAGCAATCCCGGGCGACACGAGGACCTGCCTGCCACTTCGGCGTGGTCCCGCGGCCCCCCTCTTGACGCGGATTCCTCTCCCCGGGCCGCACGGCCGCCGCCGCCACGTGGCGTAAGAATGCGCCGTCGACCCCAAGTGCCGCAAAGTCTAGCCAGACTAATGCTCGGCACGGAGTAGCAGGGCGAGGCTCTGCGAGGCTCTGCGAGCTCGGGGGCTCCCATCCCATCGCCGGGATGCCAGCGTATCGACCAGCCCGCCGCCCTACACGGCCCGGGCCGGGCCGGGCCGCGCCGGGCCGCGCCGCGCCGCGCCCTCCGCCGGGTGCGAGAAATCACGGCGAGGCCGGCGACGTCGCCCCGGGGAGGCTCGCGGTCGCGGTGCGCCACTCGCGGCGAGAAGGCATCTGCCCCACTCATAAAACCCGATCCTCGACTTCGGCGCGGTCGCCCATCCCGGCGCCAGCCAGGGCGGCCACCGCGCACCTCCCCGCCGCCCCTCCAGCCGGCCGCAAACCGCGGGGCCGCCGCCGAGTCGTTAAAAAAGCGACGCTGCCTCGAAAACAATCAATGTCGCGTCGCGAAACGTTAACGGCCCCCGACACTGCAGGACACGCGCTCATTGTAGGCGGCCGCCGGTCGGCCAGCACCGGAACGGAATGTCCAAGGACGACGACGCGCCGCCCCGCGCCGCGGCCGGCAGACGATGCTAAACTTACCGGTCAAACTTTCCACGCCCCACCACCCTTTACTGCACGTGCAGGGCGGCGGGAGCGCGGGGCAGCGGCCACCCAGCTAATTAAATATATGTCGGACCGCGAGGCTGCCTCGCTGCCTTGACCGGGGCGGCGGCAGCGCTCGACATGTCGGCGCCCCGCAGCGCCGCAGGCTGACTTGACGAGGGAAGGCCAAACATCCAAAGCCGGAGCCTAACCGCCCCGCACGCCACACAGCTGCGCGAGGCGCCTCTAGGCCCGCCCGCCCGGCGCCAAGCCGTTTGTTTCAATTTGCAGCCCGTCGCTCCAAAGCCGACAGTGCGTGAAATCCAACCAAATTAGCCCCGGGCTGCCCCGAACGGCGACGACGCAGTCGCTCTCCGCGCCACCAGCCGCCAATCTCAACCGCGGCGACGCTTATTGCGTTTGCGAGGCTTCCGGCCAAAGCCCAGGCCCGCTCCGCCCCGCCACCGAGAAGAGCCAGCGGAAGAGGCCGCCGTTAGCATCTCAAAGCCTTCACACCTCGGGCGGCGCGCGTGGCGACGCGTGGCCGGCACCTGCCCGTCAGTGCGAAACCGGGGCGCGGAAGGGGGTGGGGGGCGTAAGGCGTCCACGCTCGAGACACTGCTGCCAATCGATTGGGTCCGCCTCCAAGCGACAAGAGACCACGACCACACTGCAACTTGCATCGTGCCAGTCACGAAATGGGAAAGCACCATCACACTGTTGGCCCCACGGCCCGCCCTCCCGTGACAGACAAGACACTTTTTCCCTCTCGCCTTCCCGCTTCCGTTATCAAGGCCCGTTTTTGCCGCGCCTCCTCCGTGTACGACGCACGTGTCGTGTCCACGCGTCCCACGGGGCCGCCGCGACGGCGTCCTGGACGGTCCCGGGCCCCGGGCGCGGCAGGGCAGCGCGACGGGGTCACCGACACAGCCGCGCCGCCCGCCCGGTCGGCCCGGTCGGATCTGGACC